TGGGCATCCCTGGCTTTGCCAGGAGCAAATGTGTGAATTGAAACTGGCTCAAGCTCATCACTCGCTTTGAAATTCTGTCAGTTGATTATGTTTTTATAGTTTTTATTTTGGGCTGAGCCATCTATAACACCCCACACTGGCCTGGTAACACACTCTTACACATTCACACTTCAATGAGCTTGGGGATAAATACACACCAGCTGATTTTTACAGCTGTTGATAGTTGTTTATCAAAATCAAAACCAACCCTCAGGTCCTCTTGATGTTGAGATCCAGTCAGCTTTTTTTGCAACAGCTGTGCTCAGTCCCACCCAGCCACATTCTTCCTGAGCTTCATGGACATATATCCTGGCCCATCTCTGATCCTTCTCCCATGGCAGAGCTTTACTGATCAGCCACAGAGGACACACAGAGAATTAATAAACTGGGCTTTTGGTGTTTAGCTGCATTGTATTGGTACATAGTTTGGTATGACTTTATGGTTCCCTGGTTATGTCCAAGATTACTTTTCTGAACATCAGTTCACAAACTGGTGTGCAGCAGTACTGTAGCTAAGGAATACAGGAAGCAAGAGGAAAAAGATAAGATTAGTACTTTAATTTCACAGAGAATTACGTGCATAGGTCCTTTTTGTAATTTCTCTGTTGAAAATAGCAAACGTGCAGTCAGTACATCTAGTTTTAGCAATATGGTTTAATTAGTCTGGTTCCAGGCTGAGGGAATGAAAAATGTGGATCAGATTTAGTGGTGAGGATCACATTTCACAATGGCTTGGAAAAATGCTGAATGTAATAGTAATTTTAGTCCTTTTCAGGGCTTTAACCTTATAATTTTTCAGCACCCTCATTCATTGCCCTTTGTGATTTTCTCTTGGCTTTTTTCTTGACATCAGAACACTTCTAGCAGTGTGTACAATAGTACAGTAGTCACCTGCTTCCTTGGCATTCAGTTCATCTTATTATCCCATCTACTTCTGTATTTGTTTCCCACAAAATACTTCAGAAATCTGACTGCCCACAAATATTGTTCCTATTTCCTGCATAAAACATTTCACAGCACCAAAACCAGTCTTCAAATCACACTGCAAAATAGGCATCACATATCATGTCTGCAGTATGATATGAAACACTTGTAGAAGCAGGTGAATGATGTGGAAGAAACTGCATTCGTAGAGGCAGCTTGATCAGAGGTTAGGAAGTTGCTTTTCCTAAACTTGTTCTTATGGTTTTATAATTATATTACCTTTCAAAACTTAGTTGTACATTGGTTTGCATTTTAACAAAAGTATATTATGCAGTCTGTTACTTTGTATTAGTAATATATTAATAATAAATAATTGTTACTGTGTATTTAATATAATAAATCCTGACAGGTTATATTGGGTATATTGTATGGTGTGTATGTTTCCGTAAGCAGCTCGCTGCTGTTACTGCAGTAAAAACTCAAAGAAATTGAGCTAAGATAGGTAATGCATTTTTTATTTATCCTATGCATCTAATGTATTTTCTTGCTTTCTTGGATGATAGTAGAGAAGCAGACTGGTTGGCTTGTCTGACCCTTCTTGTCTTTGTTGTCACATGTTGACCCAGCATGTCCTGTTGGACAGTTTGGGTGCCTCAGCATCACAACCGTGGTTTTTTTCTTGATGGAATTGGAGAAGATGTATTGGATCAATACAAAGTTTTTGAACAGCACAGGCTTTGTCAGTTGACTGTTTTCTCTGTATGAAGTAGAGCTCTGTGCAGTCTGTTGCTTAAAGGTTCAGACCAATGTCTTGTACAGGCAGAAGTCTTTGTGCTGTCTGTATTAATTTTGTACACTGTTGAGTTCTTGATCTGTTTCAAAATCTTGTGTCATTAAGAGGCAGCCCACCTTGAACTATAAATGTATGGTATGAGCATTACTCATAGTGACTCTGCCTTATCTGTCATTGTTTGCTGAGGAGAGGAAAAAAAACCAGTATGCCATATGGCTACCCCAGTTCTCACTTTCTCAGTTGTCACAATCCTGTAGCGGTTCAGTGCTGCAAAGTTACAGTAGTGGTTGACTTACTGGTTAAGTTTTTTAAATTGAGTCTTTCCCACTTGAATAATTTGGATTATTAAACTTGATTTCTAAACATGAACTTTTTTTTCCCTCCACCTAGAATACTTCTGCATAGACTGTAGCTCCTTGCTCACATGTTTCCGTTTCTGAGTTACGGCAACATCCAGAGATCATGTTCCAGTTCCCACTTCCCTTGTGATAAACAAGCACACTGGGAATGGTCTGGGAACAGTCACACCTTAAGGGAAAGTGCAGCAATGGTACATTACACCTTTTTAATGAATTTTGTGTATTGGAGAGGAGAGCTTGACTCGGCCATGAATACACAGTTACACTGTTGGCATCATTTGCACATCAAACAATAGTATCACAAGCAGCCCTGCTCTATTATGATAGCTTCTTCTTACCCAGTTTGCCCTTTCGCTGTGTTGTTCCCGGGGGGGGGGGGGGGGGGGGGTCCGGGTGTTTTGGCTTTTTTGTTTTGTTTTGGGGGGTTTTTGTTTTGTTTCAGGTTTTGTTGTTGTTTTGGGCTTTTGTGGATGTTGTTCGTTTGTTTTTTAAAAAGTGTATTAGCACTTGGAAACCGAAGCAGTTCAATTAATGAAAGGGTAATTTTGGAAGGTAAAAGATGCAACAAGCTTTCCTTGTCATTAATAAAGCCATCCTTTGGTTGCTTGGAGAGGAGAGATGCTATACTGAGCACAGAGGTGGATGTAACTCACATATTTGGCAGGGGCTGCTGGGCCAGGCAGCAGGGCTGCTGTAAAACCAGGCACAATTCATGTTGTTTCTTACCCAGCTTGCAGTGTGCTAGGGGACATGAAGCACAGCTGAGCTGAACTGCAGAGGGTGAAGAGGACAAAGACACATCCACTGGAAGTCTGCCTCATTAGTTCCGCTGTCCAGAGAACAAGTTGCTTTTCATTGAGATTTTCAAATTAATAGTGTCCTTTTATATTACAAAGGCCATGTGTATGGGCATTAGTAGTCTTGTATTTAATTAAAACAACAGCTGGTGATCATTTAATTACAGGGTATGAAAGGGAATGATACTTGACTATGTAGCATTGTTTTGTTCAATTTGGAGAATTGTAGCCATTTTTCATGTACTATTTGAAAGCTGTGGTGAAGAATGTGCATTTTGATGAACAAACTTGTGAGCTGCATTGCAACAATTCCACTCTGTTATAGGAATAAGGTAAAACAGCTGCTTAAAAATTGACCAGATTTCCTGAAAATCTGAAGCAAGTTATGAACAGATTGGTACAATTGGTCTGGTTCTTTTTTCTCTGCACTGTAAAATCAGTTCTGCTGAAGGCCAAAATTACTTTAAGGTATTCAGGATGTTTCTGGGTTTATTAAGAGTTTTCAGTGTACATACTTCATAGAAGCTGTGTAGGATATGCCCAAAGCATGCCTGAGCTACTGAATTTTTACATGAAAAATGAGGCTGTCTTGAGAATCTTAAATGTTCTGCAACATATAATTGTGCATGTGTATAGTTGTACTGAAACAAATAACTGCATGTATGTAAGGTATTTTTGTAGCTGATGTAATAAAAGTCCTGTCAACTGAATGGACAAGTGAGGATACCCAGGGAATAACTAGTTACACAGCATTTAAAAAGGCAGAATTCACATCCAAATACCTTTTTAAAATTATCTTTCTCATCTTAAAGGCAGAGTTTTTTTCATTAACAATGGGAATACTGTATGTGAAGAACCAGTTGCCCAATGTTCTGATCTCTCTGCTGTCAGGCAGCTGCTTTCACACATCAGTATGGGAAAACAGCTATGGTTTTGCTGGCTTCCAGTATTATAAAGGTAGAATTTATATCAGAATACGACTCACTAATTGATTCATTGTAAATGAAACAAGAAAAATTACTTTTAAGTGACCCACCCAATAGAATATCAGATTGAGGGACTGAAAGTGGGTGGAGGATTAGAAGCAGAGTTTGTATTTCAGCCTGAATCTTCACAGCAGAGCAGTGTTTGCTGTGCTGCTTGGTCTGGTGTGAAAGGTCACTTCTGTTTTCATACCCAGTGTAACTTGAAGCAGTTTCTTTACAACTGCAAAGAAAGACTTTAAGGCCAGTGGCTAGTTCTCCTGGACTTTCCAGTTGTAGTTGTCAATACTTAGTGTTGAATTCTGCCTGATGAGTTTGGTGAAACGATGAATGCAGTATTTAAGGATGAGAAGAGAGTGGGAACAATTAAAATTATTTTAAGAACTGTTCTTGGTTTTTAAGTTGTGTAGCTAACCTAATTTCAATATTGTGAGTTATCGTAGCCTTTTATATATTACCGCATGCTATCAGCTAAGTGTAGAAAGTATCTGTCATCAAAAGGATCTGCTGCAGAAAGAAAAACAGTTCGGGTTCTTCATATGTGGGTTAGTAGATAAGAATCACTGAAACTCGCTGGCGTGGGACTGAGGAGAGCAACAACTGCAGAAGAGTAGCTCGCAGTGGAGTAAGCGTTAGTTGCAAAATAAAAGCAAATCCTTTGCATGGAGCTGTCCACTTTCACCAAACTGATAACCTCTATGTGTCTAAAGGCATCCAAACATGGTACATGTCATTCTATAATGCAAATCTTAGTCAACATTTTATCTGAGGTTTTGTAGCGCAAGACTCAGGCTACGTCCTAATGAAGTAGTGTTAAAGCAAATCTACACATTCCTAGCTGAATTATTCCTGATTGTATTTACCCTTATAAAAGATATGGTAAAGGAATGTGTGTTCTGCCTAGAAAGAAAAATTCCATGTTAAAAAAACTATTACTTAAATTGTTAGTTGTATGTGGATTTCTTTTACACTTTGTTCTACGGAAGTTCCTATTAACTACTACAGAAGTGCAGCATTACTATAGCTGCCATATAATACTGTCTGTTCTGTAGTGCTAAGTGGCTTGTGAATTGATTAATTTGTTTCTTTCCTTTCTGTTCTCCAGCTTCATTTAGCAGCCCTGGCTTCATTAAAGGGAGACATTGTGGAGCTTAACAAGCGTCTACAACAAACAGAAAAGGAACGTGACCTATTGGAAAAGAAATTGGCAAAAGCACAGGTGAGCAATAGTAGTTCAAGATTCTGAAGATGATCCTTGGTTTTGTGCAGTCCTGGTTCCTTGGAGAGAGGATAAAATGCTGAACAATGTCACAAGTCAAAAGGCATAGTTGCCATGGGTTATACCTTTCATGAGTTGAAGACGTTCTTCTAAAAAAAAACCCCATAAAAATTAATTATGTACATTTTATTAGAAGTCAATATAAGCAACAAGTGCTTTGAATTGTTGTAGAATATAAGAATTACAGGTTGCTCTCAGTGGGTTAGGTAACTGGGAGCCTTGCACTCCTGGGTCACATTTAAACACAGCACAAATTAACACTGATCAAAAGTTATTGCCAATTTTCAGTGCTTTGATGTTATTGTGAGAAGTTACTTGTGACCTGAGTCGAGCTTCCAGTATGCCCGTTGGATTTGTGGAAAACATAGCCAGTGGAAAGCCAAGGGGTTAAATAAGAATAAGGTTGGAGCTCTGATGCTTTCATAGCTCTTACATAGAGGCAAATTCCAGCAAGGAAACTTGAACTATTGTTTTTAATATTTCTCTCTCCTGTAAAAAAATCCTTGTTTTCAGATACTGCCATTGTACCAAATACCTTTTATAAATAGTTAGCATTTCAAAACTAATTCAAAATGCTTGGATAGAGATAAAAAAAGCATTTTGTCCTGTAAAGTATGGCTCCTTATTTGTTGTTCAGAGATGTTGTAGTATCTCCAACCTTGGAAGTACTTGAGGCACCTGGACCTGGTCTTGGATTGGGTAAGGGACTGAGTGAGTAAGTACCAGTGGTCCCTGTAATCCTTAGCCTTTCTGTGACTTTGCAGATTTAAAATTTTCAGTATTTATTTCATTTTGATGAGACCTTTCATCTGTGTTACTTAAATTCAAGCTAAATATAGAAGTGTTTAAGCAGTCTTGATTTTCAGGCTCTTTCTTCAGTCCTCCCTTACTTTGGCCTTTGCCTGCATTCCCTGATGTTTTTTTCAGCTGCTTTAAGATTTATGGGCTTGTAAGTGATACTGTTATTGCAGACCATTAATGTAACATTCAGAAATAAAATCACTTTCATGTTTTTATTCCCCTCAGTATGTGATCCAGAGCCATGCTGAGAGTTAACATGGTTTATCAGTTATAATCCTGAGAGGCTTTTCTAATTTCTGTGGCAGTCTTGAGATAGAGTCCTCTTTCTGGCTTACAGTTTGATATGAGGCTGCATTTGACAATCATTAAACTCTCAGATGGATTCACTGTATCCACATTATTCTGCACGACTGCACTGACTTTATTGTTGTTATTTATAACTCCGGAGGGTCTGGTGCTAAGCACAGGTTTTTGTTAGTGTTTTATTTTTATTTCTGGGTCTTTATTTAAAAATAGAGATATTATCTCTCAGCCAATGAAGAGTGCCTTGTAGGTGTTACCATACAGTACCAAATACACACTGATGTCAACTGGGATTAAGGATCAGTTCTTAATACCAATTAACATGTGCTCTGTTAGCTCAAGATTGTTTAGTGTTTTCTTTGATGGGTTACCAGTTACACATGCCTACATAGTGCTTGGTTTGTAGTGCTGGGGGTTTTAATTGATATTGAGCCATGCAAACATAAACATAATGATCAGTGCCTCCTGACCTGTGAAGAGTACACAACTGAAATATCTGAAATATCTGATTGCTGGATTTCAGATTTAAAAAAATAAGTATTTTTAATGAACAGTTTTATATAAATGTTTAATGATTTATCTCTTTGTAGTTCATTTTTTTCTAAAGCCCTCAAGAGAATAGAATTTAGTATGTGTTAAATAAAATACAAATCTTTCTTAAGGAATTAAAATCATTAAACAAACACAACTCATATATTGAATATGTTGGCAGTGCTTAAGTACTGAGACATACACTGGTAAAGCCACTGCACCTTGCCTTATTTTTCTAACTGCATACCAAGTACTTATGCCACTTAACATTTTTTTTTTAACTTTTCTTCCCACTCCACAGAGATTTGTTCATTATTTTTTCCTCTACAGCCTCTTTCTAATGTGAATCAGAGGTTCAGAAGGCATAAATCAAATAGGATGTGTTTGAGGTTCTGCATAACCGTACTCAGATGCTAGTGGGTCAGTATTAAATCTCTGTTCTGCATCTGGACTGTACTTATCAAGGCAGCACGTTTCATTTTAGCTAGCATGTTAAATGCTCTCTGGAGCAAATAGCTCTTAAAATACATTTTTGGTAATACTTTTCCTATCATTTCATGAGGCATGTGAGGCATTTGGAAGAAAGGATTAGTGATTTGCAGAATGGAGGTGATTTGGGGAACCACAACTCAAGTAAGAGATGACAAATGGTGATGAAAGCTAGCTGGACAGCATGGGCTGAAGATTTTGTGAAGTGATGTAATTGATTAGTGGTTGATGTAGCATACTCCCTTCCAAATCTGCAACCTATGGAGACCAGATATAACATTTCTCTACGTGCTTCTATTATTTCAGTAACATAGCAGATCTCTGTTTCTATGTTTTTATCAGTGTACAAGTCAGCAGTAAAGTGATCTCTTGAATGAAATTTGCTATGAAACGCTGGTAAACCACAACTAATGTCTTCCAAAAATCTTCCTGTGATTATGAGCAGTGTTGTGCTTTCTACTGGCTCTGTGTAGCACAGTATCCTGCTTTGACAGTGATAAACAGTGGGAGTCTGAAGGGAGAGCATAAGAAATGCACAGAGAGAATTTTTCCCTTTCATATCCCCCACCTTTCTGCCAACATCTGTGGGCAGGAGGCCACATCACATTTTATAGTCCTCTATAGTCCTATTCTCCATGGATTTATATAATCTTGTTTCTAATCTATCTGTATTCTTGGCAATATCCTATGACATTGAGTTCTGCAGTTCTGTGATTGAGCATGGGATTTAATAACATGCTGGATGTTTCAGCAAGTACAACAAGAATAGATAATTCACTTACTATATTTTTCTTATAATTTCATCTCCTTTCACAAGGTTGTCCTGCTCTCTCATTCTTTGTGTTTAGTCATTGTTATTTTGGATTTTTGTAACATCTCTAGACAAAGAATGTGCTGTATTGTTCTGGATCCTGTGTCACAACAGTAAGCCTCATTATGCAGTAATAGTTTTTTGCCATCCTCTTGATTCTTCAGAATATAGAGAGGAACAGCAGAATTTCAGTATAAGAATAAAACCAACACTCTGTAGACATATAAGAACAGAAGCAACATTCTCTGTAGACATGTAAGAACATGTGAACTTCACAGGAAGACTTCAGTTTCTCATTTAACAGAGAAACTTGAAATAGGAATGCATGATGTTCAAATGAACATTGAAATTACTTGTTTTGTTGTGTGATGTCCTTATCTGACATGGATTAATTCTGTGTGCTTGTATTCATTTTCCACATTAAGTATACACAGAACATAACAGAGAACAATTAATTCTGACCAAGCATGCTTTTCTGATTGAAGATTTAGTGCTATCGACTTGTTTTTATACTTAAATTTAGATTAATGGATTGCTGCTTTTAAATTTGCCACTCATCTCAAATTAAAACACTGTATTAGTTGAGCAAAGATTTTTAGCTTCTGTAATCCTGTTAGACAGGTTTATCAGTGTGGCTTGTTCAGGTGATGACTTGTGTTCTTGGTGAACAACACCACAGCCAGTGTTTGTCTCTGCAGGGCCTGGGGCACTGGGGCATCTCTTAGTGAGCCCTGCTGCTAGTACTTTGGTTTGTTGTTTGTTTGGGATTTTTTTGAATTTTTTTTAGCTCTGATTGAACACTGCAAATTTAATGTAAACATTAACAGAATTTAACACATTGCTAGTGTTTCACTAAGAATCTATGTACGTTAATAGGAAATAGAATGACTTGTTCAGACAATAAGCTTGAATTAAAATGTTGTCTCTTGTCATCCTTCTCCCTCATACGCTTCTTGCTGTTTTTTCCCAGCATCAAGAGATCAGACAATGGTGCTTCTAACCATTGTTAATTTTCATTGTAAATGAAATAACCTTTTTAATCTGTATCAACTTATATTGAGAACTGTGCTGGAAATTTCTCTCCTGACTCCAACAATTAACTGCTCATCTTTTGCAGCCTCTCAATGGGTTATCCCTGTGTTGCTTTCTCAGAGAATTAGACCTCTTAAAGGTTTTGAGACTGGAGCTCTTAAGTATGAGGCTGGAAGAAAGATGAGGAAAAGGGTATAAGGTATTTATTGTTTCTTATTAAAGGTATAGGTATTTATATTTACTTTGTATTGTGTGACTGATATGCAAATAAATTTTAAGAGCTGAATGTGTACACCTTGGAAAGAATCTGATGGCAGATTGCTGTTTTGAGACTCAAAGCATAAAGAAACTAAGAAGGGTGGTGAACAGCCACAGTACCCTAGAGAAAAACTTTAGCAGTGGGTAAAAAACATGCATTTCTTTCTTTTCCTTTTTAAGTTTTCAGATGACTGTTCCATAATAAAGAGAAATTCTGAATAGCCAGAAGAATTTTCCACTGGTGCATTTTGGGATTCATACTGAACCATGTTTCCATTGCTTGGATGCTTTTGCCATTTTTTCTTGATGGCTGACCAGAACTTAGGAGATGCATTTCTGTTCCCTGCCTCAAAGACAGACCAGTTCTTAGCATCATGGCCTGTCTTTTACAGAGGTTTCCTTTCAGCCTCTTCCAGTTGCTTTTACCTGAGATAATCAAGAGCTCTTCTAAAAAATCAAATGTGAAGCTATTATTGTATATTTTCCGACTTCTGGTTGTTCACAAAGTGCATCTGTCACCAAATGATGTTATCCTGAAAAATGGTGACTGAGAAATGGCTGGACAAAACAGAAGTAAAGTCGTAATGTGGCTGAGACCCATTAGCAAAAGTCCATATATCTTCAGTCAGTATAAACAAATTCTGCTTTTCAATGCATAGCTTAGAAAGACAAAAATTGTTGTGATTGGGGTTTTATTTATTGTCTGGAAACAATTATTATACACTCTATCTGAAACATCCCTTTGATTTAAAAGTTAAAAAACCCACAAGTGCACATAATAGATTGATTTTGATAATGCTGAGGTAGCATTTGTGGGCATATATGTGTGTCAGAGGAAATTCAGGTTTAGAAAGGCTGAAGAATCAACTCTTTATTGCCCCTAAATCTGCTTTAAAGCTTTTGTGAAACACTTGCTGTGTGTTATTTCTGCACTTTGAAAGCTTCAGAAAGATACAGTGTTAAGATGTGGAAATGTGAGAAATGAGCTGTAGAATGATCCTGCTGTAAAAGACTCATCATAATGTACATGTACAGCCATATTACCAACATTAAGTTTCATAAGCCAAGTGAACATTATCAGTCTTCTGAAATGTGTTCATTTTCTCTCCTTTGCAGTGTGATGATACAATCTGTTTTTCACTGTAGGTGAAAGTGATTTTTACCACAGCTGAAGGTAGAAACTATTTTGTTGTAGTCTGTGGAGAGATACTCTGATGTCTGTACTACTTTTAAGTGTGCATATTCATGGAAGTTAAAAACTGTCGAATAAATTTGTTTAAAAATAAAAATGTTATTGAAGTTTATTGTAAATTTTAATTTTCAAGCAGGTTTTTATATAGATTATGTTCTCAAGCTGTGAATATAAGTGGCCAAAAATATGGGAGCAAATTATGAAAATTTTTGCACACATACTACTTCATTGTTTTTGTAGTCCAAAGGGTTTAGGGAGTTAGCTTGTATAGAGTGTTCACTTGATTTGAAAAAAAACCCACCTGTTTGATTCAGCAGTTTTGGAGGACCTTCAGTATTGCTATCAGTTTTGGTCCATAGAAATGCTAGGATTTTACATTGCAACTCTTCAGTTAATAGTACAAAACCCACACTTCTTAAGTGCCTTGTGACTTTTCTTTTTTTGACAACATGGTACTCGGCATTGTGTGATTGCAAGGAGGCTTGACTGAAGGGGGTCAGAAGCAAAATGTTAGAAATCAAAGCAGAACTTCAATCAGCATGCAGTGCTGGCTTGTCATTGCAGTGGTTTGTAATGGTTTGTAATTGAAATAGAGCATATGCTGGCCTGAAGAGTAAGCCAGGGAGACTACATTTCAAATGCTGTGGGAAGGAAAAAGGAGGATTTTGTGGTATGTATTAAAAACAAGCAGTCATTTAGCTCTTTAATTGTTCAAATCATGAGCATTTTATTGGAGATTACGACCATATTAAAAATATGCTGTTACCTATAAACGTTAATAAAAACAAATACTTACACTAGAGAAGAAGTTATAACCTCAAAAGTGTGATTACTTTATAATAATGTGGTTTCTGCTGTAGGATTTGTTCTAATTCAGACCACATGAGGGAGATCCTAAGATTCAAAGATTAATTATTTATAGCTATTCTGAGTTGCAAATAGTGGTTTTTTTTTCAAGCAGAAATGGCAACTTCTCTTTAGGAAAAAAACAAGGGAGTACACTGCATAGTCTGTCAGTTCCTCAAATATTGTAACTGCCTACCTGCACGTGCCTGTCAGTGTTTTGTATCTGTCCTTTTCTCTTGCTAACTCACTCTTGGTTTGAGGAGTAGGAAAACCATAGTGCAGTGCACTCTTGACCTGTGCCCAATCTCCCTGCAGTTGTCCATAACACCCTTTCTGTTTCCTTGCTTCTCTGCTTCAGTGTGAGCAGTCCCACCTGATGAGAGAGCACGAGGATGTGCAGGAGCGAACAACTCTGCGCTACGAGGAGCGGATTACAGAGCTGCACAGCATCATTGCCGAGCTCAACAAGAAAATCGATCGGCTGCAGGGAGCAACCATAAGGTACTGCAGCTTCCTGGGAATTCTGGGCCAGGGCAAGACTGGTGCAAGACATGGTATGAGTTATACTCTAATGATGACGACTTTCAGGCTTGTCATGACGGATACAGAATAGCTGCCCATAATTAAGTTGTGTGTTCTGCAGGGTATCATGCCAAGCACCCAGGAAGTGCTACCTTCTGTCTGGCAAAGCCACACTTTGCAAAACCTGACAAGCACTGCAAAACATGCACTGTGACATATAAATATTCCTTTTTGTAATGTGCCAGTGTGCCATATAGGTGATAGCAACAGTGTGTAAAAGAAGGTGAAGGCACCCGACTTGAACCTCTGCTTTGAAATTTGTTTTGCAGCCTCTTGTAGATCACCTTAGCAAAGCCGTTTATGGGAAAGATACGGTTCAAATAGATATCAGTAGGTTTTGCCTCTTCATGTGCTGGCTTTTTTGACAAAACACAATGGTACAAATCATGTTGTTGCCTGGTTCTGCTGCAGCAAAGCTTGGGGTATTACACTAGGTTGTTACTGTGTTAAAATAAAACTTACATTTGACTACATGGAAACATTTTTCCTCACTTGTTTTTACATATTATTTGAATGTTGAAAAGTTGGACTAGAGTGCAGAAGGAGTTTCCTAAAGTTTACCTAGTGAAGATGCTACAATACGCCAGAATCTGTGGATTTTCTAGAGAACATCAAGTTAGATTTGATGCATTTGTGGGTAATGTTGATGTGGTGCTCTGGTTATGCAGCCAATTTTCAGTTTTCCTTTACCTATTAGTTGCACTTTTGTTTTTTTTGGTAATTGCTTCATTTCTTCATTGTAAATACTTATGCTAGCACAAGGCAATGTTGTTACAATTACTCACTTAATCTTTCATTAAAATATTGGAATGGAAAAAGAAGAATGTTTGGTGTACCATAAATAAGAGGAAATACCATCACATACATATTTACCCCTACTAAAGCAGAGCTAGAATCACATGTTCATGTTATTTAAGAACATAAGTACTGTTGCCTATGAGATGATTATAACTAGCAATGGTCATGGTGAGATTTCTCAGATATTTTCTGCTGGTAGTAGTTCTCTGAAAAAAATCCCATGAGTCCCTTCTTCATTTATATTTTATTCTTCATTTATATTTATATTTTTCTTTATGATACTTCTGCAGACAAACTTTCCATTTGTCTTTTGAAAAAACTAGTTGAAAAGCAAAATATGAGAAAGCATGAGAGCTGCACCAATTTTTTTTCTTCTTGAGTGACAGAAAAACTCTATGACATTTAAGAAGAATTATTACATAGAATTCATAAAAATGGTGTGTTTGGAATCCTTGTGGCAAAGTAAATGCTAAGTAGAGTACAATTACAAGCTACTGGAATCAGGTGGATAACTCTGAATGTTTAACCATGTCCATGAATGAGTCAGCTGTGACATGCACAGGAACGTGAGGTGTAAGAACCAAGCCTAATGGGATGTACATGTTGCTTTTCATGAAAAATAAAGTTTTTCTGTCCCTTTTGGGCAGTTCTGGCCTTTAAAGGCATCAGAACAATACTGCTGCAACAGGTGCCACACCATTATCATGCCACTCCAGTTTAATTCAATCATATGAGAGCTTGTTTTGCTCAAACGGCTGGAATGCCTCATCTGGTTGTATTTGTTTTGGTTTTATTAGTAAGAACAAAAATTGTTTGTTAAGTTAGTGGCTCTTTTTGTTTCCTTTAATGATGGAAATAGCTTATTTTCTTTGGCAGGCCAATAATTTGGTGTCTGGGGAACAGAGGAGTAATATCCCTTCTGAAAATGGAAACTGAATGGATTCCACAGGGTTTGTAAGGCCAGCTGAAAGAAGGAGAACTGATACCTCCTACTGTGGCGTTCTGTAAATCCACTCTGGGATGCACATATGTCAGTCTTGAGAAGTTGTCTGTGCATCCCACAGAGCAAGGGTGGTGCAGTTACTGTCCTTGCTGGAGCAGGTGTGACTCACAGCGCTCCACCCTTGGCTCTGGGAGCTGTTGAGTCCAGGAGCTGGAGCAGAACAGTCCTGAGTAAAGATGTTCTGGACCGCAGCCCTGCTGAGGCCTCAGCAGTTACACTTTCGTCTAAAACAGAAGGATTTTAATTTTGATTTTTCTCTTTGAAACCTGCAGGTAGTATTGAGCAGGAGCTTTACTTGTGCTGCCACAAAATTTGGGCTGTCTTTCTGGAAGCAGAATTTACAATAATTGCATAACCAATTAATGTTTCCCCAATGCTGACACAGTGACTGTGTGCACCTTTTTCACATATTGATTTTAGATTACAAAAATAAACTAACGTGTAGCTTCATGTACCTCTGCACTATGACATTCTTTATAGTTCCTAAACACAAAAATATTTTGGTAATAATTAGAAGAAACCAGTGCTTCATGAAGGGTATCTGACTATCCTTTTAAATTGTATTATATTTATTTGAATGCGAGCAGTGCCCTCAGAATGTGGGACAAAAAGTAAGGATACACCGTGTTTAAATCTGAATAAGGTGTTGCAACAGTTTGAGGAGGAGTGTTGGCAGGTTGTATAAGCTGGTTAATATTCTCCATTCTGAGAATTTTTGTCTCTGTTTTTTGATGTGTGTTGGGGTTTTTTTGCTTTTGCAGCGTCAGAGTTTAGAAGTGTAATGGCTTTTGCTCATGCAGTTTAGTAATGCATCTCTAGAATCATTGAGAGGTTTGGGTAGGAAGGGACTTGTAAGACCATCTAGTTCCAACCCCTGCTATGGGCAGGGACACCTTCCACAAGACGAGGTGGCTCAGGGCTCTGTCTAGTTTGGCCATGGATGCTTTTGGGACTGAGGCAGCCACAGCTTTCCTGGGAAAGAAGAGACCTTAAGTCACATGTCAATGCATGTGTCTCTTCCCAGGTGTGTCTGATATGCTGATCCCAGTAGCAGTAATCCTACAGGAATATTTTTAGAAGTTTGCAGGATTTTTCTAGGTTTGCCAGCCATTTCTTGGGTCCATGTGTGTGGCCTCACGACTTTAGCTGCAGCTCTTGCTCTGCATTCTTCCAGCATTCCTTGAGGAAAATGAGTTCACCATGCTTGGGGGAGCAAGCCAGCATTCATCTGCAATTGTCTCATCTCCATACTGCTGATGTTCTGGACAGCCTAGCTGGTTTGGAATCCCCCCTCCAAAGAGAGGCATGAGTTACAGCACTCAAATACTCACATGCAAGTAGATGAGCCTCTGTTGCCAAAGATCTCTGACCTTTGACAAGGTGCAGGCAATTTTATCTCAAAGTGTACAGCCTAGAAGATGGGAAAACACGTTGAATGGATCTTCCCACAGAATCGTATTGTAAATTCTTGGGCACAAAGGACACACCCAGTAACTCAAGGACAAAAAGGATTTAGAAATTACACAGTAGACTACTAAAATGTAATAATATCTGTATTCAAGGTGAAAATTTCTGACTTCAGAAGTTTTTAGTATAACCTCCAATTCATTCAAACTTGTCTCTTTTTTCTTAATAATTTCTTCGGCTGTCAAAATCATCTGTAACTTCAGCATGTGACTGACAGTTTTTCTTAGATGTCAAATTGATGTTCAAGAAAAGGAAAAGAGAGATGTCTAATTGCTTTTAGTTCTAAACCAGTGGCTGTTTGGGTACATCTGCAACTCTAAAAATAGCAAGCAACTATAACAATACCAGACAGAAGTATACTCTGTTCTGCTAAGAATTACTTGAAACAGTTGTCAAGAAACCCATTACTGTAAATATAACCCATTACTGTAAAATAATTTGTTCAGACTTACAACTTTATTCTGAGATACGTTTAGAAAGTGTTGGAAGTTAATGGAGAAGAAGGGTAGCAAAGAGACTACAGCATCACAAGAAACAACACAGCACTTACAGTCACATGTACACAGTGACCTGGAAGTCTAATTCTGGCTTCTAAATATGCACTAGGTGGAACCTAGCACATACTGGATTCATTGCAAAGGGCAATGTGGATGTGATAATGTTGGCTTCAGTGTACAGTGCCCACCTCCACCTGCCCTCAGTGATTAATTTCTGTGCTGTGTCAAGTGTGTCACTATTTGTTCACAGTGAGCTAGTTCAGGGGGACTAGTCAATCTTTGTGCACATACACGTGTAGTATTTTCTATCTGAGGGTCTTAAGAGGGTTTTAAAAATAGTTTTTTAAAGTTAAATGATTGTTGAAAAACTGCTGGCACCTGTAGTACAAAGCTATGGACTGTTTGCAACCATGAAGAAAACATGCAGCTTGCCAGTGTTCTGTGGTGTGAAAGGATGCTGAAAAATGTGCAATTTTGCTCACTGTTTTAACAAAATTTTCTGAGTGTCTGTGCAGCACTCTGGTTCTTGGTTGCACCTGATCGACAAGAAAGCAATTGGTAAGAAGTAATTGAAAACCACAGGCTTTTTTCTCTAATCCTCCAATCCTCTGTGTTTAGAATGGCTTGATCTGGCCTTAATTGCCCCCAATTTACCGTGACATTCCAGCAAGTGGAACCATCAGGGCCCATAACAAAACGAATGCCTGCTTTTTACATCCAAGCTGTCGCTAATGGCAGTAATAAGGAAGTTGTAATGCCTCCACCTTCTGGGTTGTGTGGCTGGAGTCCTGTGGCTGGTCACTGTCAGCTGTCGAGCACCTTGCATTTCCAGTGTCACTGGAGGACTCTTTCCTCTGTTTTGGACAGAAATGTCTCAAAGAGCATCTTTTGTTACTGCCAGCATCAGTTTTAATGGCAGGACGTACATTTGTGATGTATCAGTGCCCTTGAATTCCCCCTTGAATTCTTGCCGTCAGTCTGTTTCCAGTCTGTTCTCTCATGGTGGAGCACTGATTGACCAAGCTGCCACATTGTCTGAAATGGATTTCTGATCTTTCTGGTCAGTTTTTAAAAGCATTAGTTCATTTAGAAACTGTTTTCTGGCTTGAATTATCAGAAGAGTGAGAGTCCTACTGCATGACATACTTTTCACTGTCCCAAGATACTGAGGGGCACTTAAACTGAAAAACCCAGAACTACTGCTGGCTAGATGAGGCTGTGTTGTATTTTAAACAGAAAAATCTGTGCAAGAAGACCCCAAAGAAGAGTGGTGAAAAATTATTATTATTATGTGTGCTGTTGCTTTAGGGCCAGTAGAGCTTTTTATACATTTGTAGAGGTAATTCAGGTTTTAAAAATGTAAGACTAATTGTTTCATAAATGAAAAAAATCAATTACCTTCAGAAAAATTACAACTGTTTGAGTGCTTGGTAATTGTTTTGTCTAAAGCTAATTACTAGTGGCTTTTTTTGTGTCTAATAATAGACTGGTTCATGGACATTAACTGATGCATATGTGTCTTCATTACACTGTTTTAACTCCTGCTATTCATTACTAGGTTCTATCACTCTCTTAAGTATTGCTTGGTGCTTCCAAGATCTTTCTTTGATGTAAATCTCAGTGTTTACCAGCTGACCTGCATTTTGTTTAGTAATAGTAGACATTAAGTGCTTCTATTAAAGTCGCACTTTGTTTGCAGTGAAGCAAATGTAAGGGCTAGAAGAGCATGGTAGAAATTGCATCTCACTACCTTGGGAAACCCTGCTTGGCAAGCAAGCTGGAAGTCCTTTTTTGGGTTTCATTGAGGTACTAAGTTCTCACCTCTGCATCTCTGAGAGCAGACTTTACTTCTGTCATTGATGCCTGCATGTATGGGCCATCTTGTCTGCTGTTGTGCCTGACAAATCGAGACACATCTCTTGGCTGAATCCTGCAAGAAACGCTCATCACCATGTAGCACACACACAACAGACCTAACATTATAGATAATCCTCCCAGATGGAGATCCCCAGATAGGTCTTTGCTGTTTCTCATTTCCAAAGCCAGATGGTTCCATTCTCACACTTTTCTGCTGAATCTGCAGCAAAATTAATCTCTGCATGTGATTTAGTGTGCACAAAATGGTGGCTGTTTGTTTTCTATCAGAGGGGGCCCTGCACCTGGATAAACTAGTGTTTTTCCAGTGTTTAAAATAGATACTTTAATGTAAAAACAGTTGCTATGAAAGAAAAAAAAAAGTGAATCTGAGTCAAATCAGCAAATGGATCAAAAGAAAAAAACGTTTACAAATGTTCGCAAGCAAAGCTATTATTCATTTACTTATCTTCTTTCCCACTGCTTTGAACTCTGTGTGGAGACAGGAGAGAAAAGCCCTAATTTTTTAAGCTCATTAGCTTTGGCTAAAGTATTCTGTGTTCTCAATTATTTTAGTTAAACCAGCTTGACAAATAAACTAAAACCTAGATAACTGAGGCTTTTTCCACTAACTCCAGCTGTTCAGTGCAGTGCTCACTTATCTATTCCTCTCTCTTTTGGGAAGAGAAAATTAAAAAAAACCAGTCTCCAAGAGCATTTTGATTCACAAATGCAGGTACTTGCATGTGCCTGACTACTTTGCACACGAACTGGTGACATCCTTGAACTGAGAAAGAGACCAAAACCAGTTACTTCTAATCCACTTGGGGATCAAAGCTACTTGTGCTGATTTGTGTAAATTATCATCTGGGAAGTTACTTCAGAGCAGTCTATGTACTTGCACACATCCTTGGTAGCACTCAGTTCCACCCACTGCTTTTTTCTCCAGTGTCCAGGAGAAATAATGAAGTTGGGAATAAAGAAATGGAAGCCAGGCAACAACTGCTGTGGGTGGGTGTTATGGACATGGCACAGTGTCTTTGCAGTGAAAGTTTAAAGTCATCTCTACTGATTGGACAAAACACTTGTGTGAATTGGATCCTGTGGCTCAGCTTATGGGTCTGAAATGAGTGTCACGAAGATGCACTTCTCCTCCAACAATTTAATTTCTGCCTTTGCTCTCTCTGTCAGGGAGGAGGATGAGTACTCGGAGCTGAGGTCGGAGCTGAGCCAAAGCCAGCAAGAGGTTAATGAAGACTCGCGCAGCATGGACCAGAACTCTGTCTCAGTGCCAGAGAACCAGTCCACCATGGTCACTGCGGATGTCGGTGAGTTGTGTTCTTAGCAGACGAGATGACTTCCCACAGCAGAAATGTATCATAGCTTTTGAAATGCAAATCCAAGCATTTAGTGAGGAAGTGAATTAATATAGGATGTGTTAATCACAATTGATGCTGAGCTTCTACAGACTGTGAACTTAGATGTGAAGTAATCTTTGTACCTTGACTGTAGAAACGTAGAATCATTAAGTTTGGAAAAAATCTGTGACATCATTGAGTCCAACCGCAACCCAGCACTGCCACCATGAGCACCGTTAAATTTAGTTATTGTCCTCCACTGCCATACCCACATAGTTGTCGAACACTTTCAGGCATTGACATACAAAGGGAACCTCGGCTGCACAGGAGATGGGCATATATCCAGAGACGCCCAAAGATGACTTTTAGGTATTACTGTAACACATGGGTGGCTGCTAATTAGGAATTAGTGAAATTACTTCCCAGAAAAAACTTTTATATGTTGCCCATTCAAATTTTTCATGCAATGCTATAACATCATTCTAAACTCTTCTTTTTCGTCAACAGTAGGTTTGTGTTTATATCTGTTAGGCTGTGGAGTTAGGTTAATGATAATGAGTTTGCAGTTTTTTACTTTCTGTTCCTCCTATTCCTTCCAGCAGCTCTCAGTCTTCCCTTGCACAAGGAGGTTTCAAGGCAGTCTGCAATAATCTGGTGACTCAAGTCTGTTACAATTCCAACCCAGTTCACTGCCATACTGCTTTAGTGCCCTGCAAGGTCCAGGGCCGTGAGACTACCATGAAGTTCTAACCATGGTGAAGTGCTTTCACCAGCAGTACAGGAATCACAGCCTCCACCAAGAATGCCTGCCAATGTTTTTAGTGGGATAGAGAAGCTGCGGGTGCACTGCAACCTCATAGTGCACCCCTTGTGTGCTCTGCCATGGGTAGCTACTGCAGACTCTGACCTAGCCAGCCAGAAGTACTGGCTGGCACATCCAGGAGACAGCGCAAGGGTGAATTCTGCCACAGGTCTCCCTTAGGATCTGCCACGCACTACTGCCATCTCTGTTCTTCACCAGAGATGAACCTAAGAGAAACAAAAATAATTTATGGAGTGAGCTAGCAAGGTACAGAGACCCACTTGTTTTCACCTAAGTGGAGGATGCTATGGCAGTGGACACTAGAGGAGGTTTGTCTGAAGACAGGAAAGGAAGTCATTCTGTGTGATACTTTACAATTAAAATAGCGTTGGTGTATAAGCTGGTAATATGGTTGTAGTATGAAACAAAAGCTGTGGTGTTATGATCCCTGAATATTCACCCATTTTATTTGAAGGAGTAGCTGTTAAAATAAAACACAGGCTCTAAGATTATTGGTAGGGATCATTTCTGTAAACACCACGACTTTTTAAAATCAGGCAATATCTAAGTAGAACTACAAAAATTCCTCTGAAAAACATCAAGTCATAACATCCCTGAATGTACCAGACAGAAGAATCTTGTATTTACAGAGTCGAATGTATGACTTCAACAAAATCAGGATAATAGACCTTGAATGGCCAAAAGAACAACATAAAAGAAAGTCACAGAATGTAAGCATGTAATATCTTGAAATGTTCTTCAGAAAAGAGGGAGTTTTGAAGAAAGAATGAACACTTCAGATAAGCTGTGGGGTGTTGTCAGATGAGAGGTAGCTCATTATTTCAGTTGGTGTGATTATGGTATTTAAGCCTATCAGTTGTTGAGGAAAAAGTGGCAGAGTGCAAGGACGTTCTCTGAGCCGTATCAGTCCTGGCTGTTCTGAAGCAGACACTTCCTGGCTGAGAGTTTGTTTTTTCACTGAGTCACTAATTGTTGTGATGTTTGTTTTGTTTTGTCTTGCTTTCTTTTAGATAACTGTAGTGACTTGAATTCAGAACTGCAGAGAGTGCTGACAGGTCTGGAAAATGTTGTCTGTGGGAGAAAGAAAAGCAGCTGCGGTTTATCGGTGGCAGAAGTGGACAGGCACATTGAACAACTCACTACTGCCAGCGAACATTGTGATTTAGCTATTAAGGTAATGGTAACATTAGGCTCTAAAATGCAGTGTGTTCATTGCCTGAGACACCTGATCACTTCTGTAATAATCATAATCACACTTTGCTTCCAAAGGTGTTAAAAGTACTTCACAGGAGTCAACTGGAGTTCACAGTGTGTAAGTAGTAACAGACCTATTCTACGCCTCCCAGGGTCCAGGAGGAGCTACTTTGGAACCTCAGATCAGAAATGTGTTTGTCCTATGCTCATTTCAAAGATAAGAGAAATGGGGATACTCAACAGTTAATTTACTTTCTTAAGTAATTTTGCTTATCCAGCAAACAAGCTCTCACCTGCCCAAGGTCCTACAGGTAATCATTGGCCAGTGACTGAAAACACACTGTGTATGTTTGTGGTTGGTTAAGTTGTGATTGGCTGCCTTAAAATATAAAGCTGTCCTGATTCCAGCCAGGACTGGGCTAATTTTTACAGTAGCCAGGAGGGGACATGGGCAGGTTGTCCTATATCCCTCATTTTCCAGGAAGGGGAGAAGGGGTCCCTTCCTGGTCATGTATTCTTGGGGGTGAGAGCTCATGTGCAAACTGCCCATTTCTTGCACAATCCCTTACTAGTATTTTTGCTGTTACTGTTCATTTTCTTACCTCATTGCTGTTTCCAGAAAATAGTTTTTATCTCAACCCTGGATCTTGGCATTTTGAGCCTATAATTTCCCTTTCTACCCCTCCACTGGGGACTGGGAAGTGAATGAATAGGGCGTGGTTTGGAGTTGTTTCAGTGGGAACACTAAATTGGGGAACACCATTCCCCACAGCACAGCAAAAGGTAATTTAACACTAAACATTGGTTGTGCATTCATTCAAATGAGATAAATCAGCCTCAGGAACAAATAATTCAAGTGATATCTGTATGTTGTGAGTGTAACTGAACAGGGGGATGGATGTTTGCTGGCACATGTAACAAAAGACACTGCAGTTCAGAACCTGAAAGCAAGAGAGCCACAGAGAATCTTCCTATATACAGGGGAAGACATGAACAAACTTTTTGTGTCAGGTGGAAAGGTGTCAATGACTCATTTATACAAGAAAAATTGTACTGACACATTGGTCTTGCAGTGAGGAGGTCTCTGACCATTCTGGATGGCTTTGACAGCCCTTTGTCCTAGTACTGGGAAAAGCTCCTTCTCTCCCTGGTGGTGCCTGAGGAATATAACAAAATATAGAGCAATTAATGTTGAGTAACAATTTGAAGAATGTGTGTATATTTGACTTCTGGTCTCTTGGGAGCAGTATTAAAGCAGTTTATTTGAGTATCTCAGAGGATTAGGATCAGTAATTTGAATGTTGCCAAGTACTTTTTAGAGTTTGAGTGTTAGCTATTTTCAGAGGTCACTATTCACCAAAAGAGAGGCTATGGATTCTGGGAAATAGGAAAAGATCAGCCTGTGTGAGGCCCACAAAGGTATCTGAAGTGAGGTATGTTTAACAGAGGGAAACGCATACATGGAGCCCCTCTCCACCATTGCACCCCTGGCTGCAGGTAATTTCTGCTTTCATGTTTCCTCAGAGGAAAAAATGGGGAGAATTTTAAAGTGGGTGGAATTGTGAATGGAAACCTGAAGTCTGCTGACTACTTTTTGCTTTGGCAATTGGCTTTTTTTTTCACCAACAGACTAATGCATTTAAATGTTTTAAATCCTTCAGCTTTGGTGGTTAAATTTCACTGGATTCCTTTTATTGCAGTTGCTGCTGAATTACTTTTTGCTTCTTTTATACAAATTATGTCACCCTAGCTGTCTCAATTGTTCTGCCCCACAGAAACTGAAAAGACCTTGAAATCAAATTTATCAGATTGTCTTATTAACTGAACAGTTACAAAAGCATACTTTAAGAAAAGGAGTTAATAAAATTTCCACAGAATAGTCCGATTAATGCCTTGTTTGTTTTGGAGATCACATCAGTAACAGATACCTAACTAAAATTTTTCTGATTAAAAAAGCTGTAAGTATTTCCAAGTATGGAACATTTAGAATATGAGAACAGCTGTACTGGGTCAGACCAAAAGTCCATCTACCTAGTGGCAGATGCTAATGGAAAGACAGCATCAAAAATTACATGTGTAGTATGTTCTTCCCCTTCCTTCAGAGATGCTTCCAGCAAAGTGGGTCTGTAGAAACTTGAACCAAAGATTATGTCTTTGTGTTGAATTGTAATGAGTGAAATTTTGTTTTTTGTTAACATCCAGTGTGCTTTTGGACCTGTCTAAATTTTTGGCCTTCATAAATTCTGTTAGGAATAAATTCTGCCATTGAGTTACACCATGGGAAGAAGTCCTGCTTCAGTATCTTTTAAACCTGATACTTGCTGATTTAATCTGATATCTCATCTGTAACACAACACTTCTTGTAAAGAAAATAAGGTAGAGAGCACTGATGGCAGTGTCAGCGACAAGACTGGAATTACCATCATATGACATCCTGCTACCCTGTGCTTAGAATGTGACATTGTAATTCAATCCCATACTTGGGATTGAATACCTGAATTATCTGCTGTGCAGCAACACACCAGAAAAACTGCTCTATAGTGCAGCTTTGAAGAAAACTAATCAGCATTATTTTACATAACTATATCTGTGTACAGTGTTTATGTTTTATTTTCCATGGAGGATGGTTGGTAGCATATTGGACATGACAGAATTGCTCTAGTGGTAGTGTTCTGAGAAGCAGTGGTTTAGGAAGGGGTTGGGAAAATAGCAACACTGGAGCATGGGGAATGGGGAGGAAGGGGCAGCAGCAGAACTTTGAATTAGAGGGATGAAAAAACAGCAGGGGGTGTTGTGGGGGAAGAAGAGAGAGGAGAAATCAGCCACAAAGAGGTTTAAAATAAAGATGGCATCATCAAAAGAGGATGCTCCTGCCATTACAGAGCTTCTCTTTACATTGTGAGATTAACCACCTTGTGCTTATTCAGATCTTGAACTCACCCTCATGCTGTGTTGAAATAATTTACCTGGTCATAATTTGAGACCTATGGGTGCAAGTGAAGCTAATAACATTGGAGACCTGCAGCTTCTTTCACCTCACAGAGATGTTGCAAGCCTCTGCTTTTGCAGAAAAGTAATTTCAGTTTCCTGACAAATCTGTAAGCAGAATTACAGTGTAGATACTCTGATCCTCTGTCAATAGAGTTTCATAATTGTGGCTCTGAAATGTATTGCAGTTTTAGGTAAGAGAGACATGAAATACACTTCAAAAGGATAAACTGAACAAATAATAAAATCTCATTGATACCTCAAAGTCAGACAATGCTGAAAACACTGGTAAGATTTCTTGCAGGAGAAAAAAAAGTGTCTCCAGCTAGGCTTATTTTTTTCATCTGTACTCTAGTTGGTTTTTTTGGTCCCTCCGAATTTAAAGGAGTAAACAAAGCAGTAAATACTCAGTAATATATAGAATCATAGATTCCTAGAATATGCCAAATTGGAAAGGATACATCAGGATTTAAATGTTCTTTTGAATAAAATAACTAAATAGATTATTATTAACCTTGGTGCATCAGTTATTTTCCATATTAGATGTAAAAGTATAGGCTTTGGCTGTAACTTGTTTTTGGATTAGCCAATTTAATTAAACTTTCTGCATTGACAGTGATGTCATATATTCTTTTATTTTCCACATTTCCATCATTTCAATACACACTGCTTTCAGGAAGATTAAAAAGCTTATGGGCAGCATTTGGAGTGGTTTTGCTTGTTGCAGATATCTTCCATAATTAGACATGGAGCAGAGGCACAGCCTCCACTAGGTAGTAGATTCCAGACTGCATGTGGCTCCCCAACAGGCTGTTATGCTGTGTTTCAGCATGTTAGTGGCCAGCCTAACAGTTCAGGCATGGCAGTATTCCCTTGCTGGTGGTGGGTGCTTGTAGTTCAGTTTTCCCCACTGTAAGTTCCTGAATGTCCCTTGAACTGAGCAGTGTGTACACAGCTCTGAGCACAGAGGTGGGATGGGAAGTGCTGGATGCCATTGTGTCCCAGAGAAACCAATAAGCCTTTTTTTAGGTACTAGAAAGGCTGTAACATCCCCTGTAATCCTAGTCAAGGCCAGAGTTTTTTCTTTTATTTTGCTGTCACCTCAAGGAAAGAACATACTCAGGGACACAGGAAAGAAGAACCCTCTTTTAATCCTCTCCCAGCCTTTTTATTGCCCTTTTGTGGCATTAGTCTAGCAACAAATCAGGCACATTCACTGACCGCCCATTTCTGCTTGTTACTTAGCAGGGAAACAATAAGTACAATGCTCACCCATGACAAGGAGTAATTAATTTGTTCTAAAGTATTCTGAGATTAAACTACCAGGATTAGTGTCATTCACAGGTGACATGTTTTATTTGCATGTATTTGTCTGCTTTGGTGTTTGTCAGTATGAAATGTTTTAATGAAATGGTCAAACTGTCAAAGAAAATAATTTTGTTTGATATTACTTAGCAAACAAAAGAAGCAAACTAATGGTGTTGAGAGGCTGGGAGTGTATATGTAAGTGTGTAGAGTTGCCTGTTAGTGCACAATTCTGTCCCATCTACCCATTAATCCTGCTCAGTTGTCTTTGCCCCTTTCTGTTTGTTGATGACTGTGTTTTTTGCAGACTGTGGAGGAGATTGAGGGAGTGCTGGGACGTGACCTTTATCCAAACCTGTCTGAGGAGAGGTCTCGGTGGGAGAAGGAGCTGGCTGGCCTGCGGGAAGAGAATGAGAGCCTCACAGCCATGTTGTGCAGCAAAGAGGAGGAGCTCAACAGGACCAAGGCCACCATGAACGCTGTCCGTGAGGAGAGGGACAGGCTGCGTAGAAGGGTAAGGCTGCTGCACAGATAATGCCCTCTTCTTCCTCCAGCCTGTATGGTTTTGTCACCAGAACAGGCTTCTCTTTAATCTCACTTCCTGTGCTGGCTATAGGGCTTTTTGCTTTCAAAGCTGGGCTGTACAAATGACAAAACTAGGGCAGAACTGAGCATAATTGAAAAAGAGTGCGTGAAAAACAGCTAGCGTGCACAACAGCCTGATTTCAGAAATCAGAAAAACTGATATGCATCTTCAAGGAAGCATACGTAACTTGGCTATAGAGAAAGCAGATGTTCATCTAGTGAATTTTCCTGTGAGGCTGTTTTTTCCTTGTAAACAACAAATATTTCTTTGTTTTTGATGGGAATTCAATTGGTGATTAGCAGAAAGACAAAAAGCAGGACTCCTGTTAGTGTGCAGTAATTCTCATGCTGAACAATGACTAGTTTCAGCCATGTCCTGCTTCCCTGTCTACATTTTACGATGCTTTAAGGTCAGATAAAGGCTTTGTGTGGAGTCCAAAGTTAAAAAAATAAGGGGGGAAGATTTGTTCACAAAAAAGATGAAATATCTGAGAGAATGTGACCTCAATCTCAGTTATTTTTAAAATTTGTTAACTTTGTACCTGGTAAATATGCAGAGTTTTGTCTAGATATGAAGTTTTTTAATTTTTAAAACAGGTAGTTTCAATTTTGTGTTCAGTCTAAATGACAATTCAGACCACCATATCATGGTAAACTATTGCAAGTATTACTCTTTACCTGTTGGCAACAGATGAGCTTTTTTGCTGTTCTAAATTAACATTGTTCTGCAGTGACCATGCCGTTATAATGCATGTGCCATAAAGCATGAACCTACATCATGTAAGATTTGTAATCTTCAGGTATGACACTTCAATTTACCTTTCAAAACTCCCTGTCTTCGCCTAAACTAAAAAGGAATGTGTTATGAGGCAAGAATAGTAATCTCATATCATATAAAGCAAGACCACTTTGATTTTTGCTTTGTAAATTTTTGTCTTATCATATACTGTAGGTTGTTTTCAGTCCTGAAGTTTTTGGACTGATAGTGACAGCTTTTTTTAGTGGAGACAATACTACCCCTTGAGCCACAGAAGTAGCGTTTATGGACTGACTGGATTGTTACCAAACTGAGGGAGTGGACATCAACACAAGTAGGCAGAGAGTTGAAGTGTGTGCTTGAGAAATTTACTTACACAAATGCAATTATTGACACTCCAGGTGACACAGATGAATACTGAGATATCAAACAAGAGAAAGATAGGTGGCCTTGAATATACAAAAAGATTCCTGTTTGGAGAAGTATGGCATGCAAGTTAAGGGATTTGAAAGAACAGTAACAAGAATTTATGCTGACATCCAGGAGTTACTCAGTTGAGAAACAGAAAAGGGGAAGGAGTTGGTGTTGTTTCCTCGGGGATCAGCATGACTGAGCCATAGTAACAAATTCAGTCCTATGACGTACCAGAGAAGTTATTTTCAGTAGGGGCTGGAAAAAGTGTATAAAGAGTGGTGAGGTCTGATCTGGAATGTTATATGTCATTCTTATCTCTTAAAGGTGAAGTTTAAATTGGCAAAAAATTATGTAGACAATGGTCAAAGAAATGGTCGTGTTCTGTAGAGGAGGGACTTGTCCTGTTCGGCATGGCAAAGCAAATTTTTAATTTGTTTTCTCTTTACAAATGCTAGAGAAAGAATATAAAAATGGGAGCAATGATTCTCTAAACTCAGGAACAAAACTGGAGCAAGAACGGAATAATACAAACCACTTGTGCCTGTAGGGGCACAAAAGTTAGACTATGGGGTGTCCAAGAAATAGGAAGGTTTCTGATTCTGAAGAAACAGTAAGGAGTAAAGCTACTGACTACTTTCTAAATGGAGCTTTGAAATATTAAAGTTATGTTTGTATAATGAAATATATTAATATGCAAGGATACCTGTTAAAACCAGGATCATTACATTAGGATTGTATCTGAAGGAAAGCAGAAAAAGCCAAGTTAATACAGCTGCGTTAATTCTAGAGCCAGCCTCAGCATCTTTTAATGATTCTACTATGTTTTGTCTGGCTGCCAGCAGTTCCAGTTCTCTATTATGGAGGTATCTCTGCTGGAAGCAGAATTAAGGTCATCAGCTTGTTTCAGTTGTTTGTAACTAGAGGACTTTACTGAAATCTGGTAATTACTATCATCCTTATCATGCAAAAAAACTAATTTATTACCCCCACCACAGAATTTTGTTCATGACATATGACCCTGTCTGCACACTATGTAGTTGTTGCACTAGAGACCATATTTGCATTTTTAATGTAACTTCATGTCCGTAGTGGCAACAAAATAAATTTTCCTTTTGATCTATTTTCTATATGCAACCTGAACTCAAAAGTCACTTCAAATTATTTCCCTGGAGAGTGGGAAAGGAGACCAAACTAAAATTTAGTTATTGTCCTTCTCAAATTAAATTGGATGAAGTGAACAAGCTTGAAGTTGACCAGATCAATAGGTCTATTCCTTCAGACCAATGCCTGTAATCAAGCAGAGTGCTTTCAATACATTTTTTCTCAGGCTTGTTGGAGATTTAATTTAATTAGGTATTTACTGTGCTCAGTTAACAGATTGAGCTGCTCTCTGGAACAGTAGCTAAGAAACAACATACATTCAGAGTTTGTTTCTCACAGGTCATTAGCGAGAGATGTAATTGCTTACTTCTGTAGGTTGTCTGCAGTGTAACAGCTAATTTCATCATGCAGAGGTTTATTTTACCTCTGCATTGTTTTACTGCATTAAAAATAAAATCTATTTAGATCCAGGCCAGTCAGTGCCCTAGAAACTGCTTACACATAGCTGACCATAATCCTGAATCCAGTAATACAGATAAGATGGTGGGGAACTTCTGTACCAGTCTGTGGGATTATTATTATTACATGAGAATAAGGCTGTAATCAGGTCAGCACTATTTACAACTGCTACACAGAGTAACAGGCTTAAATAGTAGAAGAAAAAGTAATATTTCTGTTATTACACAAAAGCCCTTTTATTCAGCAGGGGATTCAGATGAGCAGCAGTGAAACAGCATATAAACTCCATCCTGACAGTAAAGTAAAAATAGTGGGTTTTTTAATTACTACCCATAAAAGTTGTCAGATGAGTGGTACCTCAGTAAAGTCTTACGGAGTTGTTTGGCATAAAAGGCAGTGGATGTGGGCAGCATTCAGGCTTCCCTGAGGGTGTTCTGAAAAACTAAGTCTGAAATTAAAAGGCAGTTCCAGATCTGAAAGTCTGTTAAGTCTGTTCTGCATGAGCCGTATGTCAGCTTGTTCAGTTAATACCATGCTTCTGGTTGTGAAGGTTTTTCTGTACCTTCTTCAGGCTCAGCTGAAATCACCAAAATTACCAGAACAAAAACACTTCATTACCTGTCTTCAACTGAGACCATAATAGAAACATAATTTGTGGAGTAGTAGAAAATTAGTATTTTATGTGTGATCCCATCAGCTGCCCACATTTCCCACTCCAGAGAACTTTGATTTGAGCAGAGGGCTCTCCCAAAATACATTATTCTTGTGAACAGTTGAAACCTCCCCCTTTCACAGCAGGACTCGAATCCTTGGCCTCGCAGGTGTTCTTAGGCCCACACTGTTCTCAGATGACACAAAGCTGGCAGGATCTGCTGGACTTTGTTTTGTAGTCATTCCCTTTGGGGTCAGAAGGTATTGTTCCAGATTGCTGGAGAGCCCTGATACATTATGGGCCCTTAGAGATTATGATCATCTTGCACAGCTTAAAGTGACCCTGGAGCTGTTCTGCCTCCTTTGTCTTTTGATGAGCGCCAGAAACCTGAGGTAGCAGCCCAAAGCAATTTCCATTCTCTGTATCCTTCACTTGCATGGTGTTTGCTTATGCAGCAGTATCTCCTCTTGGGTATCAACAAAGTAATTTTACTTCTGATTCCAAGCTGAGATACAAATACTCAGTGTTTAATTGACCTTATAGATACCAGGAAATATTTCTTTACCATACTCAATTGATCACAAAAGACAATATATAGGAACTCCGCAAACTTTGTTTGCTCTGGTGCTCAGATATAGAAGAGGCAGAAAATTATCTGGCTGAAAATGATTGACACTAGGACTAAATGAAAGGTAAGGCCTTTTTTTGGCTGGAAAAGACCCTCACCAAACAGAGCAGCTCAAATTGTTACACTGGTGTTTGATTTGGCATCTTCTCCTCCACATATATGCAGTACGCATGAATAAATTAGAAAGCGGGAGAAGTTCACTCCTTGTGGTTTGCTCTACTTCGTCTTCCTCCTCTGTATAATAGGTGAAAGGAAATGAAGCAGCATTAAAATGCTGAGGGAGAAAAGTGCTGTTATTTGAAGGGTTCAAATACCACACGATGAAACAGGTCACAAGTAGAGTAGAACGAAAACAATCACGGGCATGACCCTTATTTGCAACTGGTTTAGAAACAAATGCAGCAGGTGTCCTTCGAATGTGGAAATCAGTGACAGAAACAGGCAGTTCATAGGTGTGGTGTTTTATTTAGGATATGTTAATGAATCATGTAGTTGTCACTATGCATGTGCAAAATACAAAGACTAAAAACATGCTTCTTAGAGTCATGGTTACAAATAATGAAAATATTCCACTGAAATATTTTTCTGTAACCCATGATGCATTTGGACAAACATGTCTGTGGCACATGTTAATTTCTTATTAAGTGTTTCATAAATTGAACATTGCTATAGTGCATCAGCCCCTTTTCTCTTCTACTCTTGCTTTCTTTTTTTTTTTTTAGTTCTTAAGGTGATAAGAAATTGCATTTAATTTTTCACTATTTCCTACTCCAATTCTCTGCATTCAAAGGAAAAAAAAATTAGAAATGCAGCTCAACAGTTGGTTCAATTGCAAAACATAAAATATTAATAAGTGACATTTGGAGTTACTTTTGTTTATATTAATAACTTAAGAACATCTGTTTGCATCTGACCTTTCTTCTGTATCTAGGCCAACCATTGGTCTGAAACCTAATGGTTCTGTTGCCTTGTGTCTCACTTAATTCTGGTTCCAGAAGTGCTAGAACTCTGGAAAGAGCAGGAGCAGGTGCTCCTGCTATTTCCAGGGTTCCAGCACTTCTTTACTTATGTAATTTCTTGGAATACCTTCAGTCATTTGGAAGATCTTTCTGTATATTTATTTCTGGATTTCACAGATGTTTCCCTGGATTTCTCCTTTTTCCCTTCATTCTCAACTCCTTTTTTTTTTCCTAACCAATAATAAGATCTGCTTGCCAGACAGTTTCCACCTCATTTTAGTGCTTCAGGAGTTTTATGGCAATTTTTTATACCCTTCTGCATGTTTCTGTGTTTAAACGAGTGTGATGCAAGGACTCAAGAAATTTTTCCCTAAATCCTTCCTGGTTATTCCTCCTCCCAAACTCAGAAATCCACACTCTTCCTGTCTTATAATGTAACTTTTTTGGGTTTGTTTCTATACTTGTCTTTACCTATTGCATTTTGCCAATTTCGTCATCAATTTCCTGTAAGATATTCCCTTCCTCTCTCTCCCATTTCCAAGTGTTTATTGTCTCATGGCAGTACTGCAGTTTACCTTCATTCTATGAGTTAATCTTCAGAATCATTTACATTACATTGGTAATGATGCTAAAGACTTCACACAGGGGGTCAGACAATTTTTAATCTTGCCTTTAAAACCAGTCTTTCCATAACCTGTGCATTCACTAAACCAGAGAATAAAATGGTTCTTATGAACTCTGATTTGGGTTTGGGGTATTTTTTTCTCTTCTTTGGTCATCCTTTGTTTTTTTTCTGTAGAATAGCTACCAGTGTGAAAAAGTACTTTCTGAAGAGATGCTGCATACTCCTCTATTTTAAATGGAGGTTTTGGTGACCAGAAATAGTTACCTGATGTGTCTCTGGGCAGTGTGGTAGATGGGCAGCCCAACCACGAGATCCTTGATGAATGTGTGAATTGTGACATGCGTGATTTTACCGGTCAGACAAACTTACCCTCTTATCCGTCTTAGAATTAGCATCCAGTACACAGTGTTGCTAAAATTAGTGCAGTTATTTATAGCAATCAGTCCAGCATGTAATTTCATAAATGAAGGCCTGACTTAGTAAATGCATCAAGAAGGACAGATAAGCAGGCAGCTTCTTATCATGGCAGTGAGTTGCACAGATTAATTGTGCTGTGCTCTGAGTTTTCTTCTAGAAGTGCTTTTCTGAGCAAAGCTTTACCTGACTACACTCTTAGCTGTATTAATTTCTCTTTCTGTTGCCAGTGTTGTTTTACAGATTTGTATGAATAATTAGCTTTGTAATCCTGGCCAATAGTCACTTCACAGTAAGAAAACACAGAATAAAGGAAACCTATCTGCATTAAAAGTTTGTGTGATACAGTCTTTGCATAACATAGTTCTGAACTTCAGAGTCTACCAACACTTGGCATTTAAACAACTTTACCACTCTCTTTCCTGGTTGCACATAAATTTAAAATGTTATTTGCTTTTGAACTGCAATCTTTCAGGACTGGCTTCTGAGCATAGGTGAACATTTTAGCAATTTTTAAACTGCACATGGAGGCTGGGCTTTTATTTCATAAAGAGTACATCCAAATGGTCTTCCTATTTGTTTGCTTTTAAACAGTGCTGTAACTTAAGGACTTGGAGAATTTAATTTGAAACAGCCTGTGTTGAAAGAAATAGTAATAAATGGCAATTTTGACTTAATGACGTTTTGGGGTTGCTTTTTTTTCCCCTCAGTGTCAATACTACAGTGCAAATCCTGTCTGCACTGGCATTCCACATTTGCAAGCAAAAATATGCATGCATGGTTTATTTCAGGTTTATGCATATCAACAGGCTGAAATTATTGGTTTGGACCAGTAGAGCACTTTTGTCCTTAAGGTTTGCGTTAGTGCAGCTGTACCCATGTTGAAGCTAAATATGTCTGTATGAACAAAGGAGGTCGCAGCTGCAAATATGTAGAAGATATGTGCTATGGATGTCCACTTCATATGCTCTGCTCAGTTAACTTTATGAGATAATTGCATTTATGATACATAATTCTGGGTCAAGCACCCATATCCATTTTTCAGCAAGTACTTTTAGCACTGGGGGAATTGATTTGAATTTTTTTTGTACTTCTGTTTTTTGGAATAATTTTGTTCAAGGTGTAGCCTTGTAGCTCTGCCACAACTGAACGAGGAACTTAGAAGTGCAATGTGACTTTGTGTTTTTATTGTTGCCATATATGGCTTTTTAAAAATACCCTGTTATGTAAAATACACAGACTTTTTTTTTCTTTTTTTGAATTTGTAAATACCTAAAAATTCTTTTGACGCTAAGTGTGCAGGCAGTCTGTCCTTCAGTTTGCATACAACAGAGGGAGAGGCGGGGGTACTCTTCAGGAAATAGGAGCAGGCTGTAGAGGATTGTAGGAGACGTAAAATACTGTCTTGGTGACTGGAAGGCTTTCCAATTTGAGCTCTTTCCTCTCTGCAGTAAGTTGAAGTGTTCTTTACAGAGAACATGACTGCTGCTGCTGCTTCAAGCAGAGATTGATAAACACTGTCCAGATGCACCTACACTGAAGAAAGTGTAAGCTTTGATGCAACTTTATATATGGGGTTTTTTGACTAAGGGACTTCAGCTTGCTTAGTCATTGTATAAATGTATTTAGTATAAAATCCCACATTTCTTTAGACAGTAGGAATCACAGTTGCATTTCATGCTACATACAAGGGGAGATATGGGCTGGACTTTACTTGACTGGACTTCTGATAAAATTTCTCAAGTTCAGTTTTGTAGAGGGACTATTCCAACAAAGTTGCATAGAAACCTGTGTATTTAAGCACAGCTGTGTTCAGGTGAATTTCCTCCTTAGATGGTTTCCTTCACCTTCTCCTATCTCACACTATTTGAGATCTGTGGGAAAAATGAGCTCTGTCACTTTACCTTGTGTCATAACTGTTGTGTTAAGCAGGCCATTTATTCCTTGTCTGTTAAGAATTATTCCAAGGTAAACACTGTAATCTTTAGCACAGCTATAGTTTGGCTTCAGCAGACCTTTCTTTTTTTTTTTTTTTTAACCTTTAAACTGAAAATCTTTTGACATCAGTTCTACAAGTATCTGATCTGTTATGAGGACCATGCTGTGTTTTCAGGGTATGTTTACAGAGAGCTTTTGCAGACTGTTGGTTGAGTATTTTGCTGGTATTTATTTTTGTCTGTACATTACTCACTAAATGTAGTTTTAGTTGACTGTAGTTTCAAAGCATGATTAATGTTTGAATTTCTTTAACCTTTAAATATGACCAAGTCATCATGTGATTTATTTATGTCAAGTATTTTTTTTGTACTGGAGTTTTCCATTAACAGGAGGATTGTCATTTGATTTGTTTAGCCATCATCATTGTAGGCTGGAGCTTTAGCTTTACCTCAGAGAGAATAATTTCTATAGCTATAGTACAGCTGAAACTTTGAATACTTATTCTACAGTATTCTGCATATTTCCACATTGCACATATTTTAAAAAACTGATAGCTGTGGGATTTTAAAATAACCTACACTCATCTGCTCCCCATGTGAAAACTTTGTGGCTTTTTTGGCAGTACAAAATTGTAACTTCTGTGCTGAAGCCAGAAGCAATTAGACTTGGCTAGACAATGAGCAAATATCCAGACTGTTTAAACCATAAAAGTGGAAAAATCAGAATGTTGTGTTTTATTGCAGGTTCGGGAGCTGCAGACTCGTTTGCAGAGTGTGCAGGCCATGGGGCCGTCCAGCCCGAGCCGCCTTACTCCTGCCAACCGCCCCGTCAACCCCAGCACAGGAGAGCTGAGCACCAGCAGCAGCAGCAACGACATTCCCATTGCCAAGGTGGGGTTTGTGTCTTTGTGACCCTTTTCATGACCTGGGAAAAGCAGGCTTCACTTTGTGCTGTGCGAGCATGGGATTAACTGGGGGATGTTTAGGGCAGTGCTGAGCAGATCCGTGAACTTGCGCTGTAGAAAGGAATTAAACATTTTTGATTGTAGTTCTCTCAGTTGCAACGCAGGGCTCAGTTCTCTAGTAGTTTGCTTCAGCTTTGCGAGTATAAGTAGAGAACAGATGGGGTTTGTGTGATCTTTATGTGGTGTGGGCTGCTGTGTAACCTGTGCAGCATTCTGACTTGCAGATTGCTGAAAGAGTGAAGTTGTCAAAGACAAGATCAGAGTCTTCATCATCTGATAGACCTGTCTTAGGATCAGAAATCAGCAGCATAGGGGTAAGGACTAAGAACTGTGTGCATGCACGATCCATGTTCCCAATAAAAGCATTCTTTTCTTAATAAAATTAATGATGTGGACTATCTGAAAATACTTGAAAAGCTAGTTGGAGAAAAATACATCAACAAAGAATATTTCACCCTGTATTAAGCTCCCATTTTCTCAAAACCAGTAGCTAGAAGGCATTCTGATAAGTGACTTCCAGAGGAAAATTTTGGAGTCAGTTCCACCAAAATATTCTTCGGGAAGACTCTCCAGTTTTCATTTTCACAACCTTCAACCAACAGTGAACTGGATTCTGCTTTTGAAATGCCAGTTTCAATCAGTAACACTGCTGTTACTGTGTGTTAATATTTCTTTTACTGAAGAACTTGGCTCTAACCCTTTGCTAAACTCTCAAGAATTATTTCACGTATAATGAAATAGTGGACTTCACCCTTGGTTAGTAGAATTTTAGAACAAAATCTCTTCTAAAACTGGAATTTTGTAAATGTTCTATTCAATGTAAAATTCATAACAAAAACTGAATAATGAGTGCGTTGAATTGAGTGCATGCAAGCAAATGCAGTTCTCAATGCAGAAAGTATCTGGGAGAAATCCAGTGGGTATCTCTTCTCAATGATCTATTAACTGCCCTGTACAGGTCTCTAGTACCGTGGCTGAACATTTGGCACATTCCCTCCAAGACTGCTCAAACATCCAGGAAATCTTCCAGACTCTCTATTCACATGGATCTGCTATCTCTGAAAGCAAAATCCGAGAGTTTGAAGTGGAGACGGAGAGATTAAATAGGTGAGCTAGAAATTTAGATGTGCTCACGCATGTTGTCTTCTGTTAGCTTCATTAGAGTTGATTCCATTTTTACCCTTTTTGATCAGTTCTTAATTCAGTTCCTGCTCAGCTGTGGCAGCTGCAGATAAGCATGGAATGTGCTTGCTGCAGAGGAGATCGAATTATGTACTAAGGATTCTTCCCATGAGTATGAGTTTGTTTGTGCAGTATTAGATCAGCACAGCACCTTCCCCTCTCTGCACTCTGGAGTGTCCCTCTCTGTGGCTGACCAAGTAGTCATGGCATCTTTTTTTCATAAGACACATTACTCCTTGAAATAAGGACTCCCATAACTTAGTCTGCATTATTCTGAAATTAGCTTGCTTTTTTTTGTCCTGAAGAAACAGAAAAATAGCATTTAACTGTCTCAATAAATGTACTGATGCATGGTGGTGTGGCATATATACCAGCAAATAGGTTACTGTCTGCAGAAGGATTTCAGCGTTCTGGTTGCAGTTAAAATACTGCTGGTGTTATCCTTTAGCAAGCTCTATCAAAACCAGTGTTTCGTGTCTTTTTTGGCACATAGAATCAAAACTGTGGATCGGGTGTATGAGAATCGTGTCTCAGCATGTCTCTATCCAAATTCTGTCTTCCCCACAGCTAGCTCAAATTTAGTCTGATCAGTACAATATCTTTTTTTTATTTATAGCTCATATTTTTGTAGTTCTGCAAAACATGATTCTTGTTTTCTTTTTTTTTCTTTTTTTCTGTACACTGCACAATTATGCTTTGACAACATGTGTCATTATAGAAGATGTCAAGATACAGAAAATGGCAGTTCTTGCATCTAGAAAAGTCAGGGCTTTGTTCTGACAAACACGTACACTAGCCCTTCTCAGTCTTCTTTGTCAAGAAGTCGGTGATTTTAGAGTTCTGGATGGCATGGATTTCTTCATTATCTACCTGTACAAGGTTTTAAATTGTTTGTCTCTCTGGTTTTGGCACATATCCAGTTTTTACAGTTAGGCATCGATGTGTGGTGGTTTGGTGGTTCAGTTGTCAGGAGAGAGACTAAACAGTAATACTGATACTCTGAATCTTCATTTTCATCTTCAGGGTTAACCTCATTTAGGAGGGTATTACAGTTAAGCTTCTGTTTGACTTTTGCCAGAACATTTGGAGGTTACATTGCTCCACTGAAACGTCATTCGTAGTTTGGAAGTTGCCTCTCTAATCACAACCCAAACATGACTTTAGGTGGAATGGTTACTCTGGGTTTTCAGAATAAAGGAGGCATTTATGCAACTGCATGATCCCTGCACACACCCACAATCATACTAATGAATATGCCATTTAAAACAAATTGCAAATGTGGCAGCAGTAAGTGAGGAATGAAGGCAGAAAAATTGAGCAAAAGGTTAATATGAAACTGTCCTGTGCAGTCTTGTGGCTGCAAAACAAGGGTACAGCTTTCTGCTTGCTGTTGTTGCACAGGGTTATGACTACATTTTATGAGGAGAAGAGGATGACCTAAGAAAAATTTCTTAATCTCTTGTCTTTTGATAAGATATACAGAACTGATGGATTTTTCCATCTTCATTAAAAACACTTCGAAAGTATGATTGTCCTAGAATTTTCAGGACAGTGACTGCAAGTTAAGCTTGAAGGCTGCACATTACTTGGTTTTTTTGCAGCCGTATTGAACACCTGAAATCCCAGAATGACTTGCTGACAATAACACTGGAGGAGTGCAAGAGCAACGCAGAGAGGATGAGCATGCTTGTGGGCAAGTACGAGTCCAATGCCACAGCCCTCAGGCTGGCACTGCAATACAGGTATGTACCTACACAAGGGGCTCAGCAGGAAGAGGGAGCTGAGGGAGACTTGGTAGAAATGTTTAAGTGAACTTGATGGTGTGCTATAGTAGTACTGTTTATTTTTTGTTTTCTCCCTGAAAAAGCACCCCTTTGGTTAAACTACCTGACAAACTACCCAACTGGAGTTATTCCTACAGTGTATTTCAACTGTAGTTGACCATCTAACAGGAATGTAGAGGTTTATCTCTTCATTCTTAAATACTGAATTAACATTTGAATTAGGGGTTGTGTGTAGGCTGAGACTGTGTTGCTGAATCCAGCCTTAAGATACAGGTTCTCTGTACCTGTCCCAAGACAATGGAGAGAGTGTTATACTCCACATAACTCAGAGTGACTTTGTATTACATTAGTTGGAATTGTGGATTAATGGCTTGGTATTGGTAGTAAGTATCTAAACTTGCATCAAACTGTTCACAAAAATACAGTGTCACTTAACACTTTCAACTGCAACTAATTTGGGACTGGCAGGTTTGGTCTTGGAACAAATTTTGTGCCTTTTAAAGAATGTATTCTTTTACTATCAGCCTTGAGCAAATTGCAGTGAAGTGTAAATTGCTAGTAGTATATCAGTATGTATTTTTAAAAACATTAAAATGCAACAGGGATTGTATGACTCATAAATATAATTGGAAGCTGTTCTGCTATAAGGAGGAACATCTTACAGCCAGGACAGAGAAAGAAGTATTTTTCTTGCATCTTTCCTGCTTACAACACTTTGTGTAGTATAATTATATTGTAGAGTATAGAATACTGTATGTTGTATAGTAAGAAGATCTGGGAAAAGTTTCTCAAAGGGATCTTGACCACTGTTTGTATTGTTGCCTGTTTAAAACATGTTTCTGGAGCTTCCTTTATTTCGGGTTATGCTCTCTTATCTCTTGGCTTGTTACATTACTTGAGGCCACCTGGCACTAAAAATGGGGAGACCGCTGAATGCTTCTAACAGGGGCTATGTGAATAATGTTCTTTAATATCCCTGCTGCTAGACGAGTAGTAGAGAATCGTGCAGTTAATCAGATAGCTCTTTTTTTTGTTGTTGCTATTGCAGGTATTGTTCTTCTTTAAATTGCAGTTAACATTTTGTGTGGTTTTTGTTTTCCCTTTCAGTGAACAGTGCATAGAAGCATATGAGCTGCTGTTGGCATTGGCAGAAAGTGAGCAGAGTCTCATTCTTGGACAATTCAGAGCTGCAGGTGTTGGTTCTGTTGGTAAGATGTGAATGAATCACTTAATATACGTTTTTTTTGGCATGTCAGTCAGCATTAGAATTGGTCATAATGGTGAATCAGGTCTTCACCCATTACTTAAGAATTCTCTCCAGTCATTTCTTGGTTTTAGCTATTTAAATTCTTTTATACACCCCAAAAATAGGGGTAAAATGCAAGACAGCAATTTAAATTCACCTGTGTTGGTTTCACGAGGAGATGCCTCCTCTGGCAGGAATGAGATAGTTGTAGACATGCAGCTGTACAGAATGGAATAATTAAACAATACTTGTGAGCACAAGTGGCTTAGGACCTTACAGGTGTGATAGTTGCAAGTCCAGATTCACCAAGATTGACTCCCCAGAAACAGTCTAATGTATAAAAAACTGGGATTAAAATAATACAAAGGTAACATTGAGTAGTTACAAATAAAAAAATTTAAAGGCTGTAATTTTTCACCCACTCTTTTACCTTTGCTCTGGAATTTTAAAACATTCTATCTTCTGTCTAGCCTGTATGTTCTGGATTTTTCTGATTTTGTAGTTCGTTAATCCGGTGGTGTTGTTTTTTAATATGCTGCCTGCTAAATAATGCAATAAGCCACTATCATAGGTACAGTAAAGTTCAGAAGTTTGGAGCTTGGCATTGCTGCTGGCTCCATTCTTCTGATGGAAAGAGGTGATTCCACAATAAAATTCCAGTGTTAGTAGTTCCATTCCTTTAATGGACAGGAGAAGGCAGTCATAGTAATCATCAAGTGGAAAGAAGCATTCAGAGAGAGAATAACTCTTCATACTGTGCTGATGCATAGCAATTGCCTGGTGTGTTAGGAGCACTGGCTTCACATTAGAGGCGGTGTCTGAGATTTTCTTCCACCTTTCTCTAAACTCTGTTCATTCCTTTTCACAATGTGCTAGGGAACTTTCCCCAGCTGTCAGAGATCAGTAAGTAGCAAAAGTGAATTTAGGCTCGGATTTTCTATTTGTGTAGGTGGTAGAAAGAAATCTTACAAGGGAGAAACACTTTGTGTTTGAGTAGGATTTCATCTGACATGCATTTTATGGAAGAGACTGTAGTCTCTTAAATTTTTATGTAGGTATCTGTCTACAGCTCTTAATTATGGTATTATCAGTTATGGCTGTGAGACAGAAATAGTGCAAATTTCCCACTACACAGCACAGCAGGGAGGAAATTGTGTATAGTTTATGTACCTTTACTTCATTATGAAATTTGGTTAACACACCTAGATAAAATAACAGATTTTTGGTTTGAAGATCAGTCAAGCTTTATATCAACATCTGTGAGTGGAAAAGTCATGGGAGTTATACCACTTAAAGATGAGCATATCTTAAAGATGAGCATATCCAGCTTCCCTTAACAGAACATTCACCCTTCCTTTCTTCCTCATTAATGTTACTTCTTGTGCATGCACTTCACTTAGCAAGTGTGCAGTGCAGGACACTTGAAGAAGGATTAAATGAAAATCCAAGACAGAGCAGGCTGTTGGGTTTTGCTAAAGTATAAATATATTATACCTTAATCTGCAAATACATTTGTAGATTTGTAGATTTTTCTGTGTACCCAATAACATGTCTTAATTTAATGACTTAACTACAGTGCAGCTGGAAGACTGTAGGAGTAGTGACAGTGGTGGTTTCAGTCCTGCTTCTCCTGAAGCTTACTTGCTACACAGGTGCTGTATAGCCACTAAAAATTATAGCAATTTAACCAGGGCTAGTTTTCTTTTGGCTTAGTATGCATGACTGTAAAATGTGAGAGGCTGCTTCTGAGCAGCAGGGCAATTCTTCTGTCTGGCTAGGCAGCCTGTAGGAAGGTGTTCTTGGCAAGCCATCAGGTTTGAGATCAAGGTGCCTGTGAGGAGAAGTTCTGGAGATGACTACACTGTGAAACCACGCTGCACCGACTGGAGTAAGAGCTGTAATGGAAGCTGAGGCTTTTCCAGTGTGTTCATAATTTTAGCATCCAAACCTAATGTTAATGCAGAATGCACACCCATTATAAACAGACAGGCTAAAATTCTGCATCACTTAAGACATGTTGCCTGGAGCCACAAGTGCCTGGAACTTGTCACTGGTAGCAGGGTGCATTCAGGCCAGTTTCCCAGTTACCACTGATGCTGACAAGGAAGTAAAGTTGCTTTCAGTTCACAGATTTGTAATTTATTGTCCTTGTCTTGGTATAAACTGACAGTAGGATCTCTTGCCTTAATTCCTGTCTGAAAGATTGTTTGCTTGAAAACTAGGGGACCAGACAGGTGAAGAAAATGTCACACAAATGCTTAAGAGGGCTCATGACTGCAGGAAGACAGCTGAGAATGCAGCAAAAGCCTTGCTGATGAAGCTGGATGGGAGCTGTGGGGGAGCCTATGCTGTCACAGGCTGTAGTGTGCAGCCGTGGGAAAGCCTGTCCTCCAACAGCCACACCAGGTAACCCTAATTCTTCTGCTCTCCTGATCTCCTAATCTCTGATTCCAGATGAAAAGTTATGTTCTATTGTATTTGCTGAGCTACCCCCCCTCACCTCAGTCCTTTGGCTTCCATGCTTTGATTTGTAAGTCACCATACCTCAGTGGTCTAATTGTCTTTGGACTTTGAGCAACTCCAGCCAAGAAGAGTTTTGTATAAATTTGTTGCAAATGGGTGACTCAGGACTTTGATCTTCATGAAGGGCAAAACCACGAAGTTTCTTTTACTGCTTTCTTACTGCTTCATTGGAACTCAAATCATGTTCTTGTTACTGATATCTGTTGTATGCAGACAGCATAGACGTGCAGAGAACCAGTGACCTGAAACAGGCTTTCACTGGCATTTTGGAGTGCTCAAGAGTTGTTTTCTAAATGTTGCAAATCTGGCCATTCTGTTTTAAACCATTTCCTCTCCTTTCTCCTTCCCTTACCCTTTGCACCCCTCCAAATTATTCCTTCCCATCCTGTTCTTTTCACTCATGGTGTGGTATAGATTGGATTCTTCCAGGAAAGACTGGATACTGCAGTGTTTCTGAAGACCTATAAAATAATGAAACATAGATGAGCTATTATTGCAGAAGTGTTCTAGTTCAAATATAAGTGCCAGCAGCTTCATTTTGAGTTTTTGCCTGCCTGTGGTGTAGTTGTACTCTGCAGTAAATATGTGTGCTTGTGTATGGATACAAATTTGGCAAGTGTCCTGGATAAATATAGATGAACATTTTTCTCTTTAAATGTTATTTTTGTTTCTCAGATTTGCTCTAAAACTTCATTTTAATTCAGCTTTCTAGCCAGATCTTTATTCAAATGCAGTCATTTTCTTTGACACTTCAGAAGTTTATTTTAGTACTGTATCATTTCCTCTTCTTGCTGATGCCTCCTCCAAAGGATCTTATTTCCTGCCGTATGACTGGCATGGAATAGCTAAAAAGAGAGCAAAAAGGTAATCTGAGGGAACAGGGTCCTAATGTGAGGTGAATTTTAATGTAATTTTATTCAGATAAGTTTTCTGCTGCGCTCTCAGTGCGAGAAAGCTGTGTCTTTACATAGAAATGATTGTGGCAGCATCTGTGCTAGTAGCGCACTGATCCCACTTTCTACCAAAAGCATTTAAACCAGGCTTGGAAAAACATCACAAGAAGCTGTTTTAAGCACTTGGCGTGCTGTGTCTTAGGCCATATCTACACCTGTATGCAAACATGTTGTCTGTGTCTATATGTAGTAACACCTCTACCCAAGCCAAGCTCATTTCCCATTCTACTGTTTGAAAGGGTCGTTTTCAGTTTTTCAGAACTACCTCAGTATTTTTATTCCTTGTGAGATGTGTGGCATGTAGTCAAGTCATAGTAAATTTTTTTTTGTCTTGGAAACATTTCAGGAAGCTTCCAGTATTGACAGGGAAGAACTGGGGGGAGGGGGATTGTTCCTGTTTCAGTGTTTGCTTTCCTAGACTTGCACTGAAAGTGTTTGGTAGGAATGTAATCTCTACAGCTCTTGCTTGCTTTAGCAGAATTTTTGGAAGGATAAGAGTCTGTGTTTGTGTCTGTGTTCATTGGTGGTCAGCTGGACCTGTGTGTATGAGTCCATATAAGGTGTTGGCTCAGTAGATAAAGTTTCAGCAGAGAATATTTAAAGTGGCATAGGATTTAAAATTTCATCAGGATAAGCTATGTCATGAATGTGAAAATGCAAATTTAGTGTTCTTATATGAAAGAAATGTTTTTGCTTGAGCCATTATTATCATTGTAGTATTTTTTTCTGGTGTGGAGCAACATATTGTGCAGAATGAGGTAGCTTCTACAATTTATTTTTATATATGTGGAACATAGGAGATAAAAGCTGATGTCACTCAGTCAGAAGGCACACAGCAAGTCAGGAATTTGTGGCACCCTGATCTGATTGTTACTTAGATTGTTGTCCCTCTCCCCCATTCCCAAAGTAGTTTATATTTGCCTAAGCATGCATATCAATGAAAACATTTTTGAAGCTTCTCCAGAAAATATAAATCTCCTCTTTTTTCCTTCTATTGCATTCAAGTGACATGTGGTTAGAGGTGTTTTCAGATTTTTTCTACCCTGTCTCAAAAGAGAGGGATCCCCTCTTCAGCTTACAGACACAGACATTGTGCTGTCCCATTGATGGAAAATCTGTCTTGCTTCAAAAGGCATATACTTTTCTATGTTTATATCACAGAACCATAGAAATCAAGTTTTGAAGATACCTTCAAGATCATCCAGTCCAACCACAACCCTGTACCACCATAACCATCCCTAAACCTTATTCGCAAGTGCCACGTCCAGATATCTCTTGTACACTTCCAGGGATGGTACCTCCACTGCCTTTCTGGGCAATTTATTCCAATGCCTGACCATTCTGTCAGTGATAATTTTTTTCTAGTATCTAATCTGAACCTCCTCTGGCACAATATAAGGTCATTTCCTCTCACCTCTAGTGAGTTCTGTGTGAACCACCCCCCATCTGGGGACCACTGTGAAAATATTTTTACAGTGTTTGATTGAAACATACTTTGAATCTGAAAAACAGATTTTTCTTGCCTTCAATGTTTCAATGTTGGAGGCTTTTAGTTGCAGATTCATATTGCTGCCTTTTCCCTTTGAAACTAAATTAATAAAGTGGTAGTAGGATGATGAAAATTATCCTTGGTTGAGACTTGTGACAAATTACTAATTTGTCCTGTTATTTGAAATCCTGTAGAATATGGATTTACAGTGGAATTGTTGACCCATCTCAGGCTTTGAAATTTCAGATGAGATTCTGAATCAAATCACTGAACACCTTACTGAGAGTAAGTGCTTGGTGAGCCGCTAGTGTGGAGTGGTTAAAGACTGTAGAAGGGAACAACTGAAATGAAAATAAATGAAAGGCAATGAAAGAGCCTAAATTCATTTAAATTAATTCTAAATTCATTTGACTGGCAGCAGCACCACAATAATGTTGCCAATTCAGTTTTTGAAAATAAAAATCGGTTTACAATGTAGTTGGAAGACATAATTATTTTAAATGAACGAAAGCTAAGTATAGAACATACACTGCCAACAAGGTTTGACTGATTGCACCTTTGGAAGGCAACAAAAGAGAAGAAGCCCGGTTGTAACACTGTCTGAAAATGGTGTATTTTATACCCTGCTGTGCTAGTGAGCCCAGCCTTACATCTGGGTTCATGGAAGGACAGATTGGGTCCCTTACATGCAAAGGCAATTATTTTCAGTATTATACAGTGTCACAAGATATCTGAACTCAGTCAACCGTGGAAATATATCTGTCCTCAGAACCATCTCAGGTTTCAGATAAGTTGGTGACAGACAAGATTATCTTGGCTGAGGCATGCAAATAAGTTATTTGGAAATGTCTAAATAGATATCTCAGTGTTATCTGCATAACACTTTGTTGCTGGACTGAAGCAGACTCAGAAGAAAGCAGGGCAGTTTACCAGAGGCTCTGGTATTAGCTGTTGTTTGTCCTTTGCCTGATTGGGGTATTCTTCAGTTTCTCAGGAAGAGAAACTGCCACTGTGCTGTCCCAGATCTCAAACCACAATGTTCAGCTAGAAAGAATGTGTTTGGGCTATGTGCACTGTAGATCAACTTAATTCTTCAAAGTATTCAGTTGTGTGCAGGTATTCAAGTTCGCAAGTTTGTGGATTCAGTTCTGACAATGCTAATCTGAGTTCTACCAACTGTATTATCCACACCATTGCTTAATTGCAATTATATTAATTGATTGACATGATTTTTAACAGATAAAATTATGCTCATGTAGGATTTTATGGATACATTTTTGTAGTGTGCAGAAGCTACTCACAGAGAAGCACTGCTGAAAGCCTCTTTTATGTCCATCCACTGCATGTTATACACATACACTGTTGCTAGCAAACAAGACTGATATTACATGTACTAGCCCATATATTTTCCAAAAATTGTATATCAGAATTAATTTAACATCACCCAGGCATGACATCATCATAAAAGACTCAAGGAATGAAACAAATGTGAAGAATATTTCTTGTTCTCATATGGCATCCCTGAGAATGGGCAGATTGATGTTGTATACCCTCCAGCTGTGATGAAACTGTGATTCTTTCTCTGCTTACCTAAACACTTAAGAAATAAGAAACAGCACGTCTTTTGCAAGAGTTTCCTGTGGTTTTTGGATGGATGCATTATACTATAAATGGTTTTCTTTGTCCTGATTGATGTTCAGAAGGGAGGGCAATATAAGAAATTCAGGATGAAGTGCTCACCAGCTGTCATCCCTTGAAGAGAGCAGTAGTGGACCAGCACTGTGGCTGTGGAGAACTCTTTGGTGGGTGGGTTTTTGGGGCAGTACACCCTGGCAGTGTTGCTGGGGAGATCAGAAACACTGCAGTGCTGTTTCTGTCCCTTGTACCCTAACTGCTTCCAGTCTTTTGGGTGGGGATGTGCTGCTAAATGCAGGAGGAGGCTGAAGGTTCTTGTCCTCTTGTATGCTGGCTGAGACATAAGTTCCTTGCTGAGCTCCCTCCAACTTCTGAAAAAAAAAATCCTAGGAGAAGAAGAGCAGCTTGCTAGCAATTCACCAGAGCAGCCAACTCAGCTGCAGACAGGCAGGCAGGCAGCCAGGAGTGAAGTAAAAGCAGCCTGAGTATCACTGGCAACAGCCCAGACTGCCTTCCTCAGTTTGGACTCCATTCCCCTAACATATATATGCATGGCTGTGGGTCTTCAGGGTCCAAAATCTGTGAATATGCATGGAGTATGAGGTCTAGCTCAATATAACAATAAACTTTCAGCATTTTTTTTGCTCAGGTTTCATATGCAGCAGGACGTTTGGGTTTTCTTCCCTTCTCAAGCAAAACCTGAGATGAGGCCTTTGTGCCCCAACACTTTTAAAGCTATCCTTCCTCCAACAAAACAGCTGTTTTACATTTAATCCAGAAAAGCTCTGCAGTTGCATTCTTTGAGTGCTGTGGAAGAAACTTACAACATGACTTCAGTACAGAATAAAGTACTTTTCACATTGTCTATCCTAATTTTTTAAATATATATGTCTAATTCAACAAGATGCCTTTAGGCTCAGTAAAGCAGGATTTAGTAAGTGTTTCATAATTTTCTATTCAAGAAATAGTATGAACAAAGATGTGTGTCAGCCTGAAAGGGTTTCTATGTATATGAGTACTGAGTGCTCTTAAGTTTCACTGCAGAAGGAAATGGATGAAAACAAAAGCAAAGACCAATTTACAGTTGTGTCAACTATGGCAGGCACCTCTTATCTCTCAGAAAAGGAGGGAATAATGTGAAATTAAAATGGTACTGTAGTAAAGAGCTGAAATACTATACATTATGAGGGGGAAGGATTTTGAGAAATTATCCCTGCCAATTCCCTTGTCTTCTCCAAGGCTGTGCTTGGAATTTTTGGGAAGATGGGCAGTTATTTGAAGTGCTTTAAAATCAAGGTGGCTTTAGCTGAAGTAGAACCAAAGGAAAGAGAAAAATGAAGCCTATCTTGATAGGCTTCCCCTTTGCACATGCATAATATTTTAGGGCATCATCCTGACTCTCATACCATCTAGCGGGTGGGACTTTTTTTCTTAGTACAAAAATGTTGAACAGCAGTGCAATTTGATACAGAAAGTGATTTATTCCCCTGCTGATAACTGAGATCATCTAGCATTCCAGACAGGCACAGTTAATGGATGACTTATCCCTCACCCAGCAGCTGATTACAGGACCTCAGGAGACAGCAGGGAGCTTTGAGTGAGGCTATAGAAACAACATGGCATTTTGTTTTCCTTTTAGTGTTATTGCAACTATATTCAGCCCTGGAATGCTACAGCTGTGTCAGTCTGGGCCCCCTGCAGCACTGGCATGCATGGAAGTGGGTAGGCAGCACTCAGCCCCCATTGCTCTAATGGCATTATTTCCCCTTTCTGCAGTCTCTGTGTAAACACTTACAGAGCTGAATAATGGGCCCTCATTTGTTCAGAAGATACACCAAGTCTTTCATGATGACTTTTTATTAGAATTCCTGCTACTGCATTGGTTAGTTTTAAATCACTCTAGCCCTGAAGAAATGCTGAGGAGTACACCTTCACATGAACTGAAAATTCTCCTGGCATCTGTCAGTGTACTTTTCCTTAGGTTGATTCCTAAAAGTATCTATTAAAATATCTGAGGTGATAACTGGTGTGGTCATCAGTAGAGATAAATCAAGTCTGGGTTAATTCTTTTTTCTTATCAGATGCTTCTTCTCAAAGAAGGTGAAGATTCCGTGTCTGAGCAGCTTGCTGTGCTCTTATTGCTAAGAAGTCTTAAATAGCTTTTTTTTTCCTTTTTGAATGAAAAAAATCCACCACTTTTTTCAGACGACACCATTTCAGATAAAGTAGTTTGGTTACACATCAGTAAATATCTGACTTTGCAGAGAAGTTGTCACATGATTCAATTTTCTTGTGCAGCTTAGGGAATTAATTTCTTTTCTGAATTTGTCACACTTCACATTGCAGTGTCCAGTCCATGTTACATTTGTGTTCTTTCTGTGAGCTTTTAAGTAAGACTCAGATGCATTGATGAAGTATTGGGAGTGTGTTTGATGTAAAAATTAAGATTTTGTTTCAAGTGTATTTTTTTCTAATACCATTCTTTCTCTTTCCAGTACTACCAGCTCAACCGCAAGTAGTTGTGACACAGAGTTTACAAAGGAGGATGAGCAGCGGCTGAAGGATTACATCCAGCAGCTGAAAAATGACAGGGCAGCAGTGAAACTGACAATGCTGGAACTGGAAAGCATCCACATTGATCCCCTTAGTTATGATGTTAAGCCACGTGGAGACAACCAGAGGCTGGACCTGGAAAATGCAGTCTTGATGCAGGAACTCATGGCAATGAAGGTATTTTATTCATAACCAAGAGGGAGCTGCTCTGCTGGCAATGTCCATGTCACAAAACATACTCAGTCACACACATGGGAGGCTTTGATAGTGATCACTGGGTAATAAAAGGTAACTTTGTTAAAACACATAATTTGGACTGAAAATCCAGTAGTCAGAAAGCGACAGAAGGTATTAACAGTGATGAGCTATGTGTGTTCTGAGTTAGAAAGACTTCATCAGTGTCTCTAAACTTGGAATGCTCTTTTTGACAAACCAGATGCTCTTTTTCTGAGAGATATGGCAGTTGAATTGCTCAAGGATGACAAAAAACTGTGATTCAGCACTTCCCAAGAGATAGTTCATTACTTAGGAGCTTGCAAATATGCATCATGAATATTTGTGAACTGAAGCAGAACAAATTCCACTGTTTTTAATATTGGTGTGGGAGGAGGAATGGTCTGTCAGATGTCATCCCTAATGCTCTCTGACAGCTGGTCACAAGTCCTGAGCTGTTCTAGGCACTGTGTTGCAATCTGTAGCTCAGTCCAGAGACTGAACAAGGGATAGGGTGTATAATGACTTGCATTAACAGAGAGTTTTGGAGAAAACCCTGCTTTGTATGTCCAGCTCTTAAGCTGTGTTCTAGAAACCAGGTGTAGAGCTTATATCACTTCAAGTCTGTTTTCTGTATTGATTTGGAGAGGTGAACTAAAAGATAGGAACATACCAAAGGCAATATGAATTTGTCTGGTTTTGGTTCCATTTAACTTCTATATTTTAGCAAGTGCTAATTCAGCCAACTAATTCTTGACATGTCAGGTGATGGTATTGAGTGGGACAGAAAATCCTAATAGTTTCGTGAGTTTCTAAAGTTAGATTTTTGTTCAGATGTGCTGCTTCTGCCTAAGTGGTAGCCTGGTGATGATAACTATGTTCTTAATGGTGCTGCTTTTCCATGACGACAGATACAGTTTTGCAATAATGCATTCATTATTGGCAGTTCAGAAAAGATTGCTTGGTAGGTGTAAAATTATGTTACTTGTTTGAATACATTGTAACCAACAGCAATATATTCCTCACAACTAAAACATGCAAGATATACTGTAAGATGTTGGTAGATAATCAGATGTGTATTTCAGATATCACATTTCCTTTTCCTTTTTTGCATCCAGATCTTCCCTGAAATCTCTTGCACGCCATTCTTGTCTCTATTTTCTATTCATTTTCTATTTTCTATTTCATTATCTATTTTTCAATTTTAACTTACTTTATTTTCCTAATTTTATTTTAATTTAAAGATAAGATGAAACTGTGGAGCTGTATCCCTTGTGAGGTAGTGGCCTTGCCTTCCTTGTCAGGAACACCAGCAGTTGCATATCATAATTTCTGGTACAGTTTCGATGCTGGTATTTCTTTTGTTCACACAACAGTTATCTGACTTGTTTTTGACACACAGCATCCATTTGGCTGGACCTGGCACGTTAGGTTTTCACTGCAGGAATTGCCTCTGGAAGAACATCTTCTTGATCAGGTCATGTGGAGTGCGTGCAGAATAGACACACATTTTTGCGTAGGTGTGTGATGTTACCTTCAGCCCTTTGCCGTACAGAGAAACCGACAGTACTGTTATGGGTTGTAATTTCTTGTATTTTGCTGAAATTCACAACTGCAGGAAAACCTTATGTTTCTGAAAGAGACATTGTGAAAACACAATTGTGAAAACTTGTGATTTCTCAAATATGCTACCTATCAGCTTCCATGGTTGTTGCTCAGGTCTGCATTACGCCTCCTCATCTGTTTGTCATGCTAGAACAGAGTTGAACCTAAGGTCAGGACACATTTTGGCTGAGTATATTTTTTTGTATCATTTATTTGAAGCATGTATCTTACACAGAACATCATATGCATCTGCCTTCTTCTGAGACAAACTGAGAATTTAGGTTTCCTTACAGTATTTTATTTAATTTGAAGCAGATGGACTGCAGAAGACTTCATTGTTTAGCATTTTTAATTTGTTCTCCCCCTTCTACATTCTTAGCAAGGGTGATATAGCTGGACCAAGCTACTCAATTTCCCACGTTGCTGGATTTTACAATCTCCTGCTGTCTTCCCAAAACTTGGTTCTGTGTTGGAATCTCTGCCACATCTTTTGGCACCTTCCATTTCTGAATTTCTATAAAGGCTGATCACCTCATTGGTCTGAAATACGTTTTAAATAGTAGTTTTTCATTATTAATTAGAAAGGCAGTTTGATGATTGTTTCTGTGCTGCCCTGTTTATTATTAATTTTTACTGATCCAGTGCATAAGACATAGTGGTCTGCCAGTACTCCTATAAAATTCAATTCTTTGCTTCAGGCAATAATTAACCATGTTTCCAAATACATTCTCATCCACGATCTGTCATCATTGAGTAGTCTTGCTTTGAGGTCAGTTGTTGTCATGCCCCAGTTAACAAGGAGATTACTTCTGATGGGTGTAAATAATTCTTGGTTTACAGCCTTTCTGCATTTCAAAGGACTTAATCTAGATAAGAAGTCTCAGCTTTCTACACTGATAATTTTTCCGCTTTTGTGTACAGGTGTTGATTATGTCACTCATTATGTGCTTTGAGACTAGTCTTTTGGTGGAAAATGTTAAGAATTCCATTGTCCACCTTTGTTACAGCCCTTCATACCCCTACAGATTTGTATAGTTAAATACAGTTAACTAGAGCATGACATTTATCTGCTGTGATGTTTGTTTTAATTCTGAAGGCTGATACATCCCACCTTACTGTGGTTCTCCTGGAGTCACGACTTTTTTTGTGACTCTAAAAACTTCTTGCCAAATTTGAGTCCTACGTGACCAAATCGAATACAAATTTTGATTTTGAGAATTCTGTGGTGTTTCTGATTCTTTTGAATCAGAAATTTTTAATTTTCATTAAAGTTTTTGCCCAAAATCAGGATTATAGTATGACTGTAAGTACAAAATATCTCTCAATATTAAATTAATTAGTCACAAAATAGCTGCTGGATTTGATACCTGAAGCTTGTGAATTTGCATGGATTGTCTTTAGTCTTCTGCAATCCCCTAGAAGAGGGACACTTGTTGCCTCCTCCTTCAGGGTTTCATTTAGTGAGTGCTACCTGTGCTCTCACTCTGAACATGCAGGTGTGTTAAACTGCAAAAATGCTTCACAGCAACCTGTAGCTGGAAGAAAAGGGAAATAGTAGATATACAAAGGTGGCATTGTCATTTCAATTAAATTTAGATGCAGTGTTTAGAAGACATATTTTCATGGAAAAAATTGCTGCATATTGTCTCGCTAAGTAAACCTGAAATACTTGAATTTTTCCAAAATGGCTGCTGCCACTCTGCCTCACACATTTCATGGGTCCATATTACAATCCTCAACTGCAGTCCGAATTTTTAACCATCTTCAGTCTTTCCATTCCCTCCTGTTCCTTCTCTGGCAGCCTCTATATGACAGAAGCTTTTTAACTTATCCCCTTTATTTCCAAGCTTCTTTATTTCCAAGTCACGTTGTTTTGACATGAGAAAAGTAACATATGGGCGGTGCATGATATGTCTTCTGGGACAGGATGCAAACTGCTGAATTCATACATGATGATCTAAGCTTACTGTCTTCATAAACAAAGGAGTTAAACAGTGATCCTCAAATTTATTTTGAGCTTGAATAAAATAAAAAATAAAATTAAAAATAATGAATGTTTATGAAAATAAAATAAATTAAAATCTTTGCATGATAAGAAAAAAACTGTTCCATGAATTAATTATTGTAGTGGATAAATTTACCCTTTTATTTTAGGGAATAAATGTCCTTTATTTCTGGGCTGAATTTGCTTAGTTTCATCCTCTAGCCAGGAAAGACCTTGTCATGACCATCCCACACAGACAGCCCAAAGTATCTTTTATTCATACAAGTGTCAAAATACTGTGTTCAAATTACTTCTCAGCCTTCACTAAGAAGGCTAAGTAGATTAATGGCTTTAGAAGTAGAGGCTTAGGAAGTGAAATGCATTCACTTGAGTATATCAGACCGTCCAGTTCAACTCCTATAACAAAATTTCCGCATCATTATTTATCAGAATTTACATTTTTTACTGTTGACAGAAGCAATTCATGGTAAGTTTGCCTAACAACTAAATTTGTGTAAACCATATTGATTGAAACTGATTATGCTTCTAACCTTCAGTTTACAAACAAGCAGATAAATAAATCACTGACTTTAAAGTTCATACAAACTTTTCCAAGCCCCTCAGGGTTTTTAAGATATGGATTTTATTTTTACATGGTTCTGAATAAGCCAGTGATGGTTGTAACTGTGATACACCTGTGTGGACTGCTTATTCTTAATCCAGACAGCAGATATCAACATAAAAAGTTTGTCTAAATATGTGTAAAGATTTGGTTTTTTATAACCTTTGTTAATAACGGCTAAAATATGAACAGCATTATTTTTGAACCATAAAGCAAGATACTTCTTTATTTTCGTGATTAGGGTTTTTTTGGGTTTTTATTTTTTGGGTTTTTTTTAATAAATAGCAACTTGTTCCTAGGCTGGCCACACAACAAGAAACTTCTGTCTTTCAGAGGTGTTTACACAATAAACTAGAGAAATGTAATACAGAAAATGTCTGCATGAACTTAGTATTCACCCATTAAATTACCTAGGCCAAGGCAATTTAAACAGTGGAAACATGATTCTGGGTTGGGTTGTTGGTTTTTTGGGGGTTGGGGTTTTTTGGCTTTTTTTTTTTTGGCTTTTTGTTGTTGGTGGTGGTTTTGTTTTGTTTTCTTTTGTTTAGGCAGTCTTTTTTTCGTTTATTGGTGGTTTTAAGTACATAATGTAAATTATGTATTAGTACTATCTCTTTAAAAGTTTTGTGGATATTGGGTTTTTCTTGGTAAAGAAAATAACTAGGCATTTTGTCCAAGAAACATTTCTGAAGTGTTGTTAATCACAAAGAGCCTTGTGGTTCAGGAATAACCCATCATTTGCTTTTCACAGGACTTTTGGAGCATGTGCTGAAAAAAGGGTCATTGCACTCGTGCCTTGCTCTTAAACTTCTGCCCAGCCACTGTCAGACAGATGTTAAAACAGAGGTCTGTCCCCAGGCAGCAGACATTGTGTTACAATAGGTGAGAGCCCTGTCAGAAGCAAGAAGGAGCTCTCAGAATTGAGCTTCTTTCTATCAAGTACCAGTGTCCATCCTCTGTGGATTGTATTTAGGGAAGAAAATAAGTGAGTGCATTTTTCTGTCAGACTTAAGTTGTTGGAATTCTGGCCACCTAGGGGAGGGAATTTATAAATGGACATCTGATGGTGCCATATTCAGTTGCTCTTTTTGACATAACTCATTTTACCACAGAGGCTGGTATTACAAGGCAGGAATAGGTCCTGGTCTCTCAAACCCCTTCCACGGTAATTAGATTAATTCTTGCATATCATTAAGAAACTGAAATCTCGCTTTTAGGGAGATGTTTGACAAAGTCATACACTTCTGCTTTTAAGACAATGGTCTCTGAAGGACAAAGTAGAACCAGAAAAATTTCAGCAGCTGTGGCAATTCTCTCAGATCTCTGATAGTCTAATTCTAATTTTGCTTCTGACCTTATTCCTGAAGATGATAAAGGGGTGACACAGCTCATCATACTCAGTCTGAAGATATAGGTCTGAGAAATATGCAGTGTGATTATAAAAGTTATCTGGATGTTCAATGGAAAGAACTCTTAGGTTATAAGACTGGATGAAAATCTTGTTTAATCTCATCTTCCTTTAGGTACCTAGTCCCATGAAGCAGCAATAATACAATGTTTCTTCAACAGGAAGAGATGGCAGAGCTCAAGGCGCAGCTTTACCTGCTGGAGAAGGAGAAGAAGGCTTTAGAATTGAAGCTGAGCACTCGAGAGGCTCAGGAGCAGGCCTACCTTGTCCATATTGAGCACTTGAAGTCTGAAGTGGAAGAACAAAAAGAGCAGAGAATGAGGTCTCTCAGCTCAACCAGCAGTGGAAGCAGAGACAAACTGGGCAAGGTCAGGAGTCAAGCTACATTTCTAAAGTTGTAAACATGGTTAATTAAACCTTTCCCATCCCTATTGCAATCTTTAGCATGTTAATCATGTTCTTGTTTTGTCTATATGCAGATCTTTTCTCTCTTCTCCAATTGTAAGGTGGCTTTTTCCATGCTGTGACTTGAGAACTTTGCAGAATTGGTGTTAGGCATGGGCTAATGGTGTTTTGAGGACTACCACAAGGCCAGTCTTGCCAGACATACAAGTCGCTGTGGTTGAGCATGTGTTTTGCCTGTTGCCACTCACTGGAAGCACTGGAAGGGAGTCTAAGCCAATTGCCATTCTCCCATAAACACAAAATATTAAAACATTAGCGCTCATTTCTATGCAGCATTTAGAACATTGTAGTGACAATTTCTTTCTCCAAGTCAGATTGTAATAATTTGAGAGTGAAGACTCTTCTCCCCTTAATGCAGAATAAACAGATTTCTGCATTTGCAGTAATAACTTGCATTAATAAATTAATACGTTGGAAAACTTTGTCTTATTGTAATGCTGTGTCCCCAGAAAATGTCAATAATGTGTTTAAAAACAAAAACCAAGACATACATCTTACTTCCTTGTTCCTGGCAATACGTCATCTGATCCCGTCTGATCACTTTTCTTGATCCCAGTGCTTCTTTGTTTCATGTGTGGTGTCAAAAGAAATATAAGGAAGGCAGAATATAAGGAAGGCAGTTTTGCACACAGTAGCAGAATTCTGCAAGTCAATGAGCTGTGGTGGTTTAAAAAACATTTAGAGGCATTTGTGAAGTATTAATCTGTTTAGTCCATTTCTTGGTATGATTATACACTGCCATATTGCTGTAGCATTGTGTTGTCTGTTTCACCTTCATTTTAAAAGTAGCTGTGAACTAAGAGGCTTTCAGAATTTTCCCATAAAGATGGTCAGTAATTCTAATCAGGTGGTTTTTCCTCCTTTCTCAGGAATGCAGTGATGGCACCGCAACACCGCTAACACTTGCTGAGCTGAGACCATACAATGAGAGTGAACTGACTGCTGAGCTGACAAATGCACTCAGGAGGTAAGCACAGCTTCTCTCACCAGGGTCAGGACTTCTCCTGTAGGTCCAGGGAAAGGTTTATTTCAGAGCCTTGACTCTAACCCTCCAGTGCTTTGAAGAGTGATCACAGATTTGTCCTGTGAAAAGAAAAACTAAATATTAAAGTCCTTCTAATTTTCCCCTCTCTCCTGCTGTTGTTCTTCAGCTGCTTTCACGTGGTGCTCAACTCCATTCCTCTTGAGGTTCTCCAGAATTCAGTTGAATTTCAGAAATAAAAGAAACCCTCAAAATGGCAGTAGTGACCACTGTCAGGCAAGAGTGTGAGACATAAAACAGTGATGTAACACATTTCTTGTGTGTGTAAAGAAAATGCTTAGTAAAGGCAGGATTTGAAGTGTGATCTTTAGTTACTAAAGAAGGTTGGCCTCAGGATAGAACTTGGGTGGGAGTTACAGGAGTGGGAAATGCAGGCATTTTGATGACTCAGATGCTCTATTTGTCTCCTGAGTATGTAAGTGGAGCCACTGTTCCATTACAAATGATATTGTGTGAGACATTAGCTTTCCAATGGGAGAGAAAATTGATGTCTTGACAAACATCTTTCATCGACAGCCAGGTTTTAAGCCTAAGCTTTCAATACAGTTATACATTAGCTAGATATTTGTTTGTGCAGTAGTTTTTCCTTCACCAGTTATGTGGTAAACTTAATGACAAAGAAATGCATAGTTTCGATAATGGTTTCATTATGTGTTCCACCTTTACCAAGAAATGGCTCTCTGGTATCTAATCTGGTTCTTATATTTAGAACCTGTCCAAAACGCTGCTAAGAATTTTGGCTGGGAAGAGTGTGTTTTGCTTTACTGGTGTTTGCGCCTTCTTTGATGGTGGAATGTCCTTTCAGGCAGCTGTGGTGTTTCATTCCTGAGGTGCTTTTTTTTATAGGTGCAATGGGTGCTGTGCCTACGGACACTTAAGGCCTGAAAGGCATTATGTAAAAATGTAAGATCATTACCACTGCAGAATCAATACACCTCATACCATTTGCTTAGTAGTCTGGCAGTTGCTGAGTACTTAGTTTGCATGATGCAGGGAACAAAATTCTGTGGGTAAAATAATCAAAACTGTCATTTGTGTGTGGGTGGATAAAACCCATCAGCAAAGTAATTTACATAAACATTGCAGAAAGCCATTGGCCTCCCCTGTATCCCCCACATTACTCACTGGTGTGAGCTGCTCCACCAGCATTTTCTCCCTTCACTCAAGCTGCTGCTCTTCCAGTTCTTGTTATTTGCTCCTGGGTTTACAGAAGATGCCAATGACCTTAGTTAGCAGAGGCTTGAGTATAGTCATGAAATGTGGTTTGCTGACAACACAGAGAAAACAACTTTGCTTTATCTACTAGGCCTTAAGTTGATTAGCATGGATTTCCAGCCAAGGGCCTCACAAGTACAGTTTGTCAGGCAGAAATGGAGAAGAAAAATAATCGGATTAAACTGTACATAAATTGTGAAGGCTCTCTGTGTAATGGAAATACAGCTGTGCTAAATGTGATTGCCAGTGGGGCTCAAGCACAGTTCCTGCAAGCTGTGTGGACAGGGTATTTTTCCTTCTAATCAGTGTGCCGGCCAGAGCAGGTTGAATGCTTAGCCCTCCTTACCCTGAAGTCTTGTCTGTTCAAGTCAGTTGAAGGTCTGTCTACACATGGAGAAAGCTTACTGCAGCTTGTTTAGCCACAGCTATGCTAAAAAATACCAGAAGTCCCTAACTGCTGTTCTGAATAAATGGACCCTCAGATATCACAGTGATATTTCGACCATCACAAATCCACGAAAGAATTGTAAAAATTATCAAAATTCTTTCTGCTCTGCAAGTGCATCCTCCTCACCTGCCCAGGAAGCAAGACCATAATACAAAATTTAAGATATTAGTCCCAGTAGCTGTGTTTGCTGAAGGGTGGGATTGGGGGAGGTGTGAAACAAGTGCTATCATACTCTGTGGTGCAGAGGCAGTATTTAAATGCCAGCATTCAAGAGTGTTTCAGGACTGGTTACAATTGGTGCATACATCCAGCAATTGGTCCTCTCTGTTGTTTCTCCAGGCAGTAGACACTGGTTCAGGGGACAATAGCTGCAAGGATAGGGGCAGAAATCTGTTGGTTTTTGAGTCTGTTTATCAGAGCATGTGATACCAATCAGCAGCCCTGCTTCCTGTCCCCTCTTTATCCCATTATTACAGAGACTAAAGCTCTGTCTGCTTCCCCCTCTGTTACTTACCCATTCTGTCCTTCTGTTGCTCTTAAATTGTCAGGTTCTTCTCAGTTAATTGAAACAGAGTGAGACCCAAATAAAACATCAGGACATAGTTATGGTTTGGGTTCTGGTATAGTTTGGAAGCATTTATTTGCTCATAGTCTGCTAATGGCCATGCAGCAGAACAATCCTGGCTGGCTTCTCTCTGCAGATGTGGATATTTTCATAAATCTGGAATCCAGTAGCATGTTGTGAAACTTTTGTTGGTAGTGCCCATCCGCAGAAATTCAAGGAAGAAGCTGTTCTGTCATAACATATTTGTTCTAGAACAACTCAGGGTTTCCTGTAGTAGTGGTCAACATTAAAACCCGTTACCAGCATTTTACAGAATTCACTTGTCTTTTACATGGTCACTATGCTAACTGGAGAAATCTAAATTATCTTAAAGTCCTATGCTCTTAAAGCTACATCTATTACACCAGTTTCTGATGTTGCAAGCTAAGCTCACTGATTCCGACATACCCTGTTCCAGCCAAATGTAAATGCTTTCTGCCAGAGCCTTTAACAGTTTTGGTTTTCCCTCTCTTTTTTCTTAATGGAATGATGAAGTGCTTTAATGGGCACAGAGCCTCTTCTTTCTTGAGTCTGACACATCCATAAACAAGCTTCTTGGCAGGAAATACCTTGCTCTTGAGAGGGCAGAAATGTGTTCTCAGCAGCTTCATGGCCTAGTGCTGACACTTGAATGATTGTGCCAGAAGCCAGTTTTATAAGACAAGATCTCGTTGAATACCCCAAAATCAAACACATGACATGGTCTCTGAGGGAAGACCCTAAATGAGTTCTTTTCCATGCTGGTTTGTTCTCTTCTGCTGGGCCAGGGTAGGGAGCACTGTACATGACTTGTATGAGTTTGTAACTCAGTAGACACATGCCAGGTTATGCATTAATGCAGGTAAATGCATTATAGGTGGCAGGAGGGAGGCAGTAACAATTCCATTCTGCTTTAGAAGGCTGATGATAATGATGATAGAACTTATATTTTCTTCCATTAAGAAGATATTTTCTTCAACTTTCATTCTGTGAAACATGGCCAAGCTGGCAGGACTGAAACTTCTTCCTCTCCCTAAGCCTAGCTACAAATGTTTTGATCGTTGAGATCCTCCTATGGTCTATGCTTGTATTTTTAGCTGCTGATAGCTTTCCTGTCTGTTGTATTTTGGGTTGTAAAATAGGGTTGTATTTTATTAATACATTTAGAGACTCATTTATAAATCATTAAAATGCTTGGCCAGGAAGGATCTAGCAGTACTAGGCAAGGACCATGGCAGGCAAACACTTTGAAACTAGACTGACTGTTCAGACCTCAGCTGCATCATCATTTGACACAAAATTATGATCTTGATGGCTGTGCAGCGTTACATGAACTGTGTCAGTCTAGACATGTTTCAGTATCTACCTCACAAAAGAGTGACTTTCCATCTGGCAACACTGCAAAGGATCTTTCTATTTACCATGCCTGATGACTTCTAAACTAAGAGGTAGTGAGTAATTGTGAAGTCATTGTGGAGAGAGGAAATTAGTAGTTATCAGTAGGACTGGCAAAGAGCTCTTCTTCTGTTAACAAAAGGTACATTTTGCACAGAGCTGTGGTCCCACCTTTCTTGAGTGGAAGCTGCAGGTATTTCTAGTAGGACATGAAAAACACATCCTATTACCATAATTTCCTGGTGTCTACTGAAACAGTACAATGTTTCTTGCACTCTTACGTCCTTATCCCTTTCTGAAGACTGCAAATGTGTTTTGTGCCAAACTTCTTTTCAGAGAGCAAACATTTCAATAGAAAACTGGGCCAAGGCATGGCAGTGACTGCTTCCTGACACAATGTCAGTGAGAGAGAAATCAAGCCACCTTCCTTTATTTTAAGTTTCCGTAAACTCCATGTGATGGCATGTTAACCTTGAATATTTTCAAGGGCTGACCTTAGTTTCGTGATAGCAGCAGTCACATCATTGAAATTCAAGCCTACGCTGAGCACAGTAAGATGTCTCAGAAATGGAAATAGAAATGCCTAAAACATATCATAACCATTCATATTTAAAATTACTCTTTAGACTTTTCTTTGACCCAGCTACGGGACAAACATGCAGTGGGTAAAAGCAGGGGGGGAGAGAGAGAGGTTTGTGTTCTGGACCTACTGATGCATCAGCTGCTTTCTGTCAGTGTTTGCTTATTTCTGTTCTCCAATTACCGAATCAATTAAATAAGGACATAAGCAACTCTACAGCATTTGAAAGTGAGACACTAGTATGGCTTGCAGTCATCACAGATTTCAGAGATGTCTCTTTTTTGTGCAGTATCCTGTTGTGGTTTCTCCTTGGCTCCTGGGGGTGTTTCAGAAGGCACGGTCTGTCTCTGGAAATCCCTTTGGAGAGTCCCACTAAGAAAAAACCTTCTCACAAGAAGAGAATTGACTCATGGTGATATCCAGGGACAGATTCCTTAAAAGCACCTCGAGGAACTATTTTTACCATATGCCTCACAAACAGCCATGATTTGTCTTTTTCTCAGTTTTTGACATGGGGTAAGTCATTCCTACCACCCTATGGTTATCTGAACTGCTGAGCTGCTATGCACTTCGATATAATCATCACAGGGAACTCCAAACAGCTCCAGCTCTGGAGAGCTTCCAGGCTGGGCTGACAAAGCCGGGTGGGAGGTTTGAGCAGTGAGTGTAGCAGGCATGCTGCTGCCTCCCTCCAGGGCTATTCTCATACTGCCAGTATGTTGCTTCAGGACCACACCTGGCCTGTCTCCCCACTGCAGGTGGTGAACACATGCCTGTGGTATTGTCTTTGAGATCTGTTCTGAGCATCTTGGCAATTAGCAAAAAAAGCAGTACAGTATTTTACACCAGCAAAGTGATTTTTGAAGCACTCTCTGTCACCTCTGCAATCAGGGAATGCTTCCTGTGCACAGGTAGCTGGCAAGCATGGGTGGTGCTTCAGCAGGTGAGCCAGGAAGACATGGCATTCGAAGAGGGTGGCTCTCTTGGCATTTGTGTAGTGTTGCTTTGTTGCCTCTTTAAAACATTTATTATATTCTCTGGTTGTTTCCCTTAGCAGGCCAAGCCAGACCAGTGAGGCAAGTGTGCATTCGAATTAGCTTGGGGATTCTGCATGCCAGCCCAGATACATCAGATGTTAGTTTAGACTGCTGATGAAGAGAGAATTTATCTGCATTCCTTCTAAATGTCCAGCTGTTATCTCGTGAGAGGAGAGGAGTCAAATGCCTAGGAAAAACAATTATGTGTCACCCTGTTCAACTGGAAAAGTCAGAGAGGGGAGTGAGGGATGGTGCTGGGCTCACTATAACAGAAGGATATCAGGGAAGGAGTAGGAGTGGAGTGTGGAATGGGAGGTGTGTGCCTTCCCTTTAAAGTAGAGGCCTCGAAGATAGCTATGGACCGTGCAGGCGGTGCTTTACCTCCCTCCCCTTCCCCATCCCCCATGGCCTGGGACTGCTTTTCCAGCATGGCTAGCTCTGCCAGGAATTCTCAGTCCCCCTGGGCTGTCTGCTGCTGGTGCTGCTCCTCAGGGCTTTGTGCCTGCAGATCTCAGGGGCAGGTGCTGGGCTGAACCTGGTCATCCCACTCCTCAGGGGGAGCCAGGATTGAAGGCATCTGCCCACAGCATGTCTCTTTGGATGGATAAGAAGATGTGCCCTAGGAATGACAAGAGTTCTCTGCCTGGCTTTGGGAATGTTTCTCACCTCTTCATTTGGAGAGAGCTCAGTGTTCCTCTTCTGCTTCAGATTTGGCAAGAGCTGTGGTGCTTTTGACCCCAGGGCAGAGAGGTGGTAGCTTTCACAAAAAGGGGAGTTAGCTGGGTGCACTCCAAGCCAGGGGCAGAAAAATCAACTTTCTGCATGGCAGAGAAGAGCAGCTTCCTGTTTGCAGCACTGGGGAATTTTCAATAAAATCAGCAAGAGCAGGAAAATCTGGGAAGACTTCAAGCACACGAAACTTGAACATGTCTGGAAAAGCCCAGACAGGAGGGAAAATAAAAGGTGCTCATGACCTTGCTTAGATTACCCTGTATGAAACATGGTGTCAGTCTGTGGAGGCCAAATTGACAGAAACAGTTTCCTTTATGGCCCTGGCAGAATTCCCCACTCTCCAAAGTGGTAGCATTGAAACCAGAGAACACCAGTTAGCCCCTTCCTATTCAGCCATCCTGAAACAAAAAAACCTTGAAAACCACTATGCAGCTGCCCACTGAGTGTTTTGATTGCGAAAATACCAAACAAAAGCCTTTATTACCAGCATATTAGTCATTTCACTGAAAATAATGTTTTTAGTGGATGTTGTAGACTGTAGGCCTTGAATACACTCATTCTGAGTTTTTCCCTGGAAAGGGACCAGTCAGGGATTTTCCCAGCTGACTTTTCAGCAGCCGGGAACCCTTGTGCTGGAAGTGAGCCATGCCCTCAGATCACAGGCTCATTCCCTCTTCTGGGAATAGTTGCTTGTTTTCTCTGTGCGCATGAAGTGTCGTGGCTGTGTTTTCTGCTGCCCCTGCTTGCAGTAGCCACTTGGAGGAGGAGCTATTGGGTTAAGGAGCAGTCCAGTAGAGTTGGGAGTGAGTGGCTCACAGATTTTGTGTTCTCTGAAAACCTCTAGCTTCTCCTTCCCTCTTCCCATCAAAATACACAGATAACTGCTTTCTTGGGATACACAGAGGTCCATATTCCCCCCCGAGGCATGATAGCAGTGTGAGTTTGGTGTGTCTGCTTACATGGGAGTTTGGATCTTGGACTCTGGAAGACTGTCTGGCAGCAGCCGGCTGTTCCTACATCAGTAGGATGTTCCATATGTCTGTCACATCAAGCGCAGTTCCATCCCTGGTTTGCAACTTCGACATGTTCTCATTGTAGAGACATGGTTCATATGCAATATTGAAAATATTCTGCCATATTAAGCCCTGTAATGGCTGATTTTGCACATGCTGCAGTCAGGAAAGTGCTGTGGTGCTGGAAATCTCTTCAGGACAACACTTCAGGATTCAGTATAGCTCCTATTCACTGCCTAACTATACAGTCAGTTTTGAAGAGAAACAAGTGTGGACATTGTTTCTGACCAAACTGCGGTGATCAGTGATAGAAACTGAGGGAAGCAGGGGGAGTAACCCTTGTGAGGCACAGGGTTCTTACCAGCCTGTGATGTACAGTTCTGAGGTCTCTCATCTGTTGCTCTGAACAGAAGATGCAGCACCCGGGGGAAAACCTTACATGTTCTGCTGTGTAATAGTCATTAACCCAGTGCATCTTCGTTTTCCGGAGTAACCCAAGGTGTTTGCTCTGCATTTGCTGTTGCTGCTGTGTGTGTGGCTCCTCAGGTGTGACTTGTTCCATGAAATGTCCCTTGAAATAAAGATATTTAGATAAGCAGTTTTAAATTTGTAAAAGGGTGTAAAAGTAGATCCCTGTGTGTTGGTTTTTTTTAGATTTTTGAGACATTTCAGAACATGCAATCAAACCACCTATTGCTCTCCATGAGATTAAGGCTGAGTAGGTATTATCTAGTGCTGTTTCACTGACTTCAAGACATCATGAAAAGCCAAAAGAAATACATGTATTTTACTGGGGCCAGTGTAAATTTGAGTCATCTATATATTTGAAGTATTACCCACTGTTTCCTGTTTCAGAAGGTTCAGAACTGGCACCTGAAAGTTGTTGAAGTAGCTTGAATAGGGTGCTTACCACTCTGCTGGCTCTGTGTCTTTCACAAGCAGCAAGACGAGGATGTTTTAGCCCAAATGTAAAGAAATATAGCTTGATGTTTAGCTGAGTTCGGGCTGAACAGGGCTGGTTAAAAGGTGTGAGTGATAAACCAACAAAAGGCGATATCATTGTTTTATCAGGTAACAGTCCATAGCAACCAAACTTTACCATGCATGAAAAGTTCCTCCGAGTCTTTCCACTGTGTTTCTTTTCCATGCAGCTTTTGTTACAACAGGTGTGTGTGAAGCAGTTTAGCTGCAGGGAGCTGTGGCTCTACAGGGCTCTTTCACGTGGGACTGTGTGCAGCATTTCCACAGGGATACCTTTTCTTGGACATGTTGTTAAATCAACCTCACATGATTTTGAGATTTCTCTGCCCATCTAAATACTGAGGGTGTTTATTCCACTGGACTTGGTGTTCACACTAGGTTGTCATGCTGGAAATGGTGCTACTGAGCCTTCCCCGGAACCTCTGGATGTAGCAACCGTTGAGCAGAGAGGCACCAAATTTACCCTACTCTGTTCTGTCACATCTGTAGTGCAATGCCACAAATTAGGTCTGGCCTCTGCCACATGTGACCTTTTATTGTTTGTGCTCTGGCCCTTTTCCTTCCTGTTTTCTTTGCAGAAAACAGATTTTGGCTGTAGACTGTGCTGAGCCTTTCTGACTGCTGAGGTAGAATATAAAAATTAAAATTTACATTTGGTGTGGATGGCAGTGAACTTCTAACTGCGAGGGAGAAGGATTGTGTTACTTGAAAGCAGAGGGCATGTTCCTTCAATGAAGGGACATACAAAGAATACTGATGATTCTTCATCAACAAGGGCCCTCTTATGTCCTTGTTAATCGAGTCTGTTGGGATAGACTGCTAACTTGGAATATTTCCCCAGCTGACTTTGTGAAAGCCCTTCTGTTGCTGCTGGAGCTGGGCGCTGTCCCTCTCTCCAGTGATAAAAGGCTGCCATATCCAGGCCTTCCTGGGAACTGCAGGCTGCTGAGCTGGGATTCCAGGAGGATCCCTGTGGTCTCTGCAGAGCTGGGGAAGCTATCACAAACTTCAGAGTATTCATTCCCATTTGGCTTATATGGGAGCTGGCAGTTGTCTTGTTATTGAGGTGAAAACAAATGTACTCATGTAGCAGCACTGCAACAAAGCAGGAGAGAGAGGTGGATCACTGCAGAGTGGTTCTAGGCAGCAAAGCACAGACTCCATGTAAACACACACATGTCACATTTGATGCTGCAGAATCTGTGTCCCAGTTGAGCCCAGCTCCATGTTGTTCTTAAAACACCTTTTTTTTTTTTTTACCTCCTTCCAAATCTTACTTTTTTTCCTTGGGCTATCTGTGCAGAGTTTGAGTCACAGAGAAAAGCTCCTGGAGCAGCCCCATGTGTCTGTAGGAGTGGGCTGAGCAGGCATCAGCCACCAGCTCTGGAGCAGGGAGCTTCCCAGGAAGAAGCACCTGCCTCGTGCCATGTGCTTACCTTGGAAATGCTTTTTAAAACCAGCTTAATCCCCTAGCTGTAATGCTTGCTTCTGTTCAGAACTTCTATCTTGTTCACTTTTTCTTTCCTTCAAAGAGATACTTGTAATGTGAAAGTGTTATAAGATAACTTATTTCCATTCTGTCACACTTCATGTAATTAGCTTTTGGTTCAGCATTGGTAAGTATGTACAGATATTAGCTATTATGTATCTTATTTCGTAGTGTGATTCAATGCATACAGCACCGTGATCTACTAGAGAAGTTAGTTTACTCTTTTGTCTGCTCTCTCTCTGAATTCTAAAATGGTGAATGTTATAAATACCAATCTTTGGAAAAGTTTAATGTCAGAACTACCTCTTGTATTATCCTAATAATAGTAAGGAAAATATTTGTAGCATGTCAGCGCAGTGCAGGACAATTGTTGATATGCTTCCAAGCTGAAGTACTATTTCTGTTTTGAAAATAGTTTTCTACCTCCTTTTCTCCTGATCCAGGGAGAAGAAACTGAAAGCAAGAGTGCAGGAGTTAGTGAGTGCTTTGGAGAGACTCACAAAGAGCAGTGAAGTCAGACATCAGCAGTCTGCAGAATTTGTTAATGATCTTAAAAGGGCAAACAGGTAAAGGATCTACCAGCAGATGGATGCACTATTAGTTTATTTTTGCTGTGTTCTTGCAAAACACTAATATTCCACTTACCTTGCAGAGAAGTTTCAGGACCCTCACGTTCCATCCACATGTCAACACTCCAGGGTGTTAAGAGTTAGAGAAGGGGGAGGTATAAACCTCCCATGTAGGTCACTGACAACTACACAGTTAAGAACAGAAAGCAGGGAAATAGGGTAATCTCAATTTAGTTAGTACTAGTGATTGCACAATTTAAAAAGCAAACAAAAAAAAGAATCTGCTACTTTGTTTTTAACTCCTCCCTTTTCTTTGGCTCCAACCTCTTCATTAATAATCACACCTCAGTGTGCATAATCATACCTAAGTTCCATTGTTCAGTCAGAGCATTTTTCTTGTACTGTATTTGGATGGCCTAGGAATATGGGGAACTGTAGCTGCCCTTCCTGCAAGCAGCCTCTGATTCACTATGTGGTTTTCCTTAAATTGCATTTAAAAGCCTTTGTGGTGAGAAGCAGCACCATCCCAAGCTTTCTAACCCAGTCAAGGTGGAGGCACAGAAACTACTCAGTAGCTACCAGATAAGCACAGGATGCCATCCTCTGAATGTAAACGTTACTTCTTTAAAATGAATAATGCAAAATCAGTCCTTGACTTTCTAAGCAGATTCTGGCCATGCAATGTTTTTATAATTCACATCTGATCTCATATCTTGACTCATAAACAGTGGTATAAGAGGTCGTCAACAGCAACCTCTGTCTGCCTCTTTGAAAGTTTTCTTTACCAGTTTACTGGAAAAGGTGTGTGCTTCCCCCAGGAAAGACGGAAACATTAGCATTCATCTGGATTTAGATCAGCAAGGTTCGGATCTAATCCATTTTAAAGCACTGCTAAATTTTGGAAGGGGATCAGCCTTTGAAATTCCTTGAAGGTGGGACTTTGGATTAGATTTTTTGTAGCACTTACTCTGAAACAAGCCTATTTGAATTACCTTGTATGCCTTGTGTTTTTAACAGCAACTTGGTAGCAGCTTATGAAAAAGCAAAGAAAAAGCATCAAAATAAGCTGAAGAAACTGGAATCACAAATGATGGCCATGGTGGAGAGACATGAAACCCAAGTAAGAATGCTCAAACAAAGAATAGCTTTACTGGAAGAAGAGAACTCCAGACCACACACCAATGAAACTTCACTTTAAATGCATCTTTTTAAAGGGTGCTTAGTGCCATTACAGCTTTCTTTCTTTTGGAGGTTGACTTTTAGGTAGCTTCAGATGTTAAAAGTTCTGATTGTCAATGCTGACAAAACTTAAAAGTTCCTTCTCTGGGATCCCAGAGAGGTATCATGGGGATAATAAAAGTGTTAACCTTAAGGACTGTTTCATAATGTAAAATGGCAGTGCCTGAATTATAATGCTATAATTGTGTACATTGTCTGTGTTGTTATGTCTGTATTCTCTTCCATTTTATCAGTGGCCCATGGGTGACAGTGTCACACAGCAGAATAACTCATGTTAATAGGTTTTCATTTGGGTAGTTTGGAGATCATGTGGAAGTTTTCCCAGTCCCTGAGTTCTCTCTGCACTCAAGTCCATAGTGTACCCTCATGACTCGCTGCTGTGGTTACACCACCAAAGAGGCAGCTGCAGAATGGGGATGACAGCCTGGCTGGCTTTTTCTTTGCACCCTGCTTGCAATTCTGCTGCTCACAGTGCAATCAGGTAGGAAAACTCCTGTTGATTTGGGAAAAAAACAATAAAGTGTAGCTGCATCTCTGACAATTATGACAAAAGTGTAATTCTTACAATGCATAAGAGGGCCAAAGGCTGTGGGTTTCACCATGCCGCACACACAGTCTGTGCCAAGAGTGGGTAAAAAATTACAGAAGACCTCCTGGTATTTATATTGCATGGTGTTTGCAACTACTTAGCTTGCAACATAGAAGACGTTTTTTCTTCCTATATACGCTATATCCAAGGTATTGTTTAAGAAGTTGGGCCATTTTTGTCATGTGTGTTGTGCTTACTACAACTTACTGTGATCAAGAGGTAGAATGTCTTTTTTATACTTTCTTTGACCAAAAATAGGTACTTAAGTAACGTACCTGTTTAATATTGAATACATAGGCACAAAATTATAGATGTGTAGATGTATGGATATCCAGCCACAAACAGAATGTGAATGATGAAGTCTTACAGCTTTTCTAGGTTAGTTTTTGTTACTGCTAACATTCTCTTGTTTAAATCACATATTACTGTATTACCAAACTGACTGAAGTGCAAATTTTGGCTTGTTAGGTTAATGAACATTAAGCAAATCATGGGGATCAGGTTGATTTCTGTGGGGGTCAAAATACAGGAGTCTGCCATAGCACCTCTTATATTCAGAATTTGCTTTTTTTTTTTTTTTTGACAGAGTACGTAAAAACTATGTGTTTTAAAAAGCCAAGCTATAGTCCCTTCACTGTGGTGGCCTGCTGCTGTGTTACGCCTCTGCTTTGTCTTTTCCAGGCTGATTTTCAGTGAATCTGATTTCAGGAGATGGTTATCATTTTTGCTTTACATGTTGAGTTGCACCTCAAGTTTTTTACTAGTGAATTTGGAATTATGATAACTTTTCTCATTTATGCCTCCCATTACTAGTACTAAGGAAATATTTGAGAGGACTCTTTTTGCCTGCTGTTGAGTTAGGTCAGACAACATAGTTGTGGGAACTTGTGTTCAGAATGTGGCATTATTGTTAAGTCTTGTTTACATCTGGAAGTGTAGCAGTTGGTTTTCCATCTCTTACCACTGTAGCTGCTGTTGTCTTCTGTCCTTAGAGTAGTCATTCCTACTTCTCTGGAGTCTAGTACATCATCCACAAAGCCAGCATCAAATGTGGTTGATTGCAACAGCAAATTAAAACTATGCTGATTTCAAAATTTTTAGGGAGTGATGTTCTGGTTTTGATCAGTCCTCTTTCTCAGAATAATTGTACTGTTTAATTTATAATGTGACTAGAAATTATTGCAAGTGAGTCTCTTGAGAGGGAGGAGGCATATTGATTTCTTCTGTCTCTGTTGTTCTGCTTAGCAGCCCTCTATGGTGTTTTCCCTTTTCTGGCCCAATTTTCTCACACCCAGGAGGGTGGGGGTTTGCCATCAGCTTCACTGGTAGCTGAGCACACTTGTTTTGAAGAATCACAAAGTATCCACCATTGCTGTGGCAAAAATGCAGTTACATTTTGGTCTTCCAGCATCTGAAACACCCGTATGACTTGAGGTCACCTCAGAATGTCCATGTGAAATACCTTCCACTGGAGAGGACAGAACTGAGCTGCCTCTCAGACTCTTCTTTTCCCCTATTTTGATTAATGGAATTACAGAGTGGTTTGGGAAGGACCCTAAAAATCATCTTATTACAATCTCTTTCTGTGGGCAGGGACATGTTCCACTGAACCAGGTTGCTCCATGCCCCATCTAACTTGGCCTTGGACATTCAAAGGATAGGGCTGCCACAACTCCTCTGGACAACCTGACTCAGTGCCTCAGCACCCTCACACAGAAGACTTTCTTCCATTAAAAAATTCAGATACTCAGAGGCATAAAAAGCTGCAGCCTCAGTGTTTTTTCCACGCCTGACAATTTGCTGATTATTTCACTACGTTTAGCACAAATCTTCTGTGCCAACTGTGCTCTAGAAATGCATTAGAATAAATTATAAATAATCAGTAAATGTAAACCACTCCCATTTTTATTCTCATAAAGGTTGTAGATGAAAAAGCAATACTGGTACCATCCAGCCTCAGCAGTAGCCATAGTTTGCCAGACCACCAGTTGATTTATTTGCCTCAGCAAGCAGCTACTGCATCATTTGTTAGCATACTGGAAAGGATCAACTGGGAAGTGGTCACAGGTTTAATGTTACTGTGAAAACTGTTCATTAGTGATAATCAGCTTCAGCTCCAGTGTACCCCATTAAAATGGCACCAACCCTCAGAAAAAAATGCCATATAAACCTCAAACTCCTTTTATGCAACTTTGAAGTACCTGCACACCAGAAATACCTGAGTGTGCAGTGCACCGTGAGTTACAGCAACTTAACTCTCTTGAAACTTGTTGCAGAAATAATAAATTCGCAAAGCAAGAAAAAAAAAAGGTGATTCTTGCCAACCTAAGTCCATTCATGAATTAATGATTGGACTTTTTTGATTTTCTTAAGTCACCAGAGTGAATGAAACTTTGTATTTTACAGACTGCTCAGAAGAAATTAACTTTTTTTCTAATTCTATGATGTATAAATCTTCACCAGCTTGAATGTACTGTTAGCTTTTGCTAAGCACATGTGACTTAAGTTTGCATTCATGTCATATTCTATTGGTTTTGTTAGCGTTTTCTCCTCCTCCAGTGTACTGCACCATGGATTGTAACTTGAGAAACTTTTCACTTTACTGAATTAGCTTTCAATGTGTTGCTACCTTTTAGTTTCCAAGCAGCTGTAAAATAGCTATTTTGTGTTCATTTGATATAGAATTGTAAAAACTGCATTTATTTATACAGAGGCATTTATAATACGTATTTTACAAATGTTCTTATATTCTGAATAAATTTCTAATGCTGTTTCTTTGCCTTGGGAGTTGTTTCACCATGGCTTGTCACCTTACTGTTGAATTGGACTCCCTGAAGGCACCTTTGCACAAAGATATCTCATCTCCAAGCTAAGTTACTGAGGGAGATGGTTTGACATTGTCAGTGAAGTTCACTTAACAGAGCCATGAAAAGTTGTTAAGAATTTAGATCTGGCCACAGGTTTTACATCAGTATCCTCTACATCTTCAGTGAACACTTTATGGAAATGGAAGGGCATGTGTGAAACTGTTACCGCACATCCAAATCTTTTCATAACAAGTTATATGGACCAAAAGAAAAAGAAAACAAAATACTCAATATTACATAAATATTCTAAAAGCACTGACTGAAGTTCACATACTTCCTTTCTTCTGTTTGTCTAACATGTTTGGGTTTTTTTTGCCATTGTGTTGAACGGCATCCACCTTTACAGCTGACTTTAAAAAATAACTTTTGTCTCCTGCTAGAGGAGATATAATCACTGCTGGCTTAAGGCAACATGTAAACATTATACAGTAAAAGAATAACCGGTACCAGCAGCAGAGGCATCACGTTCCACAATGACCAGCAATCCTTATATTCATACTTCAATATGTTTATTTATAAAGTAATTTAATTTTACAGAGGAAAAAATAACAATACAGAAGAAAATGTTAACTTAGTTATAGTCTCCTAAATGGTGTGCTTCAGTTTTGAATCAATTTATAACAAACAAAATCACAATCATCAGTACAGTAGATGTTACAGGTAGTTACAGATTCTACTTAATTTAATACAATTGAAGAGCTGACTAATGCAAACTTTCTTCAAAAGAACATAATGAAAGTTGTATAAAATCTGTAATAATTTTAACTTTAGCTGTATGTACTTTCTACTTAATGAGCACCGATGTGCCACTTACACACAGAGGAAAACAGATCGAGTTCGTGAGCTTTAACAAACAGGAGGAAGACATAACCCTTCATGCCTGAGCCACACCACAAAGCACTGGCTCCTGTTTTCTGCGAGGCATGCAGTGCTGCCCTGAAAAGTGTCATTGTTTGGAAGCAATACCCAAGTCTGAGTCCTGGAACATGAACACTGATCAAGCATTCTGCCTGAATTAACAACCCCACACCTTCTTCTGGGGGTCTGTTTTGCTTTTTAATGGTAAAAGTGCCTTGCAAAGCCAGCTAAACTGCTCCTCAGGGATGAAGTTAGACTTCCACATAGTGCAGTGCCATGCAGACACAGTAAAGTTCTGTTGCAAGTATTGTCGTGAGAAGTGTTTGCTGAGAGCTCTTAATCATGCAGTTTTTTGTACATTTTCTGATAACAAAATTATGTACCCAACCAGTAAGATACATATTTCATCCCCACAGTTTAGTAAGTTTGATCAAACATGCTTAAAAAAATTTGCAAAGTTCTTCTCGTCATTGGAAATGTGTCATAGAGAACTGTGTTAGCAAGATGTGTTTTCTCAAAAAGCTATGAATGCCTTATTTTAAAATGATTAATGCTCCATGAGCTGTAATCATTTTCTTAAAGGCACTGAACTGTAACCCATATTGGAAACAAGAAGCTAGTTCTTCTGATCAACAAATAAATGCTTAGAAATTACAAAATACTTTGTTTTCAGTAAAATCCATAGAGACCTTTCCAAAATTAAACATTGTGTACTCTGTGAAATGTTAGCAATTACTTAAAAGGAAGCTTGTTTTTTTCCTGGAAGAATTGAAAGAGGACTCAAAGCCACTTTTGACTTTCCAAAAGCACTCAGAGCTGAGAACATTTTAAAGATAAGAGTTTCTGTAAAGCTGAATCTGTACAAAAAGTTAAGTCTTGCTAAAATTAACATTTTCAATGCAAAGACACACCCCAAGTATTTCGTTTCATTGTACTGCTACCAATCTGGAATAGTTCCTCTGGTACAATCTTGAATATGGCCAATGTCATTGTTGTTTAATGTTGACTTCCTTTTAAGTTCACAAGCTACATGAAAAAGTGAAATGCACACACAGCACAAAACCTACTGCATCTATCAGTGCTTACATATGTGATTAAGAACAGTGCAAATACTAGCATTTAGCCTACTTCCATTCTTGACTACACTATTGCTATAAATGCATATGAACAAAAACCTATTACGGAAGAGTTTCTAAGTCTAATTTACTGTAAAAGCACCTTCAGTTAGTTTGTATAAATTTACCATATCTTAAATAATTTTGGTTGTTTCAAAAGCTGAAATATTGTAATAACAAAAACAATTTGAAACTATGAAGTTGTGTATAAGCACCAGATTATTTAACATTTACAGTGCAAGACTTAAAATTGGTTTATTTACAGAAATCAATATCAACAAGAGAGACTATTCTACCAATTCTCAGTAACTATGAGCTTCTTAACACATTTAGAATATAACCTCCTAACTTCAAATATGAAGGCACCTGGCTTTACCTCTGGAAAAGAAACCTGTTGCTCAGAATTTGTAACAAAACCCCAAGTATCTGAGGATTAAGGAACCCCCTGACCCCACAAGTGGGAAGCCAGTTACCCCTGGAGCAGCAGTGCTGTCTTGCACCACAGGATACTGGAGTCTGGATTCTTAATGTAGACTCTTTGATCTTCACACCATAATGGCATGAGTGCAAAAGCAAATCACCCCATTAAGTAAAGGTTGGAAGAACTGTGTTCTTATCTGAAATTACAATCTGAGAGCAAGTATGTTAGAAGTAGCCAGACCCGAAGCCTGCCTAGTTTTCAAAAGGAACTGTTACATCTGTAACTGCCACAGGTAGGTGAAAGAAAAATCACTAAGTATTGTTCTCAAATCACCAAATCAGTTCAGGAAGGCTGAAGCACAGCACAGAAGCCTGGAACAGTGATTAGGCCCAAAAGTTCATTAGAAACAATTTATGCATGTTTGGTTTAAAGAATTTACATTGTGGTAAAAAATAATACTCTGTGCAATAAGTAAAGCTATTTCCCCCCCTCTCCTTCACAGAATTACTGTTGCCAGACTTCAAACTATGCAAAACACAGTTACTTTCAAAAGCTGGATGATTGATGTACATCAAGGAGCTGAAGTCAGCAGCACTTCAGTCACTTAACTAACTGGGCAGGCCACTCTTCAGTCCAAGGTCAAAGTATAGAAGCATTCTGAGAAGACATGCTAAAAATTTCAAGCTAAAGCAGGGAGTTGATGTTGTACTAGAAACTGCACACTAGTACCAGATTCCTAGCACCACACGGCTGTAGGATTTTTGCTAATATTTGTTTACTCTGCACGTTGATTCCAAGAACACTGACTGACTGTTTATTATCTGAATAACCCCTAACATGGCAGCATTCTCAATTTGACAGTGTTTGTTTTTCAAGTATCTCAACACCAGCTCTCAAAGTTGGACATGCACACAGTTCCTATTTCCCTGTGTCTAGCTCCTGTAAAGTAAAAACTCACAGAACTAAAGCCTGTATCTCACTTGCAGTATTTCTTCACTGTTTTATGGAAGATAATGTAAACAGTACCTCTAAACCTAGAAGTACAATTATAAAGGGATGGTGAAATAAGAACATAAACAACAGTAAACAAAATGTTCACGGTGCAGGGCATGTTGGAGCCCACCAAGTGGATCACATGCCACCACATTTACATAGTTTTAGGATAAACCTTACTACGAAAGCAGAAAGCAATGCTACTACAGGAAACTGTACCCTTATACAAAGAAGTAAGTTATTGCATATTTATCACATTTATTTGCAACTCACATTAAGGCTAGGTTTACTAAAATGAATGACATATGTATAAGCTTCATTTTGGGTTGCTTAATGAAGCAACCAATGTCTCTTATACTGAACCAACCTTTCACTAAGAAGAAAATATTACACAGTAAACAGAGGGCAGCCAGCATCTGCTATTCATAGAACATGCTTCCATTGTTCTAAAGACTTCCTCTTGCCTGGGACAGGACTTCCCAAACAGAAGACAGATGCTCCAAGTTCACTGTTTCATCAACATCCCCATTATTTCACAGAGCACTAAATTATCTAAAACAAATTTATCTGAAAAGTCAACTTATTTATAAAAAGATTTCCACAGCCCGTTATTTAATTATGCCTTAGGAGAGTCCTATTAGCTCCACAGGCAGTAGCAGCCTCAGGATATGATACAAACTTCTGCCTCACCATGAGTAAAGGCACTTTTGCTGGGAAATCAACTAAAATAGCACAAAGAAGTAACAAAAGATTAGTTTTCACCTGAAGCTGAATAACATAACCTCCTCCAGCATTATCCTACCCTCTCAATTACTCTTCTTTGTCATTGTATGGCCTTTGGATACGTTTAAGAAAAAAAAAAAAAAGTGAGTCAAAGCTAGATGGAGCTATTTCACAATTTGGTCTTGAAAAACAAGGCCCTCAGAACCCTTGTCCTCCAGGAGGAAATGCTGTAGTCCATGTCTCCTGTTGACTGATACAGAAGTTGAACGCTCCCATGGCCAAAATTATTACAGCATTAGAGTTCCAAATCACCTGGTGCCAGGCAGGTGAATAAACCAGGAGAAAGTTCTAAAGCTATTTCTGAGGAAAACACTAGGTAGGGTGTATGAAGTAGGGTGGTTGAAGGAAGACCAGGATTTTGGTTTTGGATGACATATATGAGTTGCATAAAAACTCAGTGCATGTAGATACACTACAAGGGTGTAGTTCATTCAACCTATCAAGTTATCAATTACCTCTATTCTAGAGAAAAGTCCATTTTTAAATCTATCACAAGCTGCTGTGACAAATTGTTTCAGTGCATTTCTCTCCACTGCAACACAGATGCTCAAAACCCACTGACCTGCAGGAGATGTAACAGCTCATCACCCCAACTCTTACAGGTCTTTTGTTCCTCCCCTCTATCTCCACCCCATCTTTCATGTTTTTCCTAAAAAAGCACTGTAGCTGAAAATGACTGAGGCTAGATCATTTAAATGCTAACTGCAAGTGCAATTCAATACTACTGGATATATACAGAGCAGATACACCACACAAGAGATCTGAGGACAACAGCACAGGATACAATACTGAACACCCTTGGAACAGTTATTGGAAGCCTGATTAAGCTGTTCAGTGTCACACAATGCCTCTATTACCCATGCACCTGCCTTCCTCCTCAGTGAGATCTACAGAGGCTTATTTACATTCAGTATAAATTCTACACAAGCTACCTCTCACAGACAAGGTTAAGCTTCTCTTTTTTTCGCAAGCAGCTGCTTTGTAACTTCTTCTTATGCAGCTGTGGGCAGTGCACAAGAGCTAAGTTAGACACTTTGAAGGGCTGAGTTTTACCCAGTTTGAGTGTCATTATTGAAGACCAAGGAAGAGTAGGTACAAAAAGTCAACACGCTATATATTTGACTCAAATACTAGTGATTGCCAGCCAACGAAAACTATCAGTGTGAAGGAGGGAAGGTATTTGGGGCAAACAATCAGTACAGAGAAAGGATGACAGGCTGAGACTAGGTTTGAAATGTGCAACTTGGTTTCAAAATCACTAGGACAGAGCTGTCCTCTGAGAATTAGTTTCATTGCCACTGTGTAATATTGCAATGTTCTACAAAATAATGACAAACAAGTCCAATAATTTACATCAGAACAGTTAAAAGGTTAGCAAGCTGGTATAGTCCAACAGTTAAAAAAAAGTCAATGACATTCTACAAAACACACGGCAAGTTACAATAAAAAAAATTTCAAACCACAAAAAAATAAAACACAAGTAGAAAGAATGCCCTCTAATGCACAGCTAGGAACAAGTGAACTGAACATTGGAAAGGTACTTTTGTGGACAAAGGCTAGACTGCATTTAAAGTGCAACACTTGACTATGCCACTCCCATACTGCAAAGAGAACAAACCTTTCCAAACCAGCAGTCAGTCCCTGCATTGCATTCAAAAACAAACAAACAAAACAAAATAAAAAACTCCTGAGAAAGAGTAAGGCTGGATAAGAAACCCCCTCAATTGCAACAGGCAAGTCTAATTCTTATTCATAATAAGTTTGCTGTCAGAGGTCAAAACTTCTCATTATGGCATCATGGTCAAACTTGAAACTCAAGAAAGCTCTTGATGAAAAAACAAATTTGTAATGGCCATTGCATGCCACAGAATGTCCGTCTACATGTTCTGGCAGCGCATCTTCGCTGGAGCAACACATCTCATGTGCTGCTTCTGCTTAAAGAGAAAATAGTGTTAATAAAAGTATCTGAAACAACACAAAGCCATACCTCAAACATATATTCAATTAATATTTATAACAAAACATGTATAAAAAGAAGAAGGTGACTCAACCAGCCATATTTAAAAGTTGTCTAGAGGCTAGAATAAATCTTCAAATTCACAGCAATCTGGAAACACTTTCAACAGCCACATACATATAAATATATTTTACACATATTTCTCAATAGCCATTTCTTAACAAGGAGAAAAAAAAATGGCACTGTTTCCTGAGCAATAGGTAAAGAACTGTGTGCACTCTGCTGCAGTTTATTACTAGCAGGACAGAAAGCCTTAAAGCACGCTCAATTACCAGCACTGTGTTGACTCAGATGCTATTTTTCTAAACTAGCTTTTAGTTACTTTTTCACTCAGCCACCTGGTGTATATCAGGCATGCAAGACCAACATGAAACAGTATCTTTTCCATTAAAAAACAAACAAAACCTCAAACTACCTTGGAAAAAAATGGTTTTATAATATTTGGAAGGTTGGCATGAGGAAAAGCCCTCAACCATCATTATTCAGGTGCCTTCAGCCTGTAGCACAGGACAGTGGATGAAAATTCTGACTGCACTTGCCTGTTTCAAAGTTATCTTGAAGTCTTCTTGGATTAAGCTTTTTTTCACATTTCTGGTGAAGAGAATGACCATACATTACACATTTTTGATAAAGAAATGGCATTATATTTAAGCATAATCTAACTGGCATGCTGGTTTGCTTTGACACACCCCACATCTGAATTATTTTACCTCTAACTCAGCTTTAATTCTGTCACATTACTTGATGTAGCAAACATGCTTTAAATCCACAAGTCTTTCAGAATCATTCAACCTTTTAACAGTCACGAAAACATTTCTAACATGCAGACTTCTGGGGGAAAATTTTGTTTTGGAAGGACCTTGCATATGATGGTGTGTAATCAACATTGTGCATGCATAAGCAATGAGCTTGTCCCAAAAGAGGCAAGGGGAATGTATTTACAGACGTGCTGCTACTACCGATTAAATTAACATGCTTTAGCGACACAAAACTCAAAACTCTCCAGGGGAGGAATTATTTTAGCCCCAGGTATTGCTGCTGTAAGTACAATGATGCAGAACAAATATGGTTCTTTGCACTCTCTCCAAATTAAGAGTCTCCTAGCCTTCAAATTACATTAGAAAATTATCACTGGACACAAAATATTTAAACTTTGAAAGACGGACCATCATGAAAACACAAGTGAAACAGAAAAAGAGAAATATTTAGAAAAATTTGTGAAAAGCCTGAAAAGTAACTGTGGAGCATTAACAGTTATCTCAATTAAGATCTTACAGATTACCATTACAGTTTTTCCTATCCATCTAAATTAGTGGGCAGTCAATTCACTCTTCTACACTCAAACATAACTAATAATTTCTTGCTGCAGTAAGGAATTTAGGACAAGTTTATGGTTTCTGTATGTTTACATGAATAAGAGAAAGAAGGCAATAACCACAAGCTAGAATGGGAAGAATTTAGTTTAAAGCCTGTAAACAAAAAAAGAAAACCTAAAGCCTGGACAAGCCAGCTGAGCTGCATAGAGAACTGGGGGCTCACAGCTGCACAAGAGCCAACAAAGTATACTGCAGAGCCATAAAAAAACAAGGAATCCAAAGCACATTCTACTCTAAAAGAGAGCACAGCCCAGTGAGTCAACTCCTACTGAGAACTGGATAAACACAATTAGTAACTGCAAGGGAAAGTAAAACACAAACAGTGTGACACTGGAATTTACAAACTGCTGGAACCAGCTCTATGTTATGATTGAAAAGCTATATGAGATTCTGGCTTGTTTATAGATGTATATGCATACAAGGTAAGAAATGTTATATATCTACAAACATATATCAAATACTCTGACTAAACACACTCTTGATAGATAGGCACTCTACTTTGTTTCAGCAGGACCTTGTCCTGGACATTTGTTAAGCATTACTGGAACATATTACTGACACAGACTCTGCATGTTTCTTACCAAGTTATGGTTTTGCTTAACTGGTTGACTGTGCAGTCCATTTGTTCGCTTCTTTTGGCTGGAAGTGTCTTGATTTTGCTTTCTGCCATTGTTCCTCACGCTCTGACTCTGCTGTTAAGTCCAAAATAAGTAGAGGGAAGAGTTTAAATGGCAGAATTGGACATCATTGCATTGACATTTCCTATGTAGTAATTAAAACTTCAAGTAACTTCAAAACATGTAAACAGTTTCTTTTGCAGAAAAATGGAAGCCCACTGAAATTAACAGAACACACACTCAAGCTACAGGGCCATCAACTGTTACCCATTCTCTCTAGTACTGAATATGACAGAATTATTACACAATTAATTCCATTCAGTGAATTTCCATGCACTAATGCAGAAATACTAGATTCCAGCAAAACGGCAAGTATTAATTACTATCTATACATGAAACAACACAAATGCTAGCTGATACCACCACTTCTAGTGTGAGATAAATCAAAGAATTCCCAAGAGTATTCTCCCATTCCCACGTCTCTATTTTTGCATTCTCTGGAGACAAAATTCATTGGTTTTGTCCTAGAGAGGAAACCCTCAAACAAAGACATCTGTTTTAAATAGTCCAGATGCACATGCTTGCCTAACAAACAGCCTACCTTTGTTTTCAAAACTTCAGACATCTCAGGATGATTATATGGCTTCTGTGGCTGTTTTGGCTTCACCAAGTGCTCTCCTGAAAAGCCATCTGTAAACACCTGTTGACTACAGCGAAGTTTGGATCTAGTGCAGGAAAACAAAGACAGTTCACAACACAACTTCAAATCTACTGAGAGCAGAAGACAAATATGAAAAAAGTTTCTGCTTTTTGAGAATAATCTGTAAGAATCTTAAGTAACCTAGTATGGAAAATCTAATAATGCTCACTGCCATTTGCATTCTCCATAGCCAAGAGGCCAAGTCCACATTAATATTTGCCCTGTTGTTCTCAGACTTGGTGTTGCCCTAGCTCAGATTACTGAAGTCCTCTCAAAAGGACTACAGCTTTCAACATTTGCTCTACCACTTTCCACTCAGCTGAATCTAAAGCCAGCAGCACATGTTCCCCTACTGATTCCCACAGGTTTTATCCAGCACTTCTTAGACTACTTTACAGTCCTGCTTTGGAGAGACCTATTTTTCCTGTGCAGAAGTGCCAAAAAATATTGAACTTGAAGCACTGGAAGTTATCTACTTGCTTTAGCTTCTTTTTTTTTTTTGATTCCCATAAACAAGACTGAGGAAATAATCTCAGTTCTGACACCTGTGTATCAACACATAAATTAAGTTCTCACCATACTTACAAATCTATGATATACGTCTATGCTTATTTTTCTGTTATTTACCTATTACTGGAACACAAATCCTTGGATAAAGAGAAAAGAACAAGCAGTATGTATATAATTGCCATTGTATAATATTATCATATTTGTATGACCAGTGTTTTGTAAGAAAGAATATAGAGATGTTAAACTGACCTGGTTCTTACCTAGCTTTTTCCAAGTTGGGCTTAGAAGGTGTGCTCCCTGCAGATGGCAAACCATTGTCACTGTCTGAGGAATCTCCATTCCTTCGGGAAATCCATTCCCTCAATGGCCTGTGAGCAAGGAGTAGTACAACAAGATCTACTTACCAAAACAAATCTAAAGAATTTGAAGTTGTCTGAAAGACCTTGGCCTAGAATTTGGCTCATCTCAAACATACCTGATGAAGGGAATTGCCATAAAAAATTTGTTAGGCGCCAAACCCAGCTTGGACTTTGGGGTCATGTCATTTCTGTGGCATGGTAATTTGTCGATGGAAAACCACTCAATATTCTAGAAAAACAAGAAATAAAATCAAAATACCCTCTATTGTAGCCATAGCAGATTTTTACAAATGTGTATCAGCCACAATTATTTCCCTTAATCAAAATATTACCATGGAATACTTAAATTAACGGGCCACAACAGCGTTTTTCACAAAAGATTAATTAACTCTTCCGACTGCCACTACAGTAGCAGATGGTACAGCACAAAACTGCACGATATCACACCTAAAATATGAAAGGTATTAATCAGCAACTAAATTCTGAATACGAGTTTCATAAACAAACCAACCAAACCATTGCACACAGAATGCCATAAATAAATGTACAGGCTTTGAATAATTTTCAAAAACTTTTTACTTAAAAGTGTGATCAATACTGGACCACCAATACCCATTCAAAAGTAAGAAGGGTGTTTAGTTTGACAGCAAGTTTCAGGTTTTAGAATAAAAGAAAAAAAACCATGGCAATAGGATTTGTGTTACTGTTTATATGTTTTTATATTTATGTTTATATGTATTTATATTTACGTTTTAATAACTAAAACTGTACACTTAGAGGAATGGGGAACAAAATTAGGAACTCTGACCACAGACATTGTAGAAGAACGCACCTAAGATTTGCTATCACAGAATCTACTCTGAAAGCCCTAGGTACAGAAAAGATGCAAATTATGGAAATAAGTTACAAACTGAACAAGTCTTCAATATAGTTCTACAGGGAGTACAAAACCAGCCTGCCTGGTGGCATTACATCAGATGAAGACAAAGCTTCAAAACTCTGTCATTGGAAAAACTCTTCAACATTCCCACACATATGGTCACTGTTCTACAAAGTACCATATTTACTGTATATTTTAAAAAACCCTTAAATTTCATCTTATGTCATATTTTAAAAAAACAGGTCTCTAATGCAAGAAATTAAGTCTTGTCAAGTCAAATATTTTCTTTATTTAGAAAGCAAAATAAGCAAGATGCCCTGTTTAGTGACACAATCTGCATGGAAATATAGCTGTTTTTAACTGAATTGCCATAAAGGAAAAAACAGTCAAACTTCAAGATTACAGATACCACTGACAAAGGTTCCAACAAGTTGTTACCTGAGCCTTTGTCTTATGCTTTCACAATACCTTTTAAAAGCCTAATGGTACACAGTACATCCAAAATAGTTCCCTTTTTCTGTCCCCTTCCCAACTTCCTCCTTAAAATATACTATTTTTCAAATCTGACAGTATTAGACAGGAAAGAAGAAAACAATTCTTAGTTTGTCCTTTGGATATGTCATTTTGATATGGCTTTTGCATGTCCCCAACTAATATTAAACTTGCAAATATATAGCTACATTTGCATCTGTAACTATGAATAATAGAGATAATTAATATATACATCACCTATGAGAAAAGGAGAATTGTATTTTAGCAGCATGCTCTATTGTCTTTTCATGATGAATGGAGATGTCAGACAGATGATCAGGTGAGCTGCAAGAAGTCAACACAAAACCCTACAGTGCAGAGATGCCGCTGGTATCTAGCATTTAAGGTGTTCATTGTGGGTTCATTATTTTACACACTTCTGGCTTTAAAAAGCAACTTCTGCAAAGTTCCTATAGATTCAGACAAGATAGCACATACCCGAATTTCCCTTCTAGTTTTGGGGTTGAATTTTGTGTTCTTGGGAACTCCAGGAATGATGTACAGCCGTGCTAACTGATCATTGATTCGCAGCTCAATGTAGTCCTCTTTGCAGATATAATCTTTTATGTCAAACCCAGTTTCTTCAAACACCTGAGAAGTATTTAGATGAAATTAGTGTATGTGTATTCAGAGTCATTCTTTCACAACCTCTTACCACAAGCAAAGGAATGACTATTTTTTAGATACATCCATGAAAGCTGCTGAGAAAAACAAGCCTTTACACATAGAGGTTTGCTCAGAAATAGAAAAAGGATCTACATGCTTTAGATTTCTCTGAAACTGCAAACCTGTTATGCAAGTTGAAACAATTCTATTACACCTTCATGTAGCAATTTATTAATATGGATGAGGTTAGTTCTCATCAGCTTCTGAGGTACTACTGAACTCTGTAGGCACTGCCAATTGAAGACCTCTTCAATTAGATTTTACACACATGCAGCTTATGGTTTCTGATCTGTGCTGACTCCAGTGAAAGAAGTTGAAAAATTTATTTCAGATAAAAAATAAATTGTCAGTCTATCCACAATGACAATCTCACCTGTCAGAAAAAAAAGATGGTAACTGTCAGGGTCAGCTGTTACTTGTCTCTGCCCCAACACAGGAAAAGGTGGTTCTGGGCAGGCCACGCTTTGAAGAAGGAGTCTGGACTCCTGCTTTTTCGGTCTTCAGTTGTGTTTATTATTTCTTATCTACAAAGTTTTTCTGTCTGTCCAGCCAAGGTCTGATCAGCAAGACAGCCAAGGGCACTCTCTCCCGCCCACGGGGACGTTGTCTCTTTTACAGTGAAAACTACGTATTAGATATTTACCTTCTATTTCCAATACTTTTCATCCTTCTTAGCAAGTGCACCTTCACCATGAACCAATCCACACATGCCAACATCATCCTGAACATGGATGCCAAGGAGAAGAAAGAAGAAGGACAGGGCACGCCCAAATCCCTCCATCTTGGGACTCCCGACCCCATGTACAGGATTCCAAACCCCCCTGTACAAGGTTCAAAATCCCCCTGTACAGTGCTCCAAAATTTTTCCTTTCACCCTGTGATTGCTACTACTATGCTACTTAAACTTTTGTGGCCTGTAATTCTTCATATAAGGTTGGCAATTTGCTCCATGAATTAAGATCGAATTTCCAGGTGTCTTTGGCTTCCAGCCAGGGTCTCCAAACCCCTGCCAGGGCTTTGAGATATCCAGGGCATCCAGAGAGATGTCCTGGGTTCCGACAGGTAACAATAGTGCTGTTCACTAGTGAAATCTAAATAGATTTTTCAAATCAACAACACTACCAAAAGATTTTTTTTTCCCCAGTGTTAACTGTGTCCCCTTTAATGCGTTTGCTGGCATAGCTTGAAGTAAAGAGGAAGATACACTTCATGTAACTTCTTCTTGAAGTAGGTGTCTAGTTTATCCTTGACAGGTATACTTAAACAAAAAAAAAACAACAAAACCCTTTGATTTCTCAGATACTGATTCAGTCCAATTGAAGAACACTAAATGCATCATACTACTTTCCCTCACCTTAATTTTCTCTCTCAAAAACTCTGGCTAAATTATGTTGAATGAACACTGAATTTGTACCAGTAATATTCTTTTACAGGCTATTTTGAATATGCAGCTTCACTACATATCTAGGTCTCCAGGAGCAATAAGTACAGATTATTTTCTTTTTCAGATTTTACTTGTAATATACACTGATTCTTGCTCCTGAAAATAACTGAAAAATGGTGTAACTGAAAAACAGAAAAGTAAAGTTCTTCACAATTTTTACATAAAATTCTACAGCCTCCAACTCAGCTCTTTAGCCTCTTTACAGCGACCAGTCTACATAGGCTAAATTCTCATTTCTCCATGTTTTTAAAGTCATGGTGACCCTTGAAATTAATACACCAAAAGTCCTAAATTACGTAAGATTTCCCAAGCACCACAAGTAATACTTAAATGTAAATTCACAGTTCAGCAGAGAACTTTAAAAATAGTACTCACTTCATGTAGCACATTAATGCAAAAGCATGTGAGACATAAACTTTTTTTTGGTTTTATTTTAATATATAACCTTAGCCTTGATTACCATTTTGGAACTCAGGCACTAAAAGATGACTGCAAGAACAGACTATTTATTCACACGATTTCAATAACAGGATTACCTAAGTGCCTTTTCACCCAACACATATATCCTGATTTCAGCAAAATTTCACTTCTTTATCTTAAAGGAGTTGATATAACTTACCTCTCTAGCAGCACAGTCATGAGGTGCCTCTTCTTTATTTACTTTCCCTTTTGGAAATCCCCAACCAGATTTTGCTAAATAGCCCTGAACCAAAAGAACCTACAAAATACAAGGGAATGCAACTGTCAAACATGAAGGTGTTGTAACCAATTTCATTAAATGTCTTCCCTCCACCATCCCCTTGTTTTCCAAAAGAATATGTTAGCCTCAAGGAAGGAAACCATTAGGTTTTCTGTGTTCTAGCAAGAACTGTGAAATATTTCACAGAATAGTGTAACTCAGAATAAAAAAATAAAATCTGAGAAGGAAAGCACGCAGAAGTGTGTTTACTGACTCACATATTATATTTCTGTACACAGCTACTAATATCAAGCAACTCTCAGATCTCTGCGAATCTGACAATGAATGTAAATTTCTCTAGAAGAAAAATGTAAACAACAGAGAATTACTTCTGCTAGCATACGCCATCCCTCCCTCTAGACAGTCCTTCACAACTATTTCCATACTTACATTTTCAAGTGTCTCATCAAGGATGATTGCACCATAGGTTGGTACTCCCATTTTGTATTCTTTCCACTCATCTAAAACCTTTTGTACATCTTCACCTTGAGGCAGTAAAAAGGGGCAGTGACTGAAGAGTATAGCAGGATGTTAAGGAAAATAAGCAGCCAGTTCCAAAGCACATACCGAATACAAAAGATATTCACTCCAAATGTAGAATAAACACTCCCTCCCCTAAGTCCGTTCAAGATAGATTCTCTTGGAAGTAAAAAAAATTACAAATAATCCACTACCAAACACTGAAAGTTAGAGAGCATCAAGTAATTCAGCAATTCCTATACAAAGCAATCTAAATAAATTTAAAACAAAACAAAACAAAACAAAACCAAGACCAACCACACAAAAAAGATACCCAAAAAAGAAGCCAACAAAACACACAGAAAAACCACAAAAAAAAAGACTGCACAAGGCTGATTGTTTGAAGGAGGGTAATTTTGAAAAAAAAGTAACCCCATAACAGTTATTTTGAATAGGTATTATTTGCAAACACATTTTCTTAATTTTGAAGTGAGCAAGAGACAGAAAAAAATTCAGTTTCTTGTGCTTGAAATAAATGGGAATGCACTTTTGTCACAATCATTTGTTAAGATTATGGCACAGAATCCTATATTCAGTATTTAGTATGCAAAAAAAATTATTTTAATGACATATAGTTACAGAAATCTTAATTCTAATACACTTTATCAAAACTCACCATGCAGAGGAAATATAAACAACCTCTATAACTCTAAAATTTTGAGAGAAAATTTGCAAGTCCTTAATCAAAGTAATAATATTATATATTACATATATTATACTACCAATAAAAAATACTCCACAGCAGAATACTTAAAAATACACTGCATCAGAACTAATATTTGTGGCAAATATGGGTTAGAAAGGGAAATATGTAATGAACATAAACATCTATTACACTGCATTTTTTCTGCACTGCCTACAATTAGTAGGAGAATTTTGTTGGTCTGAAACTACATTCATAATTTAAAACATATATAAAATAACAGCATAACATCAACAAACAGAATATGACCATATTTTTACAGTTTACTGTTAAAAGCTGTAGTGTTTTGCAGTGAATATATATTATGAAACTAACAGATAAGTATGTTGTGCAGCGAAAGCATCTTTGCTTTCATCTAATAATATTATCCTCAAAGTTAGAAGCAATATTTCAATCTCAGATCAAGAACATATGGGACAAGGCTAAAACTAAAACACTTGCTGGATGAAAACCACAAAGTTTTCTCTAGCAAGGACTAGATAGTACACATTCCAGCAGCTCCTGCAAGCAAGAAAAACAGCTGAGGCGAACCATCTGAATTCAGTAAAAATGCAGTTTCTACTCTACAGAAACTTGCAACAAATACATACCACTGCCTATGGCAGAACACATACCACCTTCAACTTCATTAATATTTATGTCACTAGTTACATGAAAATTAATAATCTATGGAGTTCAGTTTGAAGAGCACCAACACCCTTGAAACCAACCTAGCATGCAAAGTGCAACTATGATCCTCAAACATCAGAAACACACTGTTTTCCATAGTTCTTTAGCAGTCCAAGAAACATCTCTTTTGTGGGTGCCACAAAGTTATGAAGCAGTGAACTCAGTAACATCACATACCTAGCAATACTAACTTTTAATCATTAACACATGAACGACATTATCATACTATGAAATATTGTTAACAATATTCAGTTTGCACTTTACCATTGAGACAGAAAACAATCAGAGTAATAAAAAGGATATCAGCTTTAGCAAAGTCTCTTATCCCACACTGAGGTAATCCTGGTGTGTTTTGCATGTAGAAATCCAAATAAAACCAATGGGCAAGTTCAATCTGAAAACACACTCTGATTGCATTGTCTCTCTCTTCACTTGGAATGTGCAAAATAAATCGGCTGCCAGGAAAGAAAAAGAGTAAGATTAGCCAAATCTACTGATTAAATACAGCTAACAATAAAACATTGCAACAGTACAATTCTTGATCCATTAGCACATACCAACAGACCTCTGGATCCTCCTCATGTTCCACAAGGACAGTAAAGAGTTTTCACAAAGTAAAATACAGCTTTTAAAGTCAAGAAGGAAAATGGATTATTATGATCTTTCAGAAATATAAATTACAATATACTAAGTAAATTAACTGTTGTAAAAACAGGGAGTGTGAAGACAACCTACTTAAATGGCTGTGTTACAAAAATGAAAGCATTTTTACAAGTCCATTAAATAACATCCGCAAACTCTGATGAGATATTTCAGTGCTATTTTTTTCAGGACACAAGTTGAACATAGGTTTTTTTTCACTTAAAACCACAGTAAACTAATAATTTACATAGATTTTAAAAGTCAATATGATCCTACAAATTTCCTCAGTCTGAAACTGAACATGGACAACCAGGTTCAGTTCAGATACTAGCACACAGACAGAGTCACTGAGATAAAAGTTTAAGCAGCACTGTGTGATACACCACTTCAGCTAAGCAAAAGAAGTTTTATTTATTAATGTATTTGTATTGAAAGCAGAACTTCCTTTTTAGAAATTTAAGGTCATACACCCCACTGAACTTAAATCATATGATGGAGATCTTTGACATTCAGCTCCTGAGTGCAGCCAGCTAAATTCCAAAAGTGCATAATTATCATTGCTCAAAGCAGAAATACTGTATCTTTACTTAAAATCTAACAAATATGAATTGTCACAGGATCTCAGAATTGGTTGCCTCTCTAAGGCACTCTGGCCAAGGACAGAGGCAGAAGGTCACTCCCTCACTGGTGCAGGCACACACCTGATACTCCCCAGGCTTCCAGGCACATTCACAGATCCCCCTAGTACTATGACAGGTCTCCTGTTCCACTCCACAGCCCTGCCCAGACCCCTGACCCTCACGCCCCTCACACAGGTCCCTGCCCCACCAGATGGTCCAGTTTAAAGTTTGCTAGTGACAACACATGCACAAGAGGTCTGGGGAAGGCACCTGTCGCCCTCACACCCACAGTCCTGCTGCAGCTGCCTGTGCTCTGCCCCTCACTCCCACCACTTCCCCCACAGAGGCTGGTTCCCAGGACACTCATCATAGCCACCCCAGACACTGGGAGCTGAGACCCCCTCCTGGGACTGGCTGGCACTGAGATCTGTTCCCTCACTCCAGCAGCTGACACCTTGCCAATATCAGACAGAACTCCATCAGCAGCTGGCACTTCATTCTTGGAGCACACATATACAGGGGGTAGAGAGTGGAATTATCCAGACAAAAATAGGTATTTACTAAGAAGATGTAAGATAGGAGTTAGTGACACTTGGGCAGAAGGGTCAGAGAAGTGTAGTAACTTGCCCAGTTTTACAGCCAAGCTCTTTTATACCCCTTTCTGCCTACCTTTGCTTTGTCCCTCCCTGCTTCTCTTTTCCTGTGGCACTCCTCTCAACCCAGAGTGTGGAATATCCCCCAGATCTAAAGCCAGATCCCCCAGATCCTACCAGATACAAAGGCCAGGCTGATATTCCTCAGAGTGATGCCTATGGTTTCTTGGCAGTTGGTCAATTAGTGTAATTAACATGCTTGTTTCTTGTCATTGTGTCTATTTCTGATTTCTTAGGTTGGTCTCTAAATATATTTTCATTCTGATTCCTCCACTTTTTTTCTGTTTTCCAGGAACAGGTCCATACCCAGATAAACTTGCTGGAACAAACATTCCTATACCCCCTCATCAACCAGTAGCCAGGTTTGGTTTTCACCACTGCCTTCCTTATCATTCCTCTGTTGGTTTTGTAGACTTGTGTGCTTTGTTTATGGATTTCTCATCTTCTTACCATTCTTTTGCTAGGTTTGTAGCCTTTATTTATTTACCATGATTTTATTTCTTATCCTCCTATCGAATTTTCTCACGGAAAAAGGCCTTGGCCAGATACCCTTAAAGACCTTGGCAGGCCTGAGAAGGAGTCTGTGTGAACCTCATGAATTTCAAAACAGCCAAGTGCTGTGCCTCGGTTGGGACAATCCAAGCACAATGTAAAAACAGTCTGATCAGAGAACGGATGGAGAGCAGCTCTGGGGAGGAGGATTTGAGGTATTGGTGGATGAGAATCTTGACAGGAGCTGACACTGTGAGTGCCCAGCCCATTCTTTTGATGGAACACAGTGTGCACAGCAGATTAAGAGAGGTGATTCTCACCCTTTATTCTGTTCTGGTGAGACTTCACCTAAGAGTTGTGTTCAGCTATTGGAACTTCAATAAAAGAGGATGGGGACGTGCTGGAGCAAGTCTCTGAGGCCTTTCAGGACCTAGGGGGGGCTACAAGAGAGCTGGAGAGGGGCTTTTTACTATGTCATAGTGACAGGACAAGGGGGAATGGCTTTAAAGAGAAAAAGGGGAAAGTTTAGATAATAGAAAAAAACTTCTTCACTGTGAGGGTCATGAATCACTGGCACACACTGTCCAGAGAAGCTGTGGATGGCCTGTCCCTGGAAGTGTTCAGTAGCAATCTGGTCTAGAAGATGTCCCTGCTTTTGGCAGAGGGGCTGGGATGAGATGATCTTTAAGGTCCCTTTAACCCAAAGGTGATTCTCCCTTGCACGAATAGCCTTATTCACATCAACATTTTACCACTTCCCAATTTTCAATTGGCACTACCACTTCCAGTTTCTTTTGAAGGCTCTGACTGCTGAAAAGATCCCTTACCTATAAAGTTGCTGTAACTAAAAGATAAGAACTTAAAAGTCTACATTACATCATATCATCTAGTTGATGATATTTTCTTGCCCCAGCACTGCAGCTGAACAAAAATGTAAAGATAAAATGTGCAGCAGTATCAAAGAGAAGAAAGAATATGCCAGGGATTAGGCTTAGAGAACAATAGCAAAGCCAAGTACAATGATATTTATTAATCAAAAAGTTAACTTCTAAGTTACTTGGAGTGAATGAAGTGCTACAACAGGCATGGCATCTCTAGGTTGTTCTAGGTGCAGCTGCCAGGTGCTGGCAGTGATGGGCTAATGCTGGACACACTGTGGGACACAGCTACAGGCAGCAGCTGAGATGGTGGTGCCTGTGGGGAAGTGTATTTCAGGACAAAAATGCCAGACAGGCAGAGGAAGTGAAAAAAATAGCATGAAACAGCAGTGCAAACACCAAAGTTGGAGACGAAGAAGGCAGAGGAGATGTCCATCCTACAGTCTTTGGAGTATCACGTGCTGGAGCAGATGGATATGTCCTGAAGAAGCCTTAGCCTGTAGGAGTGATCCCACACTGGAGCAGGGGCAAAGCATAAGAGGGAAGAGCCCCAGAGAGGATGTGTTACAGACTGACCACAACCCTCATTCCCCATCCCCTGAGCTGCTTGCAGGGAAGGAGGTAAAGGAGAGGAAAGGAGAGAACGAAAGGATGAAGCCAACAGGAAGTTTCCCTGGGAAAAACAAGGATGCAGAAAAAGCTCTTTTTCAAATGTTTTTTGAAGTGGGGAAGTGTGTGGCTGGGTGAGCATCTAGCCACTTGAGCAAGGTGAACCAACCACAGTCTGGAAGTCAAAAATGGGGTAAAAGGACTTGTTTACAAGACAAAGGAAGTTTCAAGAAGCTGCTAAACCCACATTATGACTCTGCATATCCACTTCTTTACTCAGTTAAACAACTCCATAGCACAAGGCAGCATGACAAAATCTGACATGGATACCTGTAACTTGTTATTTAACAATACCCAATAACTGAGTTATGAAAAATCACCTGTCACTTTCTACCAAAATTCCCACTAATATCATATATCGATTGAAGAATGTAGGATATTACAGATATTTTTATAACACGTTTATAACATTAACAGAATTACAATACAAAACACCATTTCTAAGACAGAAGATTACAGTATCTTAAAGAAACACAGTAAAACACTGGGACTGATCCTATTACAACGCAAGATTCAAATACCCATGTGCCCTTCTGTCAGTCACCCCACGGAAGTGACACTAACAGGCTGTATCAGTTTTGTAATCACTGCAATTCCTCTCTGGATTTTCTGAAGAAGTCTTCAATTTTGTGTCATATGTGAACAGGGATCTGAGAGGCAAGTTCCTCTCTCTGCAAGGAGCCCAAAGGAGACACAATGGAAACATAAACATGCTTCAGAGGCCAGATTTAAGGAACTGAAAATTTACATGCCTACGACAAACTCTGACTCTTGCATTAGACAAGTGCAAAAAAATACTGAGCAGGACAGTTCTACCTTCCTGTGGTGTTCTCACTTCTAAACATTTTCACTCATTTGAAAATCGTAATTACAGTAGAGTGGTATCTTTCCTCTTCACTAACCTTTTCCTCTTTTACATAAATACCTCATAAGGAGTCCCTTGGAAGTGGTAAGATAGAAGAATTATTTCATGCCAAATATCACATGCAGTTTGTGTCATCACATTCTGGGGATGACAGACAAATTACAAAGTTTGAAGGGCTGTACCACAGATGATGAGAGGTTGAGACTGCAGGGGGGAAAATGCAACTTGGCCCTTTTACAGAATCCACGCTTTACGAAAATTCAAGCGCAAAGCCCTTGGAACAAAAAAAGCATTTCGCTCGGAAAGAACCGACGAGCAGGAGAGGGCAGCTTCACACCGAAGGGTGCCCCTGCGGCTCTCCCTTTCCGCCCGCCGGCGCGTTCCCTGCAGCAGCGGTACCTCCCCAGAAGGGACTCCCCGCGCCCCTTCCAAACGAAACCAGACCTCGGAGCAGCAAGCACCACACCTCGGCTGGGCCACGCGTCACGCCAGCCCCACGCTCCCAGCTCTGCTTTCACCTGCGCAAACACCGCCGACGCAGCTCTACGTTTTCCGGCCCAAACCCCGCAAGAAATCCCCATAAACAATGTTCTCCCACTTCCCCCGTGCACTCGGCTCCTGGCCCGCCGCCGGAGCAGCCCCACACCAGGTCCACAAGGTGTCGCGGGCAGCCTTCCCGCCCTTCCAGGACGGATTCCATGGGGAGGGCGGAGCCTCGGGCACTGTGGGAATGGGCCGAGCCTCGTCCTTCCGCTCCCCGGCCGCCGCGGGACGGCCAAAGCCGCCCCTTCAGGCTGCGTGGCCCCGCAGCCCCTCCACGTCTCGAGCATCTCGGGCCCCGCGCCCCGGGCGCGGGCAGGCTCAAGCGCCCTTCCCGCCCTCCGGCAGCAGCGGCACCGCAGCCCTGGGGCCGCCCCCCCGCCACGGCCGTACCTGCATAGGTCGTCCAGGACGCTGCTGGGGATCTCGGCCCGTTTGGTCTCCATGGGGAAGCGCGGCTCATCCCGACGCGGCGGAGGCCGGGGCGCAGGGAAACGGCGGGGGCGGGGCCGCGCTGCCGGGGGGCGGTGGAGTGGCGGCTGCCGAGGCCAATCGGCGCCCGCCGCTGGCGGAGCGGCGGCCAATGGGGCGGGGCACGGGGCGGGCCCGGCGCGCTCAGGTGATCGCGGGCGGCCAATGGGCTGCGCGGGGTGGGGTCGCCGCGAGAGCGCTGATAACGCGGCGCGCCGGGACACGGAGTGGGACAGCGGCTCGGCTCGGCTCGGCTCGGCTCGGCTCGGCTCGGCTCGGCTCGGCTCGGCTCGGCTCGGCTCGGCTCGGCTCGGCTCGGCTGCGGTGCTCGGCTCGGCTGCGGTGGAGGGAGGGGCCCCGGGCCTGGTGAGGCACGGCTGGGGTGCTGTGTCCAGCTCTGGGCTCCTCAGCACAGAGAGCCACGGGAGGGGTCCAGCAGAGGCCATAGAGACGAGGATGGTGTGGGCATCCGTGCCTTGTGAGGAAAGGCAGCGGGAGCTGGGCCTGTTTAGTCTGTAGGAGTCTGAGAGGGGATCTCATTAATGCCTGTAAATGCCTCCAAGGCGGGTGCCAGGAGGGTGGTGCCCAGCGACAGGACGAGGAGCAATGGCCATAAACTAAAACACAGGAAGTTCCACCGCAATATGAAGAACTTTGTCACGTCTGAGGGGTGGAGAGCTCTGGAACCGCTGCCTGCGGAGGGCATGGGCTCTCCCCCTCTGGAGACATTCAAACCCACCCGGACGCGTTCCTGTGTCACCTGCTCCAGGTGCTCCAAGTAACCGTGCCTTGGTGGCCAGAGGGCACGGTCTCCGAAAGGGAATAATTCTGTGATTCTGCGAAACAAACCGGCTCCGGTGGCGTTCCCAGAGGTGTCTCCCTGCCGGCAGAGGGTATCGCTGCTCTCTCCGCGGCAGCTGCTGGTGGCCTTGCAGCCTTTGATTTTAGGTAGCAGCGAGTATTTGACGCATTTCTCCTCTTGTTCTTCTCCTTCCTTTGCTCGCCAAACGGCTTGTGCTCCGTCTGGCTGCTCTTTCCCTCACCAACATTGGGGAGAGAAACAGAGAAATGAGAAAACTCGTCGGTTGAGATAAAGACTAAATTGTCTAGTAAGTTATTAGTGTTGCCTATTAAACTGTAGGGAATGCAAAAGCTGCACACACAAGAAAGCAAAAACCTTTGCTGCTGCTTGTGACCAGGCAGGTGTTCAGCCATCTCCAGCATGGGGATCCATCATGTGTAACAGTGACTTGGGGAGACAAATGCCATCACTCTGAATGTCCCCCCATTTTGTTCCCCCCACAGCTTTATATCCTGATTATGATGCTATATGCTATGGAATATAACAAACACTATGTTCAGCACAAATCCAAAACAAGGCTCCATACTAGCTAACTAGCTCTGCCCTAGTCAAAACCACCACACAGAAACACCAGTCCAGCATTACCCTGAAGACACAAAGAGTATGTACATTCACGGTTACTGTTAGGCACAGAAAGTGAGAGATGTATCCTTTGCTTCCTTTCCAAAGATGTAACAAAGAACAGAAGGTTCCATGACAGCTCCAGAAGTATGAGGAAAGAGCATTCAACTAGGTATAGAAAGAACAGTACTGTAAGAAGACAATCTTAGCAGGAGTTGGAGTGCAGTCTTAGTAAAAGCTGAAGCAGAAATATTTACATATATTGGTGTCTCACTCATGAGCAAACTCCACTAAGTGTATTTGACAGTGACTTTTGCTCCACTCCCTTTATTGCTGTGATGCTTGGAGGTGATGGGTGGATCACTTTAACTTACTTACAGAAGTATTTTGTTAGCAAAAGTAAAGTCCACTAACAGTACTATTGGTATGTCTAAACAGAGGAACAGCTGTAAGGATCTGAGTTCAAACTGATCAATCCCTTTGCTCAGGAATCCATAAAGCTCCCTTTTTACCAGAAAGAGTAGATGTACGAGGTTCTTTAAAAGTTACATGGTCCGGATTATTTCAGTGATCAGGATACTCTTGCTGCTACTGTTTTTCCCTGCTTTGCTACATTCAAAAACTGCTCCCCATGTCCTGATCCCCATCTCCCACATGGATTTGGTACCAGGAGCTCCTACAGATAAGGAAGAAAAAAAGTGGCTTAGGAAATGCACTTTGACATCTCATGCCATCTATGGTACTTTCAGCCCTGTCATGGTTTCTGAAAAATACCCAACCTGATACAATAAATAAGCAAATGTGTCAAATGTTACCTAAGTTACAAATGACTCTTCTACAGCACAGATCCTTAACATGTGAGGAAGGTACTACCTGAAGAACATAATGGAAGTTTGTGGACAGTGTTCCAAGATGGGAGAGAGGAGAGATACATTGGAACATTTCTGCTTGCTCCATTTTGGAGACATTCCTGGAAGACTAGGTTGGCCAGAACATGAACAAAAGGAAAAAAAATATGTTCAGAAGTAGAATTTGGAGTTGTGTATCATTGTAATTTCTTTTTCTTGCTGTACATTTTCTAATTTCTTTGATAAACTAACATGCACTCCTTTTACCTGTTGGCTCATATGAAGCAAGTTGAGTTAAGGCTGACACATTCAGGTTATATTTCGCCAAAGATAAAGCCTCCAGGGAACTTGCATGCTTTGGTGGCAAAGTAGCTCTTGTCAAGCTTCAAGGGCAATTAAGAGAGTAGGAAGGCCAGGCATATCAAGAGAAACTCACACAGTACCCACACCACCTCAGAGCTCCAAGCAATGTGCAGAATCACCCAGTGATGTACTCAGACTGGTTTTTAATCACTGCTCATCAGTCAGCCTTCGCAGTCTGAAAGGCAACAATCAGATATTTGGAAAATAATGTTGTTGTCTGTTTGCACTGAGCAAGGAGAGAAGGTGGCAGAAAATAAAGCAGGAGCCAGCCATTTGTGCATTCAGAAAGGGATCTCAGACAAAGAGTTGGATTGCACAGGACAAGCAAGAGCTGAAAGTGGATGATGTCTTGCTTGAAAAATTTCACCAAAGTGAGAATTGCATTGGATAGGAAGACACTCTCAGATACCAAGCACCAGCCAAATCTAGGACTCAATAAACATTTATTTGCAATTTATGTGAATTAGAATAAAGACTGAGGCAGAACCTTGAGAGTCTGCAATCAAGAGATTGCAGACTTCACCTTGCCTAAGTAATCAGAAAAAGGCATTAATTCCACTCAGCCCTTCAATAAACAGATTCTACACTAAAATCTCCAACAAAGGATGGAGGTGGGAGGTAACAGTATGAGGTCAGCATACTGTAAGCAGTATGAGGTCAGCACTCTCAGTTGCTACAAGTTGGGTCAACTTGTATGCAAGGAGACAATGCAAGCACTACTCCCCTGCTTTGCTTCATGTGTTACGTGGTAAAAGGTGAATGAACAGCTGGCACAGACTATCAGGAGGACAGTAATATACTATAGAACCAGTCCCATATAACCCACGTGGAGAAACAGAAACACTTAAAATATGTTGAAGCAAGTTTTAGGTAAACCAAATCGCCCCCACAAAAGAAAATCTAGGCTTAAATCTGTGTTCATCTTGGTTTCCTGATTGTAAAGGAAAGAGAACCATAAAGATCTGAAAATAATCTGGAAGGGATTTTATTAAGTGAGAAGCACCATAGAAAGTACCACACTTGTGACACTTGTGGTGATGCACAAGACATTGTAATAACTAATAAGATGCACTAATTAGCAGACTTGGATGAATAATGTACCTAAACTTTGGAGAGGTTCTCTGAACCTTGCAGAGGAGATAGGAAACACACAGAAAAAGGTAAGCTAGCAATCATTTGGTTACTTTATGTATAGAGAGCTGTGGTGAGCCTGTTCAGAAAACTCTGTACTGGGCTTTTCCTAACATTACAGTGCTTTCATAATCAGATCAAAGGATTTATAATCTAAGACTTTGCAAGTAATCATTCATTTAATGTCAATAACATGTGCATTGCTTTACATACATGACATGACATGCTACAGTTCAAGACAGCAGGGTTTGTTTAGGCAACCCTGATCTCAAACAGGCTTAACCAGATGGCTCAGGTAACACACACATCCCTTGGGATGTGATCATCCATTCAAACTCCAAGTCAAGCAGACTGTTGGAGGAAGTCCAGCTCTGGGGCCTTCAATATCAGCAGGACATGCACCTGCTGGAGTGACTCCAGAGGACCACAAGGATGATCAGGGGGCTGGAGCACCTCTCCTAAGAAGAGAGAGAGATGGGGTTGTTCTGCCTGGAGAAGAGAAGGTTTCAGGGAGAGTTTATAGCCCCTTCTTGTACCTAAAGGGAGCCTCAGGAAAAGGTAAGCTAGCAATCATTTGGTTACTTTATGTATAGAGAGCTGTGGTGAGCCTGTTCAGAAAACTCTGTACTGGGCTTTTCCTAACATTACAGTGCTTTCATAATCAGATCAAAGGATTTATAATCTAAGACTTTGCAAGTAATCATTCATTTAATGTCAATAACATGTGCATTGCTTTACATACATGACATGACATGCTACAGTTCAAGACAGCAGGGTTTGTTTAGGCAACCCTGATCTCAAACAGGCTTAACCAGATGGCTCAGGTAACACACACATCCCTTGGGATGTGATCATCCATTCAAACTCCAAGTCAAGCAGACTGTTGGAGGAAGTCCAGCTCTGGGGCCTTCAATATCAGCAGGACATGGACCTGCTGGAGTGACTCCAGAGGACCACAAGGATGATCAGGGGGCTGGAGCACCTCTCCTAAGAAGAGAGAGAGATGGGGTTGTTCTGCCTGGAGAAGAGAAGGTTTCAGGGAGAGTTTATAGCCCCTTCTTGTACCTAAAGGGAGCCTACAAGAAAGATGGGGAAAGACTTTTTGCAAAGGCATGTAATGACAGGACAAGGAGGAATGGTTTTAAACAAAGATAGTACATATAGATTAGCTGTTGTGAAAAAACTCTCAACTGTTAGAGTGGTGGGTCCCTGGCAGAGGTTTCTTGCCCAGAGAAGTTGTGGATGCCCCCTCCCTGGAAGTGTTCAAGGCCAGGTTGGGCAGGGCTCTGAACAGCCTGGTCTAGTGGGAGGTGTTCCTGTTCATGGCAGGTGGGTCAGAGATGAGCTTTAGGGTCCCTTTCAACCCAAACCATTCTGTGAGTCCATGAAGTACACACCTGTGCTAAAGCCACGAGCTGACCTTTAACTCTGGGTTGATTATAACAGTGGGCCACGCTTTAGCTTAGAGTGAAAAGACAGTTGAAGTATGTTGAAGACAGTTAAAGAACAGAGCTTATCTAGTGACTAGGACAGTCTGAACCTAAAATCAGATTAATTAGCTTAAAACATCACTGAGAAAAAGTAAAGATATGGCTTTGTATTAACTGGAAAAATAACGATAGAGAAAAAATTAGGAAGCCAAAAGGGAAAATGAAGAATGGACTATCATTGAAAGGACATAGCCCTGCAATACACTGTTTTCTATCAGTTTGTTTCATAGCACAGCCCTCAGCAGGCAGGACAGGCAGCCTGCCATTCTAAGGGTACAATTACTCTCCCAGCCCAGGTGTGTCCTGCAGCCTGTGACTTTGGATATCAGCTCTGGTACATCATGGTAACCTACAGAGTTAGGTTAGCTGGGTAGCCTGGACAAATGGGCTACTGCTGCCTGTGCGTCGGTTCTGGTATACAGGACATCACTACTTTCAAATCTTTATAGGCGGAAAGGCACTTATCCTCTTGGTCCTCCATGGGGTAGTTTTGCTACATTTTTCTAGTTTTCTTCCCCTCCTGCAGAAGCTCCTTGAGCAGGTCATGCAATATGCCTTTAACCTTCCTCTCTAGAGCTTTCAAGTCACAATATTCCTTCCCCATTCATATTTTCAGGTTTTTGTGGGAACATGAAAGACCACTGCCCAATACAGCATGTTCTCCATATTGAGCTGGAAGACTCTTGGTGTTTTTTAGTATAGTACCCTATCTTTATTTCTCTTTAACTTTATAATTTTCTTCTAAAAACTAATTTTTCTCTTGTCCTGTAGCATAGGTATCTTAAACAAAACAGTTATGCACCTTACTGCCATAAAGAGTTTACACAGCACACTGTAGTGCACTGAAAACATTTGTCTAGCACAGATCAGCTGGGGGAGCTATTAATGCCATGTTTCATTGTTTAGTTTTAAATAAAAGAACACAAAAGTAGTCAGTGAGTTATTATGAAAACTGAGAAGGAATTTAGTTGGTTTTAACATTTTTATGAAATTCTTTTTTTTATAATACTTTTGTGTCTTACCTCCTACCTGCTCTCCTCCTCAGTCCTTCAGTCTTCAGTCACATGAAAAAATCCCAAATTTTTAGAGGCATCTTATTAAGTGCAAAGGGAGTTAACAAATCCCAAAAGACCAAAATAAATTTCCACAAGGCTTTTGCAAACTATGATCCAAGTCTGCAAATCTTCAGTTTGAGAATCACATATTTAGAATTTAGTAGGTCCTGTACTTTCTCCACATTCCAGGATAACCATAAGTAAAATGAGTAACACTGCTTTCTGCAACCTTTGGCAATGCTTACCTTGTTTCACTTTTAACCCTTAGGCACATGAGAACATTACAGTGTCCTTATAAGGCAGGAAGTTTCTACATGACAGTGTCTATATACTGGACAGAAAGGCAATCTCAGTTGAGTTGCTTAAAATTTTAATATTGCTGTATTTTAAATTAAGGTATAGAATTTTGCTTTGCTTGAAGCCAAGAATTAAATTTCTCACAGATCTTGTAAAGGACCATATCTTAAGGCTATCTGTCACTGTTACTAATCTTTATTAATTTGAAAGCATCACTATATCCCTTAATGCTACCTAATTCCAGTCCCAACAGTCTCCCACATTCTCTGTAAAACCCAAGGGGTATCAGATTTATCCAGCAGACAAAGAAGGGAAAAGGAAGGGGCTGGAACACATGGCATAGGAGGAGGATCAAGGATCTGGGACTGCTGTGCTTCTTCTCAGAAGTGAAGCTAAGTAGGGACATCCATTGCTACCTTCAGTTCTCTGTTTGGAGGTTAAAGTGAACTGGACCCTCCTCAGAAGTGTAAAAAATCAGGGCAAAGGACAAGATGAAACAGTTACATATGACATCAAAGGAGATCTCAATTTCAAATGTGAGGGAAAATATCTCTTAGGTTGCAGTTAAGTACAGTGAAGGGCTGTCCAAGGAGGCTGCAGAATTTCCATCCATGAACATTTTCAGATCCTAGGGGTGCAAATCCTGAGCATCAGGATCTATCTTTAGCATTAGCCATACTTTGAGCAGAAAACTGCACTACATAACCTCCAAAGATCACTTTTAACTCTATCTTTTTATTCCATTAAAAAAAGCATAAATCTTAGAGCACAAAAAAAAAAAAAAAAAAAAAAAAAAAAAAAAAAAAAAAAAAAAAGCTGCAATTACAGGACAAACCTTTTCACCACAGTTATGGACTAAATATTATTCTCCCTCATCTCCTCACCTCTGCTTGAATAAAACAGTTACTGGAAAGAAGAAAATGCATTTCAGCAATTAAATTTAAATTATTTCCAATATGCCTTCCCCCCAGCTGACAGCTCCAAAGCACAATGTGATGTTTATATTAAAAAAAAATAGATTAAGATAAGACATATGCAAAAGAAGACTGATTAGTATTTTCTGGCACACTCAGAAGCAACACAGATTCGAGGAGGGCATAAAGAGTCCCAGTACTGGTTGTAATGCTGAGTCAGATGCAGAGGAGTTGCTCAGAAGGGTCAGCCCAGCCGAGGAAGTTTCTAGGACTACATCACAGCCAACAAATTATATTTAGTTGGCAAGAACATTGCACACACCATAAATTC